CGTAATAACGGGTGTGTTACTAGGGTTGATTATTGACCAGCCTGCATACCCAGCCTTCCGTCTATTGCAAAGGACCACCGCGAGCGAAGTACGAGTACAAGTACATCAAGACCTCTTACATGTCTGTACATACAACTCGTGGATGGCATAGACCCATTTTGCCGACGGGCCTAAACTCCGATTCTTCAGTGAGACTCGCGACTTCGTCTGGACTCCATGTCCATCTACATACTCGTACAGTAGCTCCGGCATCCATGTCTCTTCGTTGCAAGCACAAGCGCCGAGTGGAACCGAGGCCTCTCAGAAGTTTGCCGAATGGAGCCGACATATCAGGCTATTGCTAGGCTATTCAGATTATCTAACACGCAGGCGGCACCCTGGTTTGCCTGATATTCACGAAAAGAGCACAATCACGAAGTGCTTCAGGTATCAAACGTTTGCCAACAATGGACCAACTAGCGCCGGTGAAAGCGGGAATATACATGCATCGAAGCGAGGCTGGTACGTAAGTACAGCACTGCTGGGGTTGCTGTTTTGTCACGGGCACATAAAAAAAAAAAAAGAAAAAAAAAAATGCAGTACCTTGTCTCGGGGAGTTCAATTCTGCTAAGAGATGGTTTCGAGCGACTCCGAGGCTCTCTGCCACTGAGGGCAGAAGCAGCTTCTACAACTACAAAGCAGAACGGCCATTGCATAGCCCAAAATGGCACGTTAACAAGCCTTTGGCCTCATTGCCCTTTCAGCAACGCATATCAGGCACCAAGAAGAGGAAAGAGCCTGCACCTGTAATAGGTGCGTTGCTGTTCTTGGATGGAGATGGATGGCTCATTCGGGCCACGCTTCAACTCGATGGACGAAGTCTCTGTGCGTTACAAGAGTTACTGGTACCAGTACCGAGTACACGTACCTTTGTATGCCACCATAGAGCGGACCGCTTCACGCCCAAGACTGAACTGCCAGGGTTTTCCGCACGCGTGAGGTACAATTACTCGTACAAGATACCTTGGAGGGGAAAAGGGGGGGCAGCTTGTCAGACCCCCTCCCAGGCTTCCATATTCTGGCCAGTCGGGTTTGCGGGAGTCCTTTGGTACCGCCAGGGATGGCTGGATGAAAAAGACCCCCACGCTTGGATCAGATACGTATGTACATCCCCTCATGGAGCGGCAGCTGCGGCGAAATGGGACCGCTCATCAACAACATGCTTGTGGCCCGCTAGGTACCGATGCATTGACAATGTACGGTTGCGAGACACGTCAATGTTGCCAGTCAAAGGGGCGTTATTTGGCCGAGTAAACCACAAGGATGAAGTCTCTGGGCTCGAGATGCGATTCAGCTTCAACCCCAGCACCTTTACTCTATGCTGAGAAGGTGCCCCTTTTCCACTCTTCTCTGAGTTGCCAACGAGGTGCCACAGGAACTTTCAGTATTCACAACTGGCATTTGTTCTCTCAGCGAAAAGCGGAGCTATGCCGGACACCGGCAGCAAGCCACATGCAGGGAAGAAGAAACCTGGATCAAAAGGCGCGCAGCCAAAGGCCAGAAGCCGCGCCTCAGGCATCCGAGTCAAAACCGGTCTGCCGCCTTGTCTAGCAGCGTCGGCCTCCTACAAGAACCAGTATCCTGCGAGATTCCGAGTCAGCACTCTCCAGCTTTCACAGGACTGAATATTTTGTCACGATGGTGTCAAGGTAACGGGACGAGATGATGTGAGACACGTCATCCATATCCGCCAAGTGTTCGTCCTCCTAGGGTATTCCCAGGTCAACTTTCCGCCATGTAGTATTTCGAGCCCCTGGTTCTTTTCTCTTCCTTTCCTTTCTTCTCTGGTGTCTGTTGGGTGTACACCTCTCATAGACACGCCGTGGACATGCGGCGTTGTTCTCAAGGATATGGAAAGACAACTCGGGGTCGTCACACGGATACCCGCGTACAAGAATCCCATACATGTATGAAGTAGACTATGATTGTGTGCGGGTTGTCTTTGCATACAGCTGGGAAAATGTCAGGCACCACTCCACAGGGCATTTGTTGTTTTCGCTCCCCAGATGCCAGTACTAGTATCAGCCTCCTCTGCGGGATAGTCCCGTCGACCTTGCGCCATGCACTCCATCCGGAGGGCTGAACGGGAACTTGGATCAAAGAGGCAACCAGGCAGAAGGAAAAGGGAAGACGAGACGGCCAGCATTATGCGGCACCCGAGCGCGTCTCCCAGTACCTACTCCGCATGCTTCCCACACAGCTGGAAAGACACAAATGGGGATCTCGAGATAACCATAGCGGCATGTCCACATTTACCTCGGAGTAGTAAGTAGTACAGTATGACGGAGGAGTACTGTCCTTGCAGCGCTACGGGTGCTCCGCATTCCGAGCTCGCGGACGAGAGCTGCCCCGAAACGGATCCTCCAATGCTACTACACGAATCCGATAGCCGGCATCGATCCACGCGCCGAGGAGGCCAGTGAATGCCATGCTGCTTTTATGCCACAGGACTCCCGTGTCCATTGACTTTCACCCTCCCGATACGGAATGAGCAAACAACAAAAGATTCAGATATTGTCGCCACACAGCCTGAGGGGTGTTGTTAATACTGCGGCTGTGCTTCTTGTCCCAGAGAGTCCAACCGTCCTCCCCGTACTCTTGTTTCCTCTCATCTCCCTGTTTCCTCATACAACAGACTCCCCTGCTCGGGTTTGACTGTACGAACGCCTCACTGATACGTGCACCAGTCGGATCGAAGACGACGGCGCCGAGTATGTACGTGGATCCCGGCGAGGGCGGCTGTCGTACGCCATGCAGCGCGGGAGACCGGCCGGCCATTGCCCAGGCGCCTCGGAGACGCCGCCATGTCTCTGATCACGTCGTGCCTTGTCGACGCGCGGGCCGAGATGCTCGAAACCTTGGCGGATGTGCTAGTTTCGAGAGAGAGGAGTCCGGTAACTTGCATGCTTGAAGTTTGCTGTTCCTTGTTGTTGGCCCCCTCTTCTCTCGGCCTCCCTACTTTCGGGTTTCTCTCGACACGGACTGAAACTATTTGTTTGGCACTTATGAAAGTCAGCCCTCTTGACTACTCGAGTGTTGCTTTTTCCTGCTGCTGCCCCGCAAGGACGCCGCGTACATACTCGTACATGTATGCTCCCCGGTTTGATGGTCGGGACCGGTTGACTTGAGACGGTCATGTCAACACATGAACATGCCTGTCCCAATGTTGAGCGCAAGATGAGACATGTCTGATCGGTATCATTGGCCCGGGTAGAAACCATTGGCTGTGGTGGCGTGAGAGGGGCGTTATCAACCTTGCATCTGGATAGGGTTCCATTGCATGTTGGTCAGAAGAGCACCCTGGCGGGTTTGCAGAGGAGCTTTCTTGCCCGTGATGTCACAGAGCGTGGATGATCAGAAGCTTCCCAGTCGTGTTGCGTGTGGGTTTTGCCTGCACAGAACGCTTGTCGGTGAACGCATGGGATGTGATTCGAGGAGCCCGCAGACACCGTACTCCCTACGTGTCTGAATTTGGAGGGGTTTGCTGCAGCATGTCCCTGCAGGCATCACCAATAGCATACAAGTACACGTACATGTACAAAGCCACCCATTCGGGAGCAGCCTGAGATGGACGAGTGCTTGTACGGCTACTCCGCATATGTGGGATCAATGTTGGCAGACTCTGTACTCGTACCATCAGTACATGTACATGCAGGTGAGCAATTGCTTGTACGGCGGTGTTACTGACCTCCTCCTTGCTTTGCTAGCGTTAGGACGCCGGGAGCGGCTCCCGGAGAATATCTCGGCGGCTTGACGTCGAGCTGGCTGGTGCTTTCTTCTCCCTGTGCTTGGTACGGTGATTGGTGTGATGAGGCGGCCGCATGTATACCTCTACCCCCCCTGATGGTTGCGCTGCGGCGAGGAGCTTTCTTTGATCGTATCATATTGAACTTTTTCTTTTCTTTTCTTTTTCAAGTGGCGTCAGTTTGCCCTGCATGGTCACATACAGTCTATCAGGCCAGAAACTCCAAAGGGACTATCGAAAATGCCAGGATTATGTTTGCTTGGTTGTTTGTTTGCGCATTCTGCTGGGAAACAATATAGTCCTGTAATAGTGCATTAGCTTCTCGAGCTGTGAGTCTCAGCAATCGGGGAAAATCGAGGATTTGATGGTCTCACCCCCTCCCCTCATGCAGCTGAGCATGCATGTCTCAATCTTGTGGCGGACCGTCCCCCAGGGTATGTAGTACAACATGCAACATACAGCACGGGGCGGCAGGATATGAAGGCGAGCATTAGTTGATGTACGGGGTAGACAAGGGGCATGGTTTATTTTTGGGCGGAGGCAGGATTTTGCGAGATGGCGAGAGAGACCTGCTGCCGATGCCGCTGTATGTATATGGAAGATGCACATGATATGTTGAGGAATCAGAGGGAGAGACTGGTGATGGTGTTGTGAGGGTAGGCATTCGACGGGCCTGGTTGCGTTGGCCTATCATTTCATGTTGGCTGAAACATTGCGGGATCGGTTGAGCAACTGCTCGGAACGGCTCGAGCCATTCGACACAGCAATGGGCGACATGATCAGGGAGGAAGAAGACGTGATATCGCGATGCACATGGTAGGAAGTTGGTGATATCCAACCCAAGCTCATGGAGTTGGTCGCCATGTGAGGTCGGCTGAACTGCTGACTAAGCACGCAATTGCAACCACAAGGCGGGGCGCAGAGCGCTCACCAGGCTGACCAATGAAAGGGCGCGATAGAGCAGGCCGATTTCCCAAATTTTGTGCCTCGTCTCAAGATCTAAGCGAATGATGTCGATGGATTCAATCGATCGATTGAAGCGCACGTCTGCTATCTGATCACTGTCTCTTTTGTCTTTTTCGTTCTCGTCATCACAATGTCAATGGCAGCAGCGCCCAGTGCGCTTCGTGCCTCCTCAGGCTGCGCCTCACGGCTGGGCTCGTCCCTCCGAAACGGATCAAGATCAAGCCTTTTCCTGCCGGCGACGACGCCATCGATGCGAGCAGCAGCAGCAGCCTTCTCGACGACGGCCCCCCAGTGCAAGCGCAAGACAAAGGACGGCAACAAGAAGCGAGGCGTGAGCAGCCTGTACGGATCGGGCCCGCGGGAGCCGCTGTCGGTGTCGGACGCGCCGCTGCCGAAGCCGGTCGAGTTCAAGCCCAAGATCGAGGTGGACGAGGGCCACGGGCTGTGGGGGTTCTTCCCGGCGCCGGGGAAGCTGCTGCTGACGCCCAAGGAGACGGAGGAGCACGGGCGGGCGTGGACGGTGGAGGAGCTGCGGCGCAAGTCGTGGGAGGACCTGCACGCGCTCTGGTGGAAGTGCTGCCGGGAGCGCAACATGCTGGCTACGGCGAGGGAGGAGCTGCTGAGGGGGAAGTTTGGCTTTGGGGAGCGGGAGATTGGGTCGCGGGATGAGGAGGTGAGTTGAGGAGCAACCCCCCCTTGATTGCTCGGGATTCTCTACCATCTACGTTCTCCTTTTACTGATGGGCATGTTTGTCGTGTGACAGGTTATGAAGACGATGAGGGCGATCAAACATGCTCTCACGGAACGATTCTACACTTGGCAGGATGCTGTCGAGGTTGCCAAGTCGGATCCCGAGATCAACCTGGAGGCGGGAGAGGGTCAGGTGTACACACCGTCGGCATACGAAGAAGGATATGACGAAATTGCTGCCGAAGAGGAAGCACCGCGGTCAACAGACAAGGAGCCCAAGGAGACTCTGAGGTAGAGAGAGAGACGTCGGCCGATCGACAGTCAAAGAAGAGAAGAACAAGGTCATCTTGGAGATAAGGAAAAAGGAACAAAGCTCGCCGAGATTAAAAAGGGGGGAGTTCTGACGACGGCCACCATATGATGATCTCACGAGGGGGAAGCTGTTTCTTGGCTGGCCGGCCGTGTGTAGCATTATGGGATCTTTTGGGTACGTGTACTTGTCACCGAGTATGTACGTCGTATCCTACCATCTAAGAAGCAATTGGCATTGTCATTGTATTATTACCAGTATGATATATACCAAACTATCGAGATGACTTGATGATGAAAGCAGCAGGTCTAATAAGAGTCAAAGTTAAAAGTCAATTTCGGCCGGGCTGGTCAGCCGTTCCGGCGATTGGGCATGGCAAAGAGACGAAATGAGACGACATTCGTCTCATTAGAGAGCCCCCTATTTTCGTCTTGCTCTTCCCCCTTCTTTTTTTTTTTCTCTGCTTGGTTTCTCGCTAACCCCTTGTTTTCAAATTGGCCTTTTTTGTAGAGGCTACTACCTGCTCCGTCCGTGACCGTTTTACTCAGCCGGTGACCGGGGTCGGGCCCGAAGTTATTCACCGTTTTGGTTGAATGGACTGCTATGAGCACCAAGTAGTCTACGGAGCGCCTTACCTTGAAGGTTGCTATAATAAGGTAGCTCAACTGCCGTGATGGCTCGGGTGCGCTAACTGGATATCCGGAGATGCTACTTATGCGGCACGGGTTGAGCGGCGGTGAACGGAGGTACTTGGACGTGGCCGGCTGTTAGCTTCATACTTCGGTGTGGAGAAGGCAGGGGATGCATCATATGGAGAGAAGGGGAGGAAGAGAGACACCACCCTGATGAAACGGAGATGGAGTCTTTTCGGTGAAAGCATCTCCGTTTGTTGTTGTTGTTGTTGGGTTACTGCCGTCGTCATGTTTTTCTCTCCTTTTTGCCAGTGTTAGACTACCTTATATGCTTTGAATCTCGAACCAACCGCATATCCTGCTGTGCGTTGTCTCTCATGCGAGATCCGGCACCTGTTTTGTGAGACATGCAGTGGCTTCTTTCTTCCTCATCTTTTACCCTTTTCCTGCTCCTACTGTCTGTACCTGGTCGTAAGTCGTACGGGGAAATGATCCGTACCTGTACTTTGTACTTGCAAGTACGAGCAGTAGTAGTAGTAGTAGCGTTTTTTCTTTTCGGGATCAAGATCCAGGGGACGCTTTAGATTTGGAGACGGTAGCCCGTCATGTATTACGAACGGCGGGGCAATTTCAGCTTGAGCCACGGACGATTGCTGGTGATTTCCATCGTCGTCATCTTGACAGCTCGGCAGGCATTGTGTCATTTCGAGTAATGAGCAGCAAGAACAAGTGATACGAAGACGACCTGAAAGAAAGAAGGAAAAAAGCAAAGAAACGAAGGATTGTAAGAGTAAAAAGGCATTCAATAGGATGATATATTCATCATCCCTCTTTGCTAGGCGAAATCCAGCGCGCTGATGAATTTCGGAACGGTGGAGCCGCGCCTTGCCCAGAACAGGCCCAGCTTCTCGTCTCCGCACCTCACCGATTGATTGACTGGCCAGCGGCCACAAGAAACCCCGCCACTTGCATCTCGACCCCTCTAACCTTACCCTGACCTTGCCTTGCCTTCCTGTCCTCTCTCTACCTGACCTCGACCTGACCTGACCTCCAATACTTCTGGACTAACTACTCCGTATTAGAACCTGAAGCCTTGCAACCCTCTTCTTTTCAAAAACTCTTTTCTTCTCTCTCCCCATCTTGCGTCGTCTTCCCTCCCTCTTCTTCTCCTCTTCCTCTGCCGCCAGCGCTCGAATATCGAATTCGCCCCCTTTTTCCTTACACGCCCGTCACCGACTTGTCTAGTATACCCACAACCATGGAGGAGATTGCAAAGGAGTACGATGTCATCGTCTTGGGCACCGGTATGTGATGGTCCTGCTGCTAAGCTCTGTTGCTCCCCTTCATCGCGAAGCCTCAGCTTCGGCATCGTCGAGGCATGAGCTCTTGCATCTACAGCAAGCTGCTCTCCTTGCGTTGCCAGCTGCTGGGTAGCTACCTTAGCTGCTTCTTCGCCTCCCCCAGGCTGCCATTGTCCCTTGCGTTCACGCTGCTGACCTTGACCCCCTTTCTCATTAGGCCTGACCGAGTGTATCCTTTCTGGGTAAGCGGACGACTACCGATCGAGATGCAAAACAACAGTTCGAAACGATCATGTACTGACATCATCTGTCTCTGCAAAGTGTCCTCAGTGTCAAGGGCCGAAAGGTCCTCCACATTGACCGCAATGACCACTACGGAGGGTACGTCTTCTTCCTCTCCCCCCCTAGCTCCTGTTTCGTCGACGTGGCATCACCGCCATTGGCTGCACGGCACAAACCCAACTGACAACGCTTTGCTCCAACAGAGAGGCTGCCTCCGTGAACATCGAGACGGTAAATCTTCCACTTCCTCCGACTTGCAATAAATCTACTTGCTGCACCCCCCCTGCAAGCATTTGGCATTGTCACACCGCGTCTAACCTCGTTTCTTCACCACAATAGCTCTTCAAGAAGTATGGCAACTACAAGGAGGGCGAGAAGCCGTGGGAGAAGTACGGCCGCCTCAACGACTGGAACATCGACCTTGTCCCCAAGTTCCTCATGTCCTCGGGCGAGCTGACCAACATCCTCGTCTCCACCGACGTCACCCGATACCTCGAGTTCAAGCAGGTTGCCGGCAGCTACGTCCAGCAGGGCTCCGGCCCCAAGGCCACCGTTGCCAAGGTCCCCTCAGATGCCGCCGAGGCCCTCAAGTCGCCCCTCATGGGCATCTTTGAGAAGCGCCGCATGAAGTCCTTCATTGAGTGGATTGGCACCTTTGATGCCCAGGACCCTTCTACCCACAAAGGTTTGCCGCAACCGCATTGAAAGATGATGCTGCAATTGTCATTGAAACAGCTGCTAATCTACCCCTGACAGGTCTCGACATGAACACCTGCTCCATGAAGGATGTCTACGAGAAGTTCGGCCTCGAGGACGCCACCAAGGACTTCATCGGCCACTCCATGGCCCTGTACCTCACCGATGACTACATCACCGCCCCTGGCAAGGCTCCCGAGGCCATTGAGCGTATCCGCCTGTACGGCAACTCTGTCGCCCGATACGGAAAGTCCCCGTACATTTACCCCCTGTACGGTCTTGGCGAGCTCCCCCAGGGCTTCGCCCGTCTGTCTGCCATCTACGGCGGCACCTACATGCTCAACACCAACATTGACGAGATCCTGTACGAGGGCGGCAAGGCCGTCGGCATCAAGGCCACCATGACTGGCGTCGAGGAGATGAAGTTTGAGACCAAGGCCAAGATGATCCTTGGTGACCCCTCATACTTCCCCGACAAGACCAAGGTTGTCGGCCACGTCCTGAGGGCCATTTGCATTCTTAAGCACCCTCTGGCTGGAACCAACGACAGCGACTCTGCCCAGATTATCATTCCCCAGTCCCAGGTCGGCCGAAAGAACGGTAAGGCTGAAATCCAACCCAAAACTGATGATCCATGACGCTGACATCTTCCTTTTTTGCAGACATCTACGTGGCCTGCGTTTCATCTGCCCACAACGTCTGCCCCAAGGGCTACTGGATCGCCATCGTCTCCACCATTGCCGAGACCACCGCGAACCACCACCTCGAGCTCCAGCCCGGTCTTGAGCGTCTCGGCGCCATTGAGGAGCAGTTCATGGTGAGTTGCCATCTGTGTTGCCATTTCAATGACAAGTGAAGCCCATGGAGACTGACAATTCTTGACACAGGGACCTCCTATCCCCATCTTCGAGCCCCTTGAGGACGGCACCAAGGACAACATCTTCATCTCCAAGAGCTACGATGCCACCAGCCACTTTGAGACAACGACGGACGACGTCAAGGACATTTACCGCCGCGCCACCGGCGAGGAGCTCAAGGTTGAGGGTCTGAGGGAGGGCATCAACGTCACGGAAGAGTAAGGAGTTGAAATAGTAATGGTGCAAATCTTTGTTGTCTGTTGAAACCCATGTTATCGAGGCATCTTTGGACTTGATACTTCTCTCCATTTAAACTTGCGAAGAGCGACCATGTTTTCTGTTTCTCGTTCGTCCGGTAAATGTCAAAATCATCATGATGAAAAAAACAAAAAAAATATTCATTAGTATATTCACGCTGGTCACCATCGAGAAGCAGAGGAGAAGAAGAAACAGACGGGGACATCTTGTACCGAGCAAGACAGGAGCTTCTCGTCGTATATAGGGACTTTTTAGCAAAGTGGTAGTATATTGTACTTTTAATCAAATCCGGAAACCATTAATCTGTTTCGTTTTCCTCTTCTCTCTCTCACCAAGATGCGTCATCAATTGTTGTGAGGAACACACATGCTGTGGTAAACCTGACATATATTGGCGTTGGATTCTCCAACTTGCTCGACTTTACGCCCCCTTGCCACCACTTTCTTTCTGGATCGATATATACCCTTCAAGAACGCCCAACTCCTAAGCCAATCGTAGTGTTTTCTCTCATGAATAGTGAAGAGAAACTCCAGAACACTAAAATGTGGATGATAGAATGCCAGCCAGCAATAATATGGAAATAAACAAAGGAAGTGTGATGGGGTTTATCGTCGGTTGGTCTTGCCGATACCACGCTTTCCAGCAACCTGTTTTGTAGATGGTTAGCACGCACGTTATCAATCTTAACTTAGATCGATTAGAACTTACCAAGTGCTTTGTCAGAGAAGCAGAAGTATGCCTGTCGGCCTCTCCCTGTCGGGCCATTCTGTTCATGCGCTTCTGGTTGAGCTTGGCTATCCGCTCGGCCTTTGACCGGGTGGCCTCGTCCTGGACGCCGTCGTCCCTGCGGCTGACGGTGGGAGCCCTGCTGGCGGGCCGGCTCAGCGAGCGCAGGCGCTGGCGGTCCGTCTTGGGCGTGTCCACGTCCATGGAGTCGGCGTCGGCCGTGGCCTGGCGGGACATGGAGCGGCCGCGGGGCCGGATGGCGGTGGCGCGGGCCCGCTCGGCAATGTCCGTCGTGTCGACGCCCAGCGTGTCGAGCGCGTCCTCCATCTCCGAGAGCGGCTTCTTGACGAACTTGCGCGGGATGATGGCCTGGTTCTTGAGCCTCTTCTTCATGCGGGCCTCGTTGCGGATCAGCTGCTGCTTCTCCCGGATGAGCTCCGCCTTGCGCATGATCTCGGCCTCCTCGTCGTCCTCAATGTCCTCGTCCGAGTCGTAGAAGCCCTCCTGCTCAAGCCTCTCCTCCTCCTCCTCCAAGGCGGCCAGCTTGGCATCGATCTCAGGATCGACGTAGTCGTAGACGTTCTTGCCCTCAAAGATTTCGGGCATCTTGTCGTACTTCCACTCGGGGTTCTTGAGCTGCCAGTCGGCGCGCAGGTCGACATTGAACACGCCGGCGCCGCCGTTCTCCACCTCGATGTCCTTGGCCAGCTTGGGCCGGTCAGGGTCGTCCTTGTCGTACTTCTTCTTGTTCTTGACGGCCTCGGGGATGAAGGTCTCGAGGGCCTGGCCGCCCATGGGCTGGGCGACGTGAATACGGGCCATGACCTCGGCCAGACGGCCTCCGACGGCGCCGCTGCTCGTGGTGCCGGCCTTGAGCTTCTGGTTGACGCGCTCGGCGAGCAGACGCTCGCAGGCGGCGTTCTTGACCTCCTGCACGCCTTCCTGGGTGTTGCAGGACAGCTGCAGCATCTCGACCTCGCCGGACTTGAGAATGGACTGCAGTTCGGCCTGGAGCTCGGGCGACAGGTCTTCGGGTCGGGCGACGTCGATCTTGTTGACGACAAGGAAGACAAGCTTGTTGGCGAAAAGGGGCTTGATGCTTCGGAAGAGCTGGATCTGGGCCTGGACCGAGTAACCGCACTGCTCGGACAGATCCATAAAGTACATGATGGCGGATCGCAGGTGAGCAATAGCAGTGATACTGTATGGAAAGTGTGTGATTAGCATTAAGCCTGTTACATGGTTCGAGAAGGCAGCAGCAGCCGCAGCATCACATACCTCTGCATTTCAATGGTGTTCATCTCTTCGAGAGGGTGGTCGAGGATACCGGGGGTATCAATGGCCTGGAATCGCAGATACTTGTAGTCAAAGTGACCGACAAACAGGCTCTTGGTGGTGAAGGCATAGGGCTGGACGTCCACGTCGGCGCGGGTGATGCTTCGGAGGAAGCTGGACTTGCCAACGTTGGGGTAACCGCAGATGAGCAGGGTCCTGGTGTTGGGATCGATGGAGGGAAGACGGCCGAGATGCTGGCGGACCTGGTCGAGATACAGCAGGGGGTCCTTGAGGCGCTTGACCAGCGTGGCCATGCGACCGAGGGCCGCGCGCTTGAGCTGCTTGCACTGGTAGAGCGACTGGGCGTATTTCAAGAGACGGACATAGTCGCGGGAGATGGTCTCAACCAGGTGCTTGGCCGTGGACATCTGGCCCAGGGCGATCTTGAAGTGGTCGGCATCGTAGAGGGTGTTGAGCAGGTCCTTGTGGAAGGGGTGGATGTCCTGGAGGCGAGGGAAGCTGTCGAGGATGGAGGCGAACTTTTCGGAAAACGTCTCCTGGGTGAATTTGACCTTTCGAGTGTAGAAGGCTATACGTATGTGTTAGCATTGCCGTTCACTCTTTCTCATGAGATAAAGGGCGATCCTGCGATGGGCTATGCGAACGTACCTCGAATTCTGCTAATCTTGAAGCCAGCACGGATCTGGGTGGGCAGTTTGCGCTGGGTCCTGCTCAGCACAATGTCCAGGAACTCCTGCTGAGTAGGGACAGGAGGGATGTCCTTCCACGTGGTCTTCATGGCGGGCAACTGTGATCGAGGAGCGACGGTTTTTATGTGGTTGATGCCAAACAGTCCTTGGAGATGTCCTCGGATCGATTGGTGATTTTTTTTTCCTTGATACCCCAAGATGGGAGAAACTCGAGGTTAGCGAAATGCCAGCCAAGGCTAGGCGGTGAATTTTTTTTCTCTGTGGGCGGAGCCGTTTGGCGGAAAAAAAGTTTTATCGATAAGCTATCGTGGCAAGCAGTAATTGTTAGCGGAGCAGTGATAAGCTGGAGAGGACCCACTGGACAGGAAAAAGATGCGGGAAGGGGAGCTGCCAGGCGGTACAGTGCGAACTTGAGGAACGTATACACTAGCTGGATGGACGAACTAGGTAGGCGTGGAATGAAGGCGACTTCAGATACTGAACCAGATTACATGGTCTGCTTTTGTCTGAAAACAGCTGTTAATTTACTCTTGATGAAATTTGTAAAGTGAGCGCGAACCTTTCTTAGAAATACACGATTAGCTTCTATGAAGAACGAGTTGTTCGCGCTGAGCTCTTATACGACACATGAGATGGGATTTCAAGTTCACCATGAGTGTTGAAACTTGCTTACTAGGATCTCGATCTCTGGATAGGCTGTATATCGGTATCTCAAAGCAATTGGATCTGTGACATGAGCACCTTGTAGTTCTCTTTTGAATCAAAGTGTGAGGTAGAAGCAGATGTGGATATCGTAGTGCTGTCGACTGCCCCTCTTGAACGAACAAGATCTGAAAAGATGGCGGGGTACGAGATAAGATGGACGGGAAAACATCATCTTCTACTCTGGCAATTTTTGCAATATCAGACACTTCTTGTAATATAATAAAGGGCAACCTTCTGGCTGCTTGATTAAGGATTAGATTATGTCAGATAGTCTTCTAGGTGAGTTGCGCCTTGTGTATTGCAGTGAAGATAGAAGCGAGTTTGGAGACTAAGATGATGTACGTCAAATCTCGCACTGTACGCTTAGACTTCCATGTGAAAACTTCAAAGACGGCGGCTCCAAATTTTATAGCTCAACCTTCTTCCAAGCTCTTATCCTCCCCAACTCCCTCCTCATCTAGTCTCTCCTCATCTCCAAAAGAAGAGATACAAAGTCAACAAATCACAAGCTCAAAAATGGCCTCCTCCACCTCCCAGCTCCCCGCCTACAAGCAGGACTTCCTCAAGGCCGCCATCGACGGCGGCGTCCTCAAGTTTGGCAGCTTCGAGCTCAAGTCCAAGCGGATATCCCCCTACTTCTTCAACGCCGGCGAATTCCACACCGCCCGCCTCGCCGGCGCCATCGCCTCCGCCTTTGCAAAGACCATCATCGAGGCCCAGGAGAAGTCGGGTCTCGAGTTCGACATCGTCTTCGGCCCCGCCTACAAGGGCATCCCGCTGTGCTCCGCCATCACCATCACGCTCGGCGAGCTCAGCCCCAAGAACCTGGACAGCATCTCGTACTCGTTTGACCGCAAGGAGGCCAAGGACCACGGCGAGGGCGGCAACATTGTCGGCGCTTCGCTCAAGGGCAAGAAGGTCCTCATTGTCGACGACGTCATCACCGCCGGCACCGCCAAGAGGGACGCCATTGAGAAGATCACCAAGGAGGGCGGCATTGTTGCCGGCATCGTCGTTGCTCTGGACCGCATGGAGAAGCTTCCCGCTGCGGATGGGGACGACTCCAAGCCTGGCCCGAGTGCCATTGGCGAGCTGAGGAAGGAGTATGGCATTCCCATCTTTGCCATCCTCACCCTGGATGACATTATCGACGGCATGAAGGGTTTTGCTACCCCTGAGGATATCAAGAACACGGAGGAGTACCGAGCCAAGTACAAGGCCACCGACTAATTCTGGTGCTGATGTTAAGAGGGCGGGAACGAAAGAAAAAAGAAATGTGTTATTATTATTCTATCTCAAAGAATCTAGATTCGTCGTAAATAAATAAGCGTAACTAGCTAGCCTCCGTACAACTGCTTGAATTTGATACCCGTATGGAGGGGCAGTTATTTCAATTTAATTTTACCGTCTATCCGTTGACTCGTCTCACATTGTGTGTATGTGTATTACCTGGTCATCCATCAAGCCTGCCTACTGTTCTTCGTCTTGTGTAAATGCCTGACGGTTCATTCTCCTTTGCTCTTCCTAATCCCGAGTCAGCAACACTGCAGCAATGTCATGTTTATGGCTGGGACTTACCTCATGTTCCTCATGGCCTGTCATCTGTATTTGAGCAATGACTGATACTCGCCGACCTGTCGATGCTTCTGTGGCCCGCTTCAAAGAGTGCATCCCTTCTGCGTTCGGCTTCTCTTCTCCTCTCACTCTCCTGCTTCCTTTCTATACCAGTAGGCTGAACCCGTTATTCTCTCTCCGGTTTATCTCATACCATTCATTGTAGAAGAAAAGAAGAAGAAAAAAAAATAGCTCCATACCGTACTTCATGTTGAATGAATAAAGTAGGTATCCCTCTAACCAGGTGGTGCCGTGAACCTTCTATAGCCATAACCTTCCGTCTATCATATACCAAGAACTCCCGAATCTTTCCCAACCAAAAAGCAAAAAGCCGACGAAAAAGAAGTAAGATAACCCCCATTCATGGAACAGAATTCAACGATTAGGCATCTTCACATTTTCTTGGCAGCATCGGCAATGCTATTCCAGTCAATGAAGTCCTTGGGCCCGGGTAGATCGAAGACCTAGAACGTCGAGTTAATATCAGGTATCGCGAGATTCAAGAGATGGGATATAGACGGAGTGCAGCCAAATGGAGCTGAATGGAGCTGAATGGAGCACGTACCATGTTAAAGTATTCGCCGACGATAGTCTTCGTGGTACTCCGACCAATGTTCCTGAAGCCGCATCTCTCAAAGAATCTGGTCTCAGGCTTCCGGCAGATAAGAGCAACACGGTCCGCCGCGCCCAGGCTGTTCATGCGCTGAACATACGACTTCAAAGTCGCCGTGCCGAGGCCCAGGCCCTGGAGACGAGAGCAGACGGCCACCGAGTGAAGGCAGATGGTGCGCCCATGGGGCCGGTGGCCGACAGGCTCGCTGGGGTATCTTTCTCTGCCGTGGAGAATCTCGGCCCAGTTCCGGGGGTAGTCCATGTCCTCGTCCGTCACGACGGGGCTGCACCCGAGGGTGGCGATGATGTGGACAAACATGAGCCTCCTGACGTCTTCGGGACAGCCGTCAACGTTCCAGCCTCGCATCTTGGTCGTTACCCACCAGTTCTTGCGCTCTGTCATGTCACAGATGTTGAAGAGGCCGTAGCTAAGATTGCCGGAGAATCTGATGCGATATTCGGTCTGCATATTCGTCAGTGATGCTCCTAGGAGCAGTGATTCACCACCCGATACTCGCGCATTTGGAGCAGGAGTGGAGGAGGTAGAAGAGGTTTACTTACCAATGAGCTGCAAAAACCACGCTGAGAGTGCTCAAAAGCAAACTGCTCCAGCAAGACGGCCGTGGCAACGTGCTGCGGCTTAAGAAACGCAAGCTTGGGATTGAAGCAGAAGGGAAAGCTCTTCAGAAAGTCACCCGACCGGCACACCTCAAAGAAGTGAAACTGAGCGATCCTGTCGAACCCTATCGTGTCAATTTCCATGAGATCTTCGTCTATATCATGCTCATCGTTGCTGCTGATGGGTAAGAATGGGACAACACAGCGGCATACCCCCGAGCTGGAGTTGACAGTTGTTAAGGAACCCTGACAAGTGGCGATAACCATGGTCTTATCTTGCTTCTGGATCCTTGTGTGGTCTTTTTCTTTCTTAACTCTCTGCTTTTCTTCTTCTTTTCTCTCCCTTTCACACACTTTCTCTCCTCTTCCTGCGTTATACTGCTTATGGTGTTGGATTCAAGCGTAATGTTGACAAAGTCGGCTGAAAAAGATAGAAAAAGGAATCAATGTTAAATAAGGATGGACCGACGAAGCACTACGGCACATGGACTCTCCAGGGCCGTTTATGCGAGGGTGTGATATTTTTAACCATGGCGACCAGCCGCGGTGAAAGACATACATAATGCAAAGGCGTAGCCTCCAGGAGTTCGAAAAAAAGCAAGTAAAGTCTCAAAAGCAAAACAATCATTGAGTCCTGATAAGCCGCGGCTGCAGGTGGCTTGACACAGGTATCCGGGCCAACACTCCACCGATGCCTGTGATCAGACAGACGTGCAAAGGATAGAAATACTTGTACGGAGTACGTCGTGCCCACGATCACCATCGTGGTGGTTTCTCCCTTGAGGCTGAGGGGAAAAGAATGAGACCAGACTTGTTAAGGTTGTTCGCTGTGGTGTCCATAGCGTTATGACTGACGCCGAGACCGGGTTGGGACTAGCAGGCAGATGGGCAGTCCGTAGAGGATCGCCAACCCGTTGGCACATTGGCCCTCCTGCTCTTGACTCCCTGGACTTTGGGTCAACTGAGTGACGAAGTATGCACTACCGTACAGAATGCAAGCAGTAGAAGAGCAGAGCTGGAGTGAGTATGGACCCAGACCCCTTCGCTTTCAGCTGAGTGGATTGGCAAGCATTGGCCGGGACAGCGTACGAAGTACAATGGATGGCCCCCGGCCCCGGTTGCGGCAGCCCAATCTGGGCCGGTCAGGACAAATGTGACCGGTCAATTAATCCATTTGCCTTTCAATACCTTTAGCCACAAGGTGTCCGGCTAGACACAAGGACAGGCAGCAGCCCTATGACCAGTTGTCCAGAAAGAAGCAACTTCTCTCCCTCCTCTGAGCGTAGGGATAGAAGCCGGCTTTGACATACTCAAGCTAGTGGACATCAGCAACACACGTGTTCAGCGATGTGAGTTGGAGTGCGCGATTTCACACGGTAATATCCGCCAGTCCACAGAGGAATCCGACTGCATGAAGTGAGGGAGAGTTCCGAAATCGCCAAGTCGAATCAAAACCGGAGTAAGGGAGGTTGCTCTCGAGCGGGGAAATGCATCGCATTGCCAATCATACCGCATCATGCCCCGAACCGGCAGTTCAGAAGACTTACGGGGGGCGAGGCCTTTGCGTGATAGAACAGGCGGTAACCAGACGGAGCTGCTGGACCATCAGCTCCCAAGCAGGGAGACGTCTGGTGTCGTTATACACAGCGCCACGGCAACCAACTGGCGGTCTTGCCATCTGATATCCACATAGGAAATAGTGCTCCGGGATACGGAGTACTGTTCCCCAAATGGACTGCGACATATCAGAGCATATCATACTGAGCGACGCACTCACTCTGAAGAGGCAAGCCGAAAGAGAAAAGAAGGCGAAGACGGCTTGAAAAGAGAGAGGCTGGAATTGGCACATTGTACTCTCCGGTCGGGGTGCATGATGCTGAGGAGAAGCGAACATGGAGCCGTGTTGCTCGATATTCCTTGCAGTGCGCCGCATACGCTCACAACATGCGATGGGCTTAAGCCAGGGGGGTCACCGACAAGTATGTATCACATCATAAACTGGAGCCGGGGGGGGAAAGCCCTGAGGCCATATTGACCGGCCTTGTGTCTCACAGGTCATAGACGATAGCTTTCTCCCAGATGCCTGGCTCCTTCAGGACCCTGACAGGGCTGAGCTCTGGTAGCAGCCTGAAGTGTAATGGATCCAGATAGGCGATGGCCGACCAGCCAGGGGGCTGAATAGCGCTGACGAAAAAAGGAAAGGTAACAATATTGACAGGTAGATGGCGTACGAGATTGCAGAAGAGCATCCATGTCCAGCCACTGGCGGTAATGGTGGCGATGATGCTCGCTCACGAGAAAAGGAGAGACACGGAGTCTTTGGCCAAGCCGTGACAGTATGGTGGACTCAGACAAGTACATGTGCATTGGCCGGAGTGAAAAGGAAGCCCTTGGCGCTGTGGATAAGACAGATCGAGAGAAGTAGAAGCCAATGCCCACCCGAGCACTGGTGTGAGAGAAAAGTCGTGTTGCTTTTCCCTTGTTGGGCTCCTTCGGATGGACGAATGCCAGCCTCCTGAGGGATGGTCGAGACGATAATTCGAGGTGCCAGTTCCGGGTAGTAGCAGCAAACAGGTTTAAAGTCAGTGCTTCGAAGTACGGGACAAGTAGATGCGCCTGCTGCACTTGGTTTTCCTGAGAAGCCGGGGCTCACTCTCGCAAGAGATGTGGTGGTGCCTGCGACTGGCTAGGCGGATGCACCTCTGCGCACAGATGGCGAACTAGTAGCGACGCGGCATGCAAGCTCTACCATCCCCGGAGGCAGCAGCGTCCAGAGACGAGTCTCAGGACTTCGACAGGGTTCGACTTGGTTCTCGATGGCACCGTTGCAGCTGCTGGGGCCGCGTCTGGTGCTGATCCTGAGAAGGGCGGTTAGCAGCCAAAGCGATTCAGAGACGGGCAGGACAGGCGAACAGACGATGGCGCAGATGCGGCTTCTCCGCACCGGTGAAGCTCAGTTGCACGCCATTGGCAAAGGAAAATGGAGTCTCGGCCTATGGGCGTGTGAGTGGCTGCGAAGCTGAGAATCTGCGGAGAAAAGGCAGAAGCAGGGAGAGGCCGGAGGGTTTGTTCGTAGTAGGTATTATGTGGGCGGCATCAAATGGGCAATGTTTGAGGTGCAGACGACAAGTTTGGACGGCTGATGTCTGCATATGGTCAGGTGGGGAGCTCAGGTTGTACAAGGCAGGTACCACTGGAGCTTAAGCAGAGCAGAGGGAAGCTGCTGGGGACCTTTATGGGCTCGTACGCGCGGTGTCAAGCGACGTTGATCGAGATGATGGCTACAAGTGCAACTGTTCCTGGTTGGTACTCTTATCGTTACAAGGAGCCATTGATACGTTGATGCCGTCCCCATGCAAGTACCATTTACCCTACAAGAGGTCGTCATACCACGGCAATTTCTCATCTGTGGCATTGCACCCACACTCGCAGCGTGCTTCAACCAAGCGCCTACCTATGTAAGTAGCTCATATGAGGATTTGTTGTCAATCATGATCTATAATATTGAGATGATAACCTCGTATTGTGTGGGTTCTATAGATATATCGCATGCATGACCATAAATGGCCAACTTGACGTTGGAGTAAGCTTTGGACGTGGCATCCGACTAACCTGGACGAAACTGCATCTCAAGCGGCCGCATCAATGCAGTAGGTATCCAGTATGCCTGCAGTCCGAATTATCTCCCAATTTACGCGTAAAAGCATCGAGTTGAGGCAGGACTCGCATCTTACCTGACTCGGGAGGGGTTGGAGCCAGGCAGGATACGTGTCAAGCAGATGTTGCTTCTTGCATCTTCAGGCTCGATGTGACTGCATCCATGGCTTAGCTGAAAGGCGCACTTGATCTGCATGCGCACAACTTACCTGCATGTCATTATCTGCTCGACGTCACATATGATATGTAAATACCTGGAATCGTACGTTTTTCAGCCGGCAGATGCTACTGAAGGCTCTTGAAAACGAATGATATGTGTATCCGTAGCTGATTGTTGCCCTGCCGGGTAGCAGTCGTCACCCAAAGAAAGCATGAAAGTGAGCCCCGGTGCTGATAGCCGCGGAGATCGACTCTCTGTCCAAGGCAGTCCAACTTTACCTCTTACAGACACCCAATCCAAGGAAGGGTAGCTCAGAGATGAATTGCCTCTTCAAGTCTCTCGTGGGCATCGAGTTCAACCTGTGAACCGAGCAACAATCTCCCCAATTGTTACAGGATTCAATTTGCTCAAAACATACCTTAGGTACGAAGTTATCAGATGTGGGTTGTGCCAGAAACAGCAACAGGATCACCCTCATCCTAGCCCCCAGCCAGGTTGATCCCAGGCCACTATAAACCTGAAATAGCACCCCTGTAACGTCCAACCCAAGCCCCTCCAAAGCTCCCCGCCAGCGCCCCTCCAAACTGCACTGTCCCGGCCAAACGGGGCTGCCAATCCGCTGTCGTCACCGCCAGGCTTGCCTGGATCGAGCAATCATGACGCCCCAAGACGGAGCTCTCAGCAAGCAACCCAACAAGCATCGAATCTAGCTTTTCTGCCCCTCCAGCTCAGCCCCTCAACTCCCCTAGCCTTCCCGCATCTCCAAATTGGACCATTCCAAGCAGCTGTCCGAAACGTTGACCTGCATAAACTCACTCGCCTGCTCGCGTGTTTTGTTTGTCTGGTACGAATGCTACGCACGACCTTGCCAGCAGACTCCTGATTCGTAATTCCTGTCCCTGCCTGAGCTTCAGCGGCAGAAGTTGCCATCGATCCATCGTGCCGTTGCTCTGACTCTGACCCTGACCTTGCTTTCTCACTCTTACTAAACATCGTCGTTTCCGTCCTTCGCCGTCCTTCTTTACGATTCTACCTCACGTCCAACGCAGCAGGTAACATTTTATCTTTCCCTCTTTACCAACTTCTTTCCTCCATCCTCTCTTGTGGTAAACACTAAAGTCGAAATATAACCAACATGTACGTCCTGCCCGAGCTGGAGATGAAGCTGTGGGGGGAGGGAAAGGGAACTAACGGGAAGCTTTCTTGCCAGGCGCATCACGCTCAACGTCTTCAATCCTCATGGCGGAGACCAGGACAGCCTGGTGACCCTTGAGGTCTTCCCCGACATGACCGTTTCGACCTTGCGCGAGTCCATCCAGGCCGAGGCAGGCGTCCCGCCTACGTCGCAACACATCTACCACAACGGCCGACTCATCTCAGACGACACCAAAACCATGGAGCAGCTGCAGATTGGCGATGGCGACATGCTGGCGGTCCACGTCCGGGATATGAGAGGCAGCACCGGGCCTCCAGAGCCAGCTGGCCGGCCTCAAGCTGCGGCTCGCCAACAGCCCAGTGCTGCCGCGGCGGCCGCAGCCGGAGCTGCAAACGACACCGAGATGCTTCGTCTCCAGATCCTGGGCGACCCCGCCGTCAGACAGCAGCTGGCCAGGCAGCACCCAGAGCTTGCCGCGTCCGTCGAAGACCCCGCGCAGTTTCGAAGAATATTCCTCGACAGCCAGGACAGAGAGCGGAGGGAGCGAGAGGCGCGGCAGCGCGAGATCGAGCGGCTCAATGAAGACCCATTCAACGTTGAAAACCAGAGGAGAATCGAAGAAATGATCCGCCAGGAGCGTGTCATGGAGAATTTGCAAAACGCCATGGAGCACAACCCCGAAGGCATGTACGATGACGTCCCATGACCCCTGTGAGATGCGGGGGCTGACTCTGCCACGTTTACTAACTATCCTGTACCAGTCTTTGGCCGCGTTCATTTGCTCTACGCCAACGTGGAGGTCAACGGCCACAAGGTAAAGGCCCTCGTCGACTCGGGCGCGCAGGCGACCATCATGTCGCCGTCGTGCGCCGAGGCGTGCGGCATCATGCGCCTGGTCGACAAGAGGTTTGCGGGCGTTGCTCGCGGCGTTGGAACAGCCACCATCATCGGTCGGGTCCATTCGGCCCAGATCAAGATTGGCAATTTGTTTTTGCCCTGCAGCTTCACCGTAATGGAGGGAAAGTCTGTTGAGCTGCTCCTGGGACTGGACATGCTCAAGAGATACCAAGCTCACATCGACCTGGCAAAGGACAAGCTCATCATCCAAGGCCAGGAGATCCCGTTCCTGGGAGAAGCCGAGATTCCCAAAGAGGAGGAGACGATTGTCCAAGAGCCTACGATTCCCGGACCAGCCGGAACTGCCATCGGCCAGAGATCTGGAGCTGTCATGTCTGCTGAAGATGCGCCCCCCTCGCAAGCTGCTGCCCAGCCGGCCGCCGGAGCACTGCCGCAGGCACAGCGTACCCCGGCGCAGCCTCGGCCGCCGGCCCCAGGGGCCAACGTTACACCAGCTCATGTTGAGAACCTCGTGGCCATGGGTGCTACCAGGGAACAGGCAATCCAGGCACTCCAGGCAGCCGAGGACAACGTGGACATGGCGGCCAGCCTGATCTTCTTCTAGGATCTTCCAGGCTTTACCTAATGAGAGCATGAGTAATCAGCATTACCCCCACGATGAGGGGAGGGTGTCGTTATGGCAAGGTTTGGCAATGGGAATCATGGGTTTTTGCTTTCTGCCTTCTTGTACTATTTGCTTTTTCGATATGTTTCTGCATTTCTGGTTCCCTACTTCTTCCGTAAAAGCCAAAGAGGAGAGTCTCGCAAAGTCCATTGGATGGCGATGATGCCTGGGAGCGTGGGACAAATCTAGAGGCGTTTGGAGAGCCGTCACGATGGATGTAATAGAAGAGGCACAGACAAGGGGGACCAAAGGAATAGAAGCCACTCAACATGTCTTCATGCGTACTGTACTCTGACATGGTTTCATCATTAAGAGATTGATATGTTTGTCTGCGCTCCCGAAACTCCTGCCAAACATTCCCCACACAAAAGTTTGCTTCTAAATGTTCCCGAAAATGCCCACAAGCATGTGTTTCCTTATTGATGCTCATCGAATCTTATAAACACAGGGTTTGAGAATGGCACCTTCGGTTTCGTCATCCAGCTCATCCGCATCTTCGTCCTGGGGACGGCCAAACATCTTCTTCTTCTTCGGCTGCTGAGCATCATCCGGCCGGACATTCTTCCCCTTTGTAGGCGCAGCGCCCTTGATGAAGCGCATCTTGACAAACATCCTGTTGGAGAGGTCGACGGCCTCGTTGCGGTCGCCGTGCAGCACGAAGCCGCGCTTGCGCAGCGACTCGACAAAGGCCGACACGTCCGTCTCGCGGCGCTGGTCGTCCTGGCCGTCCACCTCGACGGCGAGGTCCTTGTCGAAGCGGCCGGCGGCCTCGGCCTCCTTGGCCTGGAGCTCCTTCTTGGAGGGCTGCTGCTTGCGCCGGTTGCCGACGCTGTGGGTCACGGGGGCGTGCTTGTTGCGGACGGGGCCGAAGCGGCTCTTGATCTCGGCGACCCAGAGCTCGCCCTTCCAGTGCAGCAGGCGGTAGGCCTCGTCGACAAAGTCGAGCCAGTTGGTGCCCATGAGGGCCAGGCAGAAGATGGCCACGTTGACGGAGCCGTCCGCCATGGGGATGTCGGCAATGTCGGCCTTTGTGACGAGCGGGCTGGGGCTCTGGAGGTCGAAGCTGCGGATGTCGAGATGCAGCTTGGTCTTGTCCGCCTGGAGCGACTCGGCCAGTCGGGCATCGCCGCATCCCAAGTCGGCAATGGTGCAGACGCCGGCCGTCCTGGGCAGACAGCTGGCGCTGAGCGAAAGCTGCGGCGCATTGGGCCGGCCCTTGCCGGGCGTCCTTATCTTTGCTCGCGTGCGGATGTCGCGCAGGAAGCTGTCGACGGGGTTCTCGGGCCACACCTTGACTTGACGCCGGAAGCCCTCGTGGTACTCGTCAAACATCTCGGGGGATTCTTGGAACAGCTTGAAGGCCTCCTCTGAGGGCCGCGTGTAGAGCGTCTCGTTCAGGTGACGGAACCGCGCGGAGATGAGCTTCTCTCGCATCGAGGCTTGCAGAGGCGTCAGTTTGGGCGGTGCCGGGGGGAGAACTGTCGCCGGCTCGGATATGGTCACTGCGTCTGAATTGAATTTGGATTTGTTGGCCTTTGACTTGGCCTTGGAGGAGTCGACTGCTGCGCTGTCATCCTCGCCCTCGGATTTCGATTTGTTGCTCTTTTCTGGGCTCTCTGCCTGGCTTTTCTGGTTTGACTTATCCTTCTTGTCCTTCTTGTCCTTCTTATCCTTTTTGCTCTTCTTATCGCTTCCTTGTGACTTGGGTTCGCCCTCGCCCGTCTTCTTCTCGCCGTTGCCTACGGCCTTGTCGTCGGATCCCTTCTTCTGGCGTTTTGACTCCTGGGCAGCAGGTTTGTCATTGCTAGGCTTCTTCTTTCCCTCGACGACCGTCTCCCACAGATCAGCGACGTTCGCAGCCGTCACCGGCTCCTCCTTTGTCGTCCTCTTCCGCTTCCTGGACTTGGACGCGGAAGCGCCACCGGCTGCGGCCGCCGGCTTTTCGGGCTTGAGAGCCTCAGAAGACACTGACCAGCCGGGAACAGCGAACATTTTTGCGTCAATTGAACTTGTCGCTTTTGCAGTGTGAATGAGGAGGTGTGATGCTGATTGGGGTTTGGCTGCTGGCGCTTCATGGACTTTTTTTCAGTTGACTGTTATCGATAAGGATAAGCGGGAAATCCATCAATCGCTCGACATTAGTGCGACAGGCGTCTGACTTGATAGCACAGGCGCCCAACTTGAACCTGTCACATTACCTACCTTAGTAAACATCACTCGTCCCTGGCATCTTGTGTCGCCCATAATGAAGCTCATATTTGGCCTGTATAACACGGGCTCAGTAGGCACAAAATCCCAAATGATTTCTCCCCTTCATCATAGTACTCGGAAGTACTGAAACTGTCTGTACAAGGCGTACATGTCCTTATTTCCTGTGCTGACTTTCCCCAAACGGATTGGGAGACCTTGGCTATGACAACTTCTGTAAGTGAGTCCAGGGAACCAAGGCATAACGTGCATCGTTTATCGTAGATGCCTGAACTGTGGCATGTTTTTGGCTTCAGTGCGCACGCAGATACAGGCATTTGACGCTCCGTGGATGCTGCTATTGAAATTTCACAACTCTCTACCCAGTTGAACTCTGAGGCGACATGCAGTAGGAGATTACCAGCATCTACCTATGTTAAGCCTCGATAATTCCAGCCTGTGGCATTAGATAAACGTGGCACTCACCTATTCCGCGAGAACAGGTGACGTAACTGCTTTGGGTGTCTTACTCACCGTCTGAGGCAGCGGATGATTTGAAAGGCGCGTTCGTGTGTCTCGTGCACTTGCCTGTCGTAAGGTATGTTGGGATAGGTACGTTGCATTCATGTAAGGGATCGCTGTGAGGATGCGGAGCCCGATACCCCTCTGACAGGTATCCTTGGCTCAGGTATAAATGTGCAGTTTCACATGGCCGTGCCTGCCTCTTAGGTAAGATATATGTTTGCTCCAGACATATATAGTAGGTACGTATCAGCTATTTCCTTCCTGCTCCCTCAGTACATGTGCCCTACAGATATCACGCAGCTGATGCCTCGTCCATGCCTGAAGGGACAACTTTCGACCTCGACACATTTCCTTCCGCCTCGTCGGAACCATGGCGAGGACCCAAATGCAGCTCTACCTCGCGGAGAAGAGTTGCTTCCTCTGCCGCAACTATCTCCCGTATTTTTCAGGATTCGGCGCTCATTTAAGTCGGCTCATGACGTGGGAGATGGAAGTGCTGGGCTGTAAGTGATTCCGCACGCAGACATTGGCAGCGACAACATCAGCAAGCACCCTACTGTCCATCTTGTTTCCTCTCATTGCTTACACGTTAGGATGGCATGAATCAAAGTCATCGACATTTCCCCTGATTCTTCTCACGACCCGAGAGTCTTCACTTTCAAGGCTGATCTCGGCGACCCTCAGTTCATCGTCAATCCGACGTTGACTCTCCGCGGTGGGACGACCAGGGTTGCCGTTGTCCACGAGCGCCCACGCACCGAATACCGACACGCCTTCTTCGCGCACCAGGCGTGCTGCAAAGTCGTTGCGTTGCTGCAGCGCAAGCTTGCATGCCGTGAGCTTTACAATCTTGCCGTGCAGACATCTGAACTACTGCCCAAGGATTGCTGGGGACAAGAACGCCCATGGCATCTCGCCTCCCTTGCGGATACCATCGAGACTGGCATTGTCGACGCCCAGAACACAAGCCTCGGCGCTTGTCTGTTGAAGTGTGCGAAACTGCCCCCAGAAATACACAACTACATTTTGAGATATATTCGCGGGACCAGTCTTGCATCTTCGCTGATGACGGCTCTCCACACTTATACCACTGGGCGTTGTCAATCTCTGGTAACGATTTCGAGTCACCCCGGTGCCAAAAGCCTCCTGCCCACAGACCACGTCGACATGGCCCACGTCTGCGCCTCCTTCATTACTCTTTTCGGCCGGTCCTATTTGACTTCCCTTGAGATCTTCCTCAAAGAGGGTCATGGTGATGCTTCTAACCGGAAATGCCTTGAGATCAGGATAAACGAAATTCGACGAGTACAGTTCATCACCGGAATGCACGGCATATCGGCTATCAGGTTCTATCTACGCGACGGGTCTGTCTCGGACTGGCTAGGGGACACCAGGAGAGGCTGGCGAAGTAGGCCGATCGAAGTCACTCGCAGCGACCTCTACTTTCCGAGACATGTAAGAGCTTTCATCTTCAACCGTAGGACAAGTGCGGCACCTTCTCCAACGTTGACTTACTCAAGCAACAAATAGGGCCAGAAAGCTGTCGTCGAGCGCTTTGCTGAACTGCTTGCTCAGCGTCCTGGGAATGCGCTTTTCCAAGTTTTATGGGATGCTACCTGCAATCCATGGAAAGATGGTGTGCCATTTGTGGCTCATTACTTCAGGAATCAACTTGCGGAGCGATCCCGCTCTTTCCCTGGGCAGCCGATGTGTAGATACATGGCGCTACAACTCGACGATCAGTATGCCCGAGGAATAACAGTATACACAACGTGCTTCGGCATCAGCTGCATTGTTGTCCACAGAAACAGCCATCAGGCCGTGTCGACTCCACACAAAAGAGGGCTACCAACGACCTTCTATTTTCGTGAAGGAGAGAGAATCGTATCGCTTGGCCTGGTCACCACCGGCTATACCAGTTTCCAATATGGCCCTTTTCTTACGGTAAGCAGTCTTCATCAGACACTGAAGTGACCACAATATATTGACTCCGATGCCATGCTTTGATACTCCAGTTCAAAACAAATATGAATAGAGCTGCCTACTTTGGACCGCCATCATCGCTCTCAGAGCCAACTGCGAGATGGGTGTCTTTAATACCAGACCAAATGAAGAAAGGGTGTGTGGTCATGGGCTTGATTGTGGACCAGCTGGCGATGACGAAAGGAAGCTTTAAAACACTCGGTGTTTGCTGCAAGGCAACTGAGGAGGGTGCGAGCCACGAGACAGCAGATTCCTTGTCCGGACAGCGAGTCACTCTACCAGCCATCCCGGAAGTTCTGAGAAAGCCATCTTTCAACACCGACACGGTGCTCACCAGAGCAAAGCTGTCAAATATCAAGCAGTTGAGGGTTCTCCAAAGAGATGTCGATGTCTCGGAATCCAACAAGGGGTTGCGCTGGTGTGGGTTATGGATTCACCACCACGACGGGACTACCGAGACACTCGGCCTGTGGGATGACTATCTGACCAAGAACGCCAGGATCATCTACGATGCTGAGAGGGACGGCCGGCTCATTCGAATGCTGTTCCGACTGAGACGCAAATTGCCTGTGGTGGGTAAGCCTAATCAGTCTGAGTATGTTGTAAACATTTCCACCTTAGTAGCACCGTGTGATGACGCCGAAACCGCCAAACACACCGGAGATGTTCAAAAGGGGGATCGCGGTGAAGTAGGTCCTGATGGCGACAGAATAGTCGAATTCGAGACTTGTGCGTCACGGCCGGTGAGTTTACACTACCTTACCTTATAGTGTGGCAACAATACAGGTACTTTTCATGCTGATTAAGAGGAACTACAGCCGGTCGTGTGGTATTTTACCGAAATGGCCGACCATCTTGAAGAATGTCCCCAAGAAACGGTGAGCCACACTTTGAGGCGGCAAAATGATGTTCAGATATTGCAAGTGGAGTAGTGGTGGAATGAGGCTACGTTGGCATGATGGGTATGTAGGTTTTCCGGCCTTGGGGTCACGGTCAGATGTAGCTTGAATGTAATCTGGGCTTGTGTGGTGACTTACACGCATCTCTCTATTCTCAGTTTTCCGCTGCTGTAGGAATTCTCAAAAGTCCTTGAAGTGAGATAACGTCTGAATAAGGCGCTGCCCTAGTTGCATGATCGGAGATCGGGTTAAACTCCATACATGCTAGGCCAAACCAAAGGGGAAATCTCCCTTGGGATAAGCCGCGATTCTAGACAGAAAGTGGCATAGTCGAGCGATCAACTGTGAAGCTTATCGTCATCTTCCCGCAGCCTTAACTCCGGCTTCTAGAAGGCGTAGATGAATAAGGCAATGTGGAGTCGTTGAAGTCTCGATTTCCCAGCCGATATTCCTCCAAACTTCAGTCTGCAGGGGAAGAAACCGTGCGCATCGTATTAGCACCCAAGCTGGGACACGAAATCTGGCGGTGTAAGTGCATCGTACTCTCAAGTAACTAGCAATGATTGCACGTATCGACTCACAAAGGGGGGAGGGGGAGGAGAAAAGGGAGGGACAAGAATGACCTCAGCGAACAGCAACTGCAGGCACCTCACCCTCAAGCCTCCCTGTCTTACCTCTTTGCTCAACGTAACTCGGATTCCGTCCTATGGGCGTCTAAGGTCAAGCCAGAGCTATTGTGGGAAAATGATGCGAGATGCGAGTGCTTGCAAAGGACAGATACGCCATGGCTAGCCGCCGACGGGAGGGACCGACTCTGTTCAAGATTACACTGCCTTTGCACAAGCTGCGTCCGGCTTCTAAGCTGGAGGCTGTAGGCAATATGGCGAGGATGGAGAAGGATGTCAACAAGAATGCATTTCTGGATCAGACACTCACCGGAGAGGATGCCGCCTCCTCTTCGTCATCCTGTGGAGCGAGGCCAAGATCGATAGTGGGCGAATTCAGATTCCAAGGGCATCCCGACATCATCGACGACAATGAAGTACGCAAATCGGCGTGCAGACGTAGGCGGTAAATCTCTCAAGTTGATGACCCAAAAGCAAGACCGAGCTTATATCCACAGACACAGCGCCAATGATCCATCCGCCATTCTCGCTGGGGATATGAGGATCCATTGCGCTCGCATTGCTGGTAAGACACAACAAGTCCAGACGGGAGAGGACAAGACAGATGACGAGGGTGTCTGCATGGCGACCTGTGCCTCCCCAAAGCGAGTCAGGGCACAGCGTAACATGCGTCGCGCTTTTGGCCAGGGCCACAGAGCGGCGATGAACCATTCTAGTGCATGGTGGCATGAAGATTCTTTCACCCGCTCCCGACACACCGGCGAGGTACTACAGAGATTTAGTCCACGACAGCAGATCTGGTCGGCCCCCGATCCCCTGCCGTTGCATGTGCTGCCGCGTACAGAGATGGAGCGATGAGCTTACACATATGGCCATGGCAAGGAACCACGACCCCCTGTGGAAGTGGTAGTCTCAGACATGTCCGCAGTCATTGTAGTCGGGAGGAAGAAGCAGGTTTCTGGGAGCTTGTTGGAGTTGCGGCCTTGCCCGACCCCTCGCCAAAGAGTTAAGGAGTGCTTATACTGCGTTGGGGGCCTCCATCATGACCTGCTGCGAAGGAACAAGTACTTGCTTAACGTCGACTCCGCAGGCATGGTAACTCTCTGGGTGCGATGGCTTCGGGTTCGGTAGGGAGTACTTCAAACACTCCATGCCGACTATTATTGAGCATCCCTCCATGTGAGGTCTGTGGTCCTGGAGATGACGCAGGAAGCCGAGACGAAGAAGTGGCGTATCTTGTCCATCCATCACGACGATAACGACAATAACACAGTCGTACCTGCAGTGCTGCCGCCGGGCCCGGTCTCATACACGAGAGCAAAGCGGTAAAAGGTCATGCCATGGGGACTGTGAGTCAAGAGATTTTGGGTAGCACGTGGCGACAAGTTTGTGTACCACAGAGACATAATTCGACCGGCATAAGCGGCGGCGGATCAGCTATGAGGTGCATGATCTAGAGTGACGGTGTTCCGCAGGCCAGGGCACTCGTATGAGTAGTTGATTTGCGGCTGAATGGACGTCGGTGAGTGGCGTATATCAGTAGAGGGCCATGGAAATGTCGAAGGTGGTGATGGTCTCAATGTAGACGAACCACGAGGAATAAAGGAGACTCTAAACGCCAATCGGCTCCCGGGAGCCGTATCAGCCCCTATCACTGCTCTTGCATCTTCCGTAAAACAACGAGTACCGGTGCAGCAAGCAAAGCAGAGCTGTACTCCGCCCCTGATAGGTTGGTACACCGGACATGTGCTCGAGAAGAGATGAGGATTGCTTGGTACTTGCTTGGTGCCTGTCTTCCTGTCTTCCTGTCCCTCTGCCGTTCCTGTCCCGTCTCGATCCCGGATCCCGAAGTCTCCACTCAGCTTCGAAACGTTACGGAGCAGCCGCTCCCGCAGCCCGTGAGGCTACGGTTAGTGGCCTTATTAGGTAATTGTGAAGATCCACTAACCACAAGGCAAAGAGTCTCAGCGGTAATTGTTGTCTAGCCCGAGTGGCTGGCGCGGACTAGCTTTTGCAACCTCGAACGAACATCCGAGGCCATTGAGCTTTGGCTGTGCGACGCAGCGTGTCGCTATGGCGCCTCTCGTCGCGTCGATGCGGACATCCAGAGTATGGTTGGCAGGGCCTGCCTGGGAGTTGTGAAGCTAAAACTCCTGGCGCGCCGGGACCAAGGTCCAGGGTGATTTGGGTGACAGGGAGCCATCGAGATTCGGCAATGCAAGGCATACCATACCATGGCATGGCAGCAAGGCCTGGCAGATCTGTTCGTCGAGCGAATCGCCCGAGTCTCGGCTACCACAAGGATCGAGGCCAGCATGCTTGGCTTCTGCTGGTAGCGGCTGCTCGGATGCATCAATGAGACCAGGATGCTCGAGGACACTACCAAGTGGTCTGGGGTGCCTCTCGAACCTTGGGTGAGGCTGCGATGCTGCAAATTCGCAATGATGATTGCTAGTAGTTAGCAACCGTTACATCAATGGTCAGAAATCAGATTCCCCTGTGGTTCGGGGTATCCATCGGCCTCCAAGTCTGGCTACTCACCAATGAGGATCGGCCACGGCGATTGCCTTACGGTCTCTTTATTCTCCCTCCTCTCACTCTCGTTTATTTCAACTGTCGACATTGTTCCCCCCCTTTCATGTGTGTTCAATCGCTGTCATGTTTCCGTTTCTGCGGCTGAGAACCACTCCATTGCATATGCTTTTAGCCGCCCTGTGCGGTTGCTTCCGCTGAGAGTACTTACCAGGCATCTATTTCGTCCTGGAAGGAAAGGCGAAAAGTGCTGCAAAGAAACAGAGGACCACAAACCCGTCTCCTGGGCCATTCCCAGAATAAGACACTTGGTATGGGACAATGGACGCATATCCACGACGGCGCTGTCGGCTCTAAAGCAGACTCCTTTTTCTGTTCGCACTCTGGCCTGTGCCCACCGAAGATTCAACACCATGGAGGAGTAGCTGGAGTCGACTCCGCATGGGTAAAAGCTGGCACAGCGTAGAAAAAGGTCGAGCGTCCAACATGCATGCCTAGCCATCTAGGCTAATGCCGGAGCTGATGGCCGGCCAGAGTTGCAAGACCAGGAGAGAGCCCTATTCGTCCGCCATGAACGTGGCAACGGACACCATCTCTTGCTTATATAGGATAGGCCTCTCGCTCGCTCTTCGGCTTTGGCCTCTGGGAAAATTCACAAGTGATTGTATTCCTCTTTCACCCTCCTGCAGATTCGGATGACCAATACCGTTGGTGATACCACCCACCTGAGCAGATAAAGCGAGGAGATAAAGGAGGGGGAGAAAAGAGTGAGCAACCACCATTGGGCTCTGGAACCCTCTGTCTCAACTCACTCAGTACCTCGTCTTAACCGTCTGCCCCGACTCGACGGTTGCGCATGAGGCCCGTCTCCGAATCAGGCGTGCCGTGAAGAGCTGGTTTCGGCTCATCAGCCCGTGTGTCTCCCTTTAAAGTCGGTATCGACCAACAGCACGGTACTATCCGCTCAGCTTGGCATCTTTGACATCCCGGCATTCCAGATACCTCGTGCCCTCCTTTGTGGTCCACGCCTCTTTTCCACTTCCCCTCTGTGCTGCGACCTTTCTGCAAACTCCCGCCGCGGGACAGAGACAGAGAGCTGCACCTGTGGTCGCCGGTCCGACCCCGAACTGAGAGATTGATTGGTCTCTTTCGGATTGGTCTCGATCGGAAGGAAAGGTACCTCTTGTGGGGGTTTGCCAGCTGTCTGAAGCACCAAGATTTTACTCGAGGTACAACCCGATTCCTTTTCTGCCTGCGCATCTTGTTAGCCGTCTGGCTCCAGCTGCTCTAAGACAAGACAGGGCAGAACAAGTCGGTATTTGCGTCTATTGGTACCACTGCCTGCCGCCGTCTCAAAGGCCTGTATATGTACATGCACCTACAATCTGGCGGATGAATCTCGACTCAAAGTCTGTTCCTTGTCAGGCTGGCCATCTCTGTTAGAAGTGGCTCACCACCGTGGGCGTAAGAAGAGGTAGGATTAGTGTTGAGGGTTTCCGGCTGATTCCAAGTTACGTGTATCTTAGGTTGAATGGCTCCGAATATTGAGCTCCTGCCGTTGATTACCATATCGCAGCATCTGTTCTTTCCTTGAGCCTTTGCTCCTTCCTCACTGTCGGATCCTCCCAACTGCTACCACTGGGAGCATCTTGGTATGTTTAGCTCCGCTTGATGAAGCGGTACCTTCTTTTTACCTTGCAGTGCGGCGGCGAGTAGCTTCACCTGCGCCCCCCGCCCGCACGATACCTCGACCACTAACTCGAGGCATCGAGAGCTACCCCAGGTCCAGGTAGCAGGTGGCAGTTGGGCCCAGGAACGGACGCTCAGGCAAGTTGGTGGGGAGTACCTGCCCTGGCTTGAGCGACCGGCAGCATTCCATTTTCTCGTCTTCTTGCTCCACCCCTCCCCTTCTCCGCCACACCCTCAACACCTTGTCACAGATCTCGAGATGTCCTGGTGCTGCTGGGTACGGTACTCATTCTCTGTTTACTAGGTCCGTACTCTGGACAGCAAATTCGCACGGAAGTCAGACCAACTGGTACTTATCCGCCTCCGTCACTCCCATGTACGATTTGCTCTCTCTCCTCTGTCTCCTCTCTTGCCTACCGTACTCTTCTGCTTCTTCCTTCTCCTCTCCTTGCCTACCCTAGCTGTTCCTGCAGTCCTTCATTTTCCTCTTCCCTACCTTACTCTTCTGTCACCATCTCTGACCGCAAGAACCTCCCTTATTGCCCGTTCACTCGTTCTCCCCCAATCTCCGCCTCTTTCTCCGATCGTGTCTCGCCTCGCTACCAACATCATCCACTGTTGCATGGCCTCAGTTGGAACTCGTCTTCGTACAGCTCGACGCTTCATCCTGGCTCTGCCCTGCCCTCGAGTTACACCGGCCATGTTCCACTTGCTGCTATCCTCCTCCTCTTGTCCATCCGCTACTTGATGCTTTCGTACTGTCGGCCAGTCGTGCTAATACCATCCTCTCCCCCCCCTAGTGGCTGAGCACAGCAGCAGGTGGTGCCATCTTTCTTCTCTTCCGCCGCACCGCCTGCGGCTTTCGAGGCCGCCGTCCACCCTGTCCCGTCCCCTCACATGCTGATCTTCTCTCTTTCCTTACGGCAAATTATCCCGCCGAGCGGCCCAGGGTGATATATACTTCCTCTTAACACATACTTTCGTTGTCTTGGAGCTGCTTAGGTCGCTTCATCACTGTTGAAACGGTTTCATCAACCGGTGTCTGGCTTTTTACAGCACGCAAAGACATTACGAAAGTGGGCGACCGTTGGCAGTGTGATATCCAGCTCTCTCTCTTTCTATCAGCAGAGTACTGTATCATGGAGGATCAAGCTGTTACAGCCACGAAGGCTATCTTGCCGGAATCCCAAGGGAGCTCTTCGCAGCAGAATGACGGGGGAAAGGACGACGCGAATCGCAAGAAGACAGGCACGAGGAAACGAACCAAAACTGGCTGTCTCAGTGAGTAACAGTTGAGCCTCGTGATTTTGAATCTCCTTCCTTCCCTTCTCTTCTTGCTGCCGCTGGTACTGCCCTTTCCACCTCACTCCAACACATCCAAATCCCCCCCCCTTTTTTTCTCTAGGCGATCTAACATGATTCTTTTGTCATTAGCCTGTCGTAGGAGGCGGATCAAATGCGACGAAGGCAGGCCGATTTGCCACAACTGCATCAAATCGAGACGAGAGTGCGAAGGATATAGCCAAAGGGTCATATTTAAGGAACCTCTTGGCTCTTTTTCGTCTCCATTCAACCAGGCAATATTTCCAGGCCCACCAAACATCGTTGACGAGTCTTTGCCTGCGCACCGACAGTCCTCAAGGGGACTATTTCCTGCTATTGCGCCGAGACCCCCGACCTTTGACCAGCGACACCATGGTTTGCCTCTTCAATCAAGTTCCGCGCCATATCACCAGCATTACCATCATGAACCATTGATACAAGGCACTTCAGCCTACAATATGGGGCCCAGCCAGTTGCTACAGGCACCTTACAATCCACAATTTCCGAACCCCCTGCTTGCGGCAGAGGTCAACGGAGGACCTACTTACTATGCCCATGCTCCTTCCGACTCCCAGTTCTTCTCTATACAAGACGGCTGCCCTACCGGAGATATGCTCGGCGATTTCCATCATCTGACCGGCAATCACGCTCTTACTGTTCACACTGGAGCCTCCATCGAACAGCCCCTGAATGATCGGTGGGGACTGGACATGCTGGACGATGAAGCGTCCTTGCCCGATTCTGATGATGAGTTACCGGACGTCAGAGGCAACTTGCTGCCAATCAAGAGTATGGTGCCAGAACGTTGGACCACAAGTGCTGTGGATGCCAGCGTCTTTTCTGCCTTTGCCCAGAATGACGATGTTCTAGCACACATGGAGACGCCATATTCTTCTGAATTCTGGGCTAGTGGCCTAAACACGATCTTCATGCATTTCATCAACGTTACTGGCCCTGGCATCTCAATTTTCGAAGGAGACATCTCTTGCGCTTCGGAAAGAGCCAGGAGAGGCACCGCAGCTGGAACTGGACAGAGCTTATGGAGTTGTAAGTTGTTCGACAGGAACCTTATATAGAGGGCGAAGGCCTTTCTGACATTCTCTCTAGACGCCATTCCTTCATTGGCACTTCAACATTTAGGCCTGTTTCATGCAATGCTCGCATTGGCGAGCCTTCAACTTGCGAAGCTCCGAGATAACCCCCCGACGGCAGCTCTGAGGCATTACCATCGTGCTATACGTCGTATAGCCAAGAACGTGAAGTCACCATCCAGGAGAACTCAACCGGCAACTCTTGCTGCTACTCTGCTGCTCGGGTATTTTGAGGTCTGGTCTTCTGATCACACTAAGTGGTGCAACCATCTGTTTGGTGCCAGAATCTTATTCCGCGAGATGTCTCTGGGAGAGATGACTCGGTCTTGTTTTCCAGCAAAGCGCAGGCGGCAACGTCGGGAAGCTGGAGGCTATCAACTGGGACATGTAAGCTCCTATTTCCACCACTCGCATGCTCACGCCGCACCGGCCCAGAGCGGGCAGCGTTCTCTCGACTATGGCTTTTTAAATGCCATTACGGGACTCGCCGTGTCTCCTGAAGCCTACGGTGATGGAGAGGGCCAACCCTCCCACGAAAGACAATTTTCGGTAAGCGATAAAGAGATTGAAAGATACGACATCATCTGCGATTTGTTCTGGTGGTACTGCAAAATGGATGTGTACCAGAGTATCTTGGGGGGAACCAAGTTATTGTAAGTTTCCTCGTCTCTTGGCTGCAGATAGGTCGCTAAACGGGGACCAGCATGGAATATGAGCATTGGACGCAGATCCCTCCAAGGGCTCCCTTTTCAACATATTCATCAGCGTATGTACAGCACCCACCTACTCCTTCCTTTGTGCCTTCAAGAGATGACTTCTATAACTGACATCTCCATTTCAGATATGGCACCTATGACCATTTGATTCTCTTACTCGGCCGCCTCTCGGACTTTGTGTCGAAAGATCTCTCCCGAAAGCAGAAAGTCATAGAAGCTCAAGGAGGTGGTGCTGGAACCGGTTCACCCCCTATGTTTCCAGGCATGTTCCCGACGTTTGGGAAAGTGCAGGCCCCCATGGGATTTAGTCCTCCACGAGACGGCACGCCACACAGTGACTCGCAGGATGACCTTGATCCAGAGGCCAGCTACGAAGCTGCGTTACAGGAATGGAATGCCATTTATCACGCCTTTGAGATCTTCAAGAGCCGCCTTGGGCCCGAATTCCAGCCCCTCGGCGACGAGCTTGATGGTCAGACGAGGACAAAGACACCTTTCGGAGACCCTATCTACTTCCGAACATATTCCATTGCAGGCATCTGGATGAACTATTACATGGGATTTATCCATCTGTATCGAAGCCACCCCTCGATGCCGCCGGTTGCAATGAGGGCAGCGGGCATGACAGCAAAGAAGACGGCTGGTTTCGCGCTCAAGATTGGGCAGATTGCTTCGGGGCTGGCTGCCGACTGCTCAGAGTATACCGAAATCAACACGTATCTCGGTGCTGCCCTCATTGAAAGTTCTTTCTGCGTCTTTGTTGCAGGTGTCCAGGTTCGTACAGCCCCTTACCAACGGCCGCATCGCCCTTTCCTGTCGGATATTTCCCCTACTACAGTGAAAGAAGCTGACAGTCTCTCAGTATAATGATACTGCGCAGAGAGAATGGGTCATTCAGAGGATGCATGACGTTGCACGCCTCACTGGATGGCAGTCGGCGATGCAAATTGCCTGTGGCTGTGAGTCGGCATGGATCAAGGCTAGCCAGATGGGAGGACCGGAGTATACACGACCAACAATTATCAACGACGTTCCGTCTACGATATGGAAAAATCCTCGCCGAATCGACAAGAAAATCGACGAATTAGACTCGAGCGAGGAACGGCGGTTAGTACTGGCCAAGGCTGAAAGAACACATTACGCAATCGGGATACTAGCAATCGAAACAGAACTCGCGAGGCTCGAACTACGAGACGATTTAAACTAACGAGCGATATAGAATGTGTGATGTCCTAGGAGGGCACGCACACAATAGAGAGTACAAGGACATGGGCAACGATGAAGAGGAAATGGAGGACAAAAAAAAAGGCAAAAAGTATAAGGGAAGAAGGTGGTAAGCTAAGGGAAAAAGAAAGTGAAAAGGCGACATAAGACTCAAGTATTGATTGGCACGCAAAGACGCTCGAAGTCATAGTTGGCTGCTGTTACAGCCAAGCATGGTATCTCTGGGATTTCCGCTTTTTGATGAACGATTTTGGCGGCATCTATAAGGGGACTAATGAGAGCCTGGAATCGGGAATCGGAAGGGCAATGAATGAGGGACAGGTTAGTTGGCATGAGAGATCTAATAATGAGGGAAATGAAGTGGAACTGCGGCAACTCTTTCTTTGTGTATTGAGATATCTGATACTGTACCTAGGTAACGTATATCTTGTCTACCTACCTGAGATGGTAGGAATGGATTGTATTGACACAGCAAGGGCCTGAGTGCCGTTTGCAGTCACTTGGACAGTCACTTGCAAGGACTCAGAGGGAAGCAAATGCAAGAATTGCACCCTGTTTCTATTCTCGTTACGCATAGCATTGCTCATTAGTTTGATGGTAGTCGATCGACGACAGCCGCCATCTCTTCGTCTGTGTATATTCTGAAGCCCTTTTCCTTGGTGACGCTAGCCAGCTGCACGTTCTTAGAGTCTAGCTTCTCTTCCATTACTTGTTTCAGAGTCTTGAGAACCAGTGTCTCCGCATCCGCAATTGTTAGAGACTGTCATTATTGTTAGCGGGTGCCGCAGGATGAAAGAGTGCAGTTTGAGAAGTCGAGAAGATAATTGCGAATTGAGAGGAAAAGGAAGCTGACCTTGTGGTATTCGTTTTGCAGCTCTGCTTGCGCTCCCTCCGAGCCTGAGCCAATAGCCTTGGCGTCGAATCGATAAAAGGTACCGCTGGGCTCTGCGTGAAACAGCTGAGGGCCGTTCTCGTCGAAGCCGGCAATGAGGAGTGCAACGCCAAAGGGCCGGCTCATGATGGTCTCCTCTCCATCGGCACCCTCTCCGAAGCGCAGGGCCAGGTCGCAGATGGCCTGGGTGCAGCTCTCGACGCTGAGGGACTCGTTGTAGTTGAAGGCGTGGCTCTGGCACTCGACGCGGGCGTGCTCAATCATGGACCTGGCGTCGGCCTGGAGGCCGGACATGGCGCAGCCGATGTGGCGGTCGATCTCGACAATCTTCTCGACGGAGGAGGTCTCGAGGAGGGAGGATGTGACGCGCTTCTCAACGCCGAGGATGACGCCCTCGGATGTGGCAATTCCAATGGCGGTCGAGCCGAGTTTGATAGCCTCGAGCGAGTATTCCACCTGGAAGAGACGACCTTCGGGGGAGAAGGTGTTGATTCCCCGGTCTGGAGGCAGAGGAGGAAGCTGTTAGCACAATGTCTTGTCTGTCTCCATGTAGGTGCATCCTCGTAGAGGCATGATCCTCTTAGTCTGTGCGTGCGCCTCATCTTGAACGCTGTGGTCTAAAAGGGAACACGCAGAGAGGAACCTCGAGGAGGGGAGAGAGAGGTTGGAGGAGGGGAAGCTGCTTGCCGTATTCAGATCTTGCCATAAACATCTTGACTGATTGTGCGGTTGTGCTTGGCCTAGAGATGCCAGTGAATGTCTCGGCAGGGCAAGATAGTCGTTGAGTGAGAGAGGAGGGCAAACGACGAAGTGAGGCTGCAAGGAAAGGCTGAGAGAAGGATGAAGCTGTACTGCTATCAGGCAAACACTGGGCCTACGCATCCAGTGCAGCTTCCCTGCTCCAGATCCGCCGTACCGAGTACGTACCTGGTGGGGGAGGCAGAGACGCACAACCGCTGGCCAACGCCACAGTTGGCGCCACAGGGAGCTGCGGTACTGACAGGTGCAGGTACAGCTACAAATCCAGAGTAAACGGAAGCGTGGTTTATCCGGCATACGGCGGAATGGCAACCGCGACGCGACTGATGGTCGTGTTTCACCCCACCACGGGTTGCATAGAGCAGGTGCTCCGAAGCTACGGAGGAAGGAGCTTGCCTGCCTTTTATGACCTTGTGAGTGCGGCGCATGCAGCTCATAACTCAATGAACTGCATTTTATACCCCCAGCATCGATACAAGCCTCTACGAGCACCACGATTATACCGAACGGAAGAGCAAAGGCAGACGAAGAATAAGCCGAGGAAAAGAAAGGGCGAACAAGAGAACAACACCCCCATGATAACAACAGGGTGAGGAGCGTTCTCTTCAGCTGTTGGTCCAAGGCCACTTGGTTCTGCATCTCTTTTCTTCTACACCTTCGGATGTAGCTCGCCGCTATGTCATCCGGCGTACGAACGAGGGCATCTAGCCGCGCCACTGCCTTTGTGGACGAGCGATCCCGGATCTCTGGAGCCAATGGAAGCTTTCGAAACGGCATGGCGGATGCGAGAAATGCAGAGGCTCCCCAGTTAGGAGACAGCGAATCACATAAGCGGGCATCACCAGGCAATGCGAGCCGCGTGGGCAAGGCCAGGGACGACAGACGCTACGAGGAGCGTAAAGTCGTCGAGCGGGCCTTTGAGGCTCATGCGGATCGAATCACAACGCGGGCAGCCAGTCCCGCCAAGCAGGAGCAGCAACGGCGCTCGCAGCAGCAGCAACAGCAGCAGACGGACAAGAGGCCAGCCGAGATGCGCAGACAAAAGTCGTCGACGGACCTGCGGTCGAGAGACGTCCGGGCAGAGACGCCCCCAGGTATGGTCTACTCTTCCCCTTTCCGTTCACTTATACTTGGCATACGAAGTCTATAAAGAGCAAGACGAAGAGTCAATCTGTGATCTTTACTTGGTTGTTTCCTATCAGAAGCTGACAGTCGCCATGTTAAACTACATAGGAACTTGGAATCCGGAGGCGACCCTGCTCCCGCACACCTCTGCCGCCCTCGCCTCACGAATCTCGCTCCCTCCAATTGCATTTACAATCCCAAATGCGCCACAGCCGAAACCCCTGCACGAACTGACGCTGGAAGCTCAGGAGGCAGCCATCGTCGAAGACCTGTTGTATGTTTTCATGGGCTACGAGGGACAGTACATCCGATATGCCCGCGGTTACAGTCCCAACGAAGAGAGGGACCGACTCTCTGGGCCGCCCTTTCGTATTCTGCCCGGTCTTGACCCCAGCCTACACGACCTGACCAAGTCTATGCTGAAAATGGCAACATACTACTCAGCTCTGGAAGCGTTCGTCGACGTGCAGAGCCGCGAGGAGTTTGGTGCCGTGAACCATGCCTTGTGTGCGTCAGTGAGAAAGTGCTTGCAAGACTACCTGGTCATGATTGCCCAGCTCGAGACACAGTTTCTGACGAGCGAATCCTTTACCGTCCATGTCCTCAATATTCACACTCTACCCACATGTCAGATGCTGTCCCATCTCTATTCGCTAGCACAAGAGCTCTTGAAGAAGAACGCGCTGCTGGATGACGAAAGCGACGAGGAAGAAGACGATGAAGTGGACGATTACGACAAGGTCCTTGAGAGACTTGCCGAAGGAGGAGACCTTGTCCCTGGAAGTTCCAAAGCCCTTAAAGTCTGCAAGGGCGGCGGTGTTTTGGGCCTCTTGGCCTCGAGGCTTGAATCTATGGGAGGTGACCCGGCTGCCCGATCTTTATTGACTTCATTATTGCGGGATGCGAGCCGACCTTATATGAAGATGTTGAATGAATGGCTCCACCATGGCAGCATACACGACCCTCATTCCGAGTTCATGATCAGAGAACAGAAGAGTATTGGGCGAGAGAGGCTCGAGAGAGATTACATCGACGAGTATTGGGAGAGAAGATATACGATCAGGGACCAGGATGTGCCGCCCCAGTTGGAAGGCGTCAAGGAGAAAGTGCTGCTGGCCGGCAAGTATCTCAACGTCGTTCGCGAATGCGGTGGAGTAGATGTGAGCAAGATCGTGACAGAACTACCGACCTCCTTTGACGACAAACGGTTCATTGAGAACGTCAACAACGCCTACGCTCATGCCAACGAGTCCCTAATGCAGCTCCTCCTCACAACGCACGAGCTTCCGTTGAGACTGCGTTCACTCAAGCTCTACTTCTTCCTCGACCCATCAGATTCCTTTTCCTACTTCCTTGAGCTGGGATCATCAGAACTGAGAAAACCGGCCAAGAATGTCAACACAAGCAAGCTGCAGTCGCTCCTGGATCTCGTCCTGCGCCAACCTGGAACCGTGTCCTCGCTTGACCCGTTCAAAGAAGATGTCAAGGTGGAGATGAACGAGATCACTCTGATCAATAACCTCCAGCGGGTTGTAAACATCACGGGCATAGAGTCAGGCCAAGTGATGCAGCCCGTCATTAACCAACAGCCCATCGAACCAGACAAGAATGCTACTGGCTTTACATCGTTGCAGTTGGACTATTCAGTCCCCTTCCCCGTCTCGCTGGTAATCAGCCGCAAGACAGTCTGGCGTTACCAGGCGCTTTTCCGCTTTCTGCTACATTTACGTTACCTGGAGTCTCAGCTATCGTCGACGTGGCAAGCTCACACCAGAGCCGTGACCTGGTCTCACAAGAGCCCCAACCAGGAGCTCGAAACTCTGAAGAGACGCGCCTGGACCTTGCGAGGGAGGATGCTCGTATACGTACAGCAGGTGCTGTATTTCTGCACCGCGGAAGTAATCGAGCCTAACTGGACAAAGTTCATGTCTCGACTGAAAGCCAAGGACGAGACGTCGGACAGGAAATCCAGCTTCAACCGGACCGTGGACGAGCTGATGCAGGATCATGTAGACTTTCTGGACACGTGCCTCAAGGAATGCATGTTGACAAACAGCAAGCTGTTAAAGGTAATGCTACTTCCCATGGAGATACTTTTGCTCGATCCCTATCCCGCAGCCATCTCCCTATCCTTACCTGCTCGTCTGTCTCCTCTCACTGACACTCCTTGATTACTTAGGTCAACTCGAAGCTCATGCAAACCTGCGCCATCTTCTCCCAGTACACCGGTTTCCTCACTCGCGAGCTGGAAAAGATTGATCCCGACCTCGCGAGCGGCACCAAGCCCGACAACATGACCAACGATCAATGGCAGCGATTCCAGTCCTCCAAAGCGCCCCCCTCCTCACGTTCGACATCCACGCAGCCGGACACGCTGAGCCCGGAGGACGCCGAGGCTCGCGTGACTCACCTCTCGGAATTTGTCCGCAAGTGGGAGAGCAACTTTGGCCGCCACATGAAGATCCTCTCGGACTCGTTGAACCACTACGCCGCGACGGAGACGGTCGTTCTGCTGAGTCTTTGCGCCAGGCTGAGCTCGGTGAATCAGGGCACTGAGTGGGCCGCCATTGGGTTAGATGACGATGACCAGCCGTAAGAGGCTTGCTTGGAAGAGACAAGGAGGTCCATGACGAGGGAACTAGGGGTAATCAACCTCTTTCACGACTGCTTTTTGAGCCCGTGAGAGTTTGTTTAAGGATAATGAATTTTCTTGGTGTAACGGCGTTGGACATGTCAAGAGTCTGGAGAGCAGGAGCGGGCATACGTTGAACTTATTACGAGAAAGGGACTTTCGTAGCGGCATCTTCTGGGTTCTACTTGCGCGGTGGAGTGTCGCAGACAGACGAAGTAATGGGAAAGGGGAAACGGTCACGAAAAGGCCATTTCAAGGCTATCATACCCCGCAAGTAAACAAGACATTCATGCTTTTCTGAGCGGTATATATCAACCGGTATATAAGAGTCCTCCCAGGTGCTATTGACTTTATCCGAGTTCTCCAAGCCCTCGTCCTGCCTATGCCAGTGAAAAAGTTGAGAGAGAAAAAGAAAGAAATAAGGAAAAAAAAAAGGCAGAAGCAGAATGCCACCAGATCCCGAGCGCCGCTAAGATCAAGAGTGGCTCGTGAGAGCTTCGGTATAAGAATGCCACAGGATGCCGTGAGACCAGGGTATGTTGCCGTATCCGGCAGAACTTGCAAAGAAGATTGATTGAAAGGGGGTTGGAGAGGGAATAGATGATTTAGGTCAACGGTCCTCTCAGCCTTGCAGAGCTGCCCCCACGATGATAGATGCTGCTGGATGACAAAAAAAAAAAAAAAAAAAAAAAAAAAGGAAACTCAAGGAAAAGAGAAAGCTGCTGCACGCGGGCCACCGGGTGGAAGACGTTTCCTATGCAGATACATAGGCTAGATCGATAGTGACGAGGGGGATACTGAATAGAAAACCTGAGAGTATGCTGCAACGGAACATGTCGAATATACCGTGTATAAAAATAGGGATGCAGAAACGGCAAAAACGCCTAAACAAGTCGTTACTTCGTTGCGTGGTCTTTATACGATCTTTGACCGGGTAGTTATCATTTGAAGAGACTGCGGAGATCCATGAGCTTCTGTCTCGCTGCCTCAGCCTTGTCCAAAGCCTTGTTTTGGCCGTCCATGCTGAGGCTTGCCAGCTTCACCTTCTTGTCTTGCAGCTCAAGCATCTTCTCTTCAAAGCTGTTGCGCATGATGTACCGAATTGTGCGCACGGGGCGTTTCTGACCCAGGCGGTGCACACGATCGATCGCTTGAGCTTCAGCCGCAGGGTTGTACTGCGGCTCCATAACATAGACGTTGTTGCCGGCGGTCAAGTTCAGGCCCAGCCCACCAGCGGTGATGGAAACAAGAATGACGTGAATGTTGGGATCATCGCGGAATGTGTCCATGGCAGCCGTGCGTGCCTGTCGTGTCATGCTGCCATCAAGCCTGGTGAATCTGATATCTGCTTCCTTAAGCGCCAGCTCGATGAGGTCCAAATGGGACGTCCAGCCTGAGAAAACAACTGACTTGAAGGGTGCTTCTTGTGGATTGGCGTCGCTGGCAGCTTTGGACTTGAGAAGATCCTCAAGGAGGGCCTTGGTCTTGGTATGAGGTCCGTCATACTTGTCAAAGTCTTTGGCGACTTCTTTCGGCTTGTTGGCAGACTTGAGAATACCATCATGTTCACCCTCTACATCCGAACGGCGGATGTTGACGAAGCCGAACCGAACATGCGCATTGCAAACGATGCAGGGACCTGCAAGCTGGCCAGGCGGCAGAGCAGCCTTGGCTCGCTGCTTGAAGCTTCTTATGCACGACTGACACACCACATGGAAGCAAGGCGTCATGTATCCTAGCGTGTCGTCTTCCTTTTCGGCGTCCATTGAGGTTTGCTCTTGGGAGATCTTCTTGTTGCATTGTATGCACGCGTCGTTGTTCGTATCTTGCATCAGTGTGAACATCTCGTGAGCCTTCTGATGAGACAATAGCGCGCCTTCGGCATTTTCATCGTCCTCATCAATATCGATCGCCATCTCTGCCGACATGCCTTTCAGGGCCGCCAAGTCTTCTTCATTCAGCAAGTCTTTGCCATGTGCACAGAGTAGGCGTAGACGAAGGATGGCCTTGAGAATATGAATGTACGTGTTGCCGCCAAGAGCTCCAGAGGTGGGGTTTCCGGCCAAGGCCTTGACCCTGTCCTGGGCGTTGCGAGCAAAAAGGTCATATATGCCGCGCTCATCTGGGCTGAAATCGAGTCTCACGATAAAGTCCTCCCGTGAAGGCAGATCGATCTTGTCCTTGAGGCGGCGGAGTGTGATTGTGTCGACGAGAACGCGGAGCTTGGGCACAATATCAGGATTGCAAGCCTTGAAGGGCTCCACGATATGACGAAGGAACTTGGCTCTTTGGTGGAAGGGCTCCAGGCGGAGGAACGACAAGAGGGCGGCAAAATCATCTAGTCGATTTTGGACCGGAGTCCCGGTAACCGCCCAGCGCCTCTGGGCCTGAAGCCGAACTATGGCCTTGAATTGCATTGTCGACTGCTCCCGAATCATGTGTGCTTCGTCGAGAACGATGCGGAACCAGCCAAGCTCTTCAAGAGGGAAGCTGCCCATTTTGGCCTTGCGACGAGAACTGAGCTCGTTGGAGACGGAGCCGTAAGTTGTAATGACAATGTCGAACTGTGCCAGCCGCGCCAAATCTTTGATACGGTTCGGACCGTGATAGACATGATAGGTAAGCTGACCAGGGGCAATGTGCTGCTTGATTTGCTCCTCCCAGTTCGTGATTGTGCTGAGAGGGCATATGATCAGGGTCGACTTGGTGTTTCGGGTCAGGGGCGTCAGGCCCAGTGGTGCCTGCGCCGCGTCCAAGTCGCGTTTTGCCTGTCTTGTTTCCGGCGCGGACGGCTGCTCAGGCGAGAGGTGCTGAAACTGCTGTGCCTCATCCATGGTGGTTGCTACGAGCGACAGGATGCTGAGTGTTTTGCCCAGGCCCATCATATCAGCGAGTATACCGCCGCGGGTGTCAGAAGGGGGAGCGGCCTGGCTCTCGCCAGTGATGACATTGTGGAAGAAGATCTGTCCACTCGGACTGGGCTTGGTCCGCCAGAAGGACACCATGCCCTTCTCCTGCAGTTGCAGCTCGCGAGGCTTTTCCCTTGCCATCATGAAGTAGAGCCCCTGCTTCTGATGGGTAAGCAGAGGCGTCAGAATAGAACTTGGGGGATCCATGGTTGGTAATTCGTCGCTCCTGGTAAGAGAATCGAAAACTCCCATGACTTCCGAGCGAACTTCCTCAACAGTTCTGGGAGTGAAGTTTGCGCTCCGAGAGCGGTCTCCCTCACGACCCGCACCCGCCCTTGACGGCTGTTTCTTCATTGCGCGCGCGTAATCAGGAGTGTGCGGGTTGCAGAGCCTGATGCCTCGTTGAATGATGTAGGGCTGGTGAAGCGGCACTTGATTCCGCTCGAGGATGGCTCCAACATTTCTGGCGTATTTGAAGGGCCCATACAAGACAATATCAAGTAGGTAGGAGCGCGATACAGCCTGGCCAGGTTCTTGGCCCGGGGCAATGGGCTGCGGGGGGATGCGACAGTCGGTCCTGACGCGGATATTGAAGTCCAGCAAAGGCGCCAAGGCTCTGCTAGCGGAATAGTCGACTTGTCCGATGATCTCTCTGGTGTGGTCGCATACAGGGATTCGGTACGAATCGTCATCGGCCATCCTTCTGAGGATGACCTTGATGCTGGGTTGATAGTTGGGCCCCCACATACTCTGTACCCCCGGCTTTGGCGAAGGAGCTCGGGTGCAGTTTGCGCGGGTCTTGATCATGCCGTAACAAACCTCTTCTTCCTTGGGATCCACGGGCTTCGGAGGGCCGGCATCGTCGTTGACTAAAGGGTAAACGATAAGCAAAAGCACATGGCAGCAACTTCGTCGTGGGTCATGGAGGCTACTCGTACCATTTGTCAAGTCAACAGTAGATGATCCAGGATTAGCCGCCGCCGCAGCACGCTCGGCCGCCATCTTCATGTGGTCGGCTTGCATCTCCCTCAAGAAGAGAGGCAGACGTGGCCCCCCTTCACGGTTCACTCGCTGGCGTTTGGGGAGTGGTTGGGCTTGATTTGTGGGAGCGAGCATATGAGGCATACTGGATCGATGAAAGGGTGTGGGTTGATGCTGAGAACGTGCGAGGCGGCTTCGGCGCAGCGAAGCGACCATTCGATCAGCTCGCGCTTCGTCATCCTCGTCCGGCGGGGTCCCCGGCGAGTCTGGCATTGGCGAGCCTGTCATTGGCGAGCTCATGGTGGATGGGTCGAGAGGGCTGTTAAGCAACGCAGTGAAGGAAGTGGTGTCTGTATCATGTCTTCCGTTGGGCATCTGCTGCCACGTTATGGCAGATTGACCTGGCCCATCCTGTCGAACGTTCGAGTCGTTGTATTCTTGATATTGGCGCTTTGCATGATGATGCGAAGGCGGGACCCATGGCATATCCAGATCGGAGCCTAGAGGCTGCGAAGGCACACCTAGAAGGGAGTCAGTTGAGTCCAACGAGGCCAGGCTAAAACAGGAGGAAGACTGGCAGGCATAGGGGACAGATGGGAGGTTAAGCAAGGCTTCTTTGAGAGTGATATAACTTATCATAGAGGCAAAGCTACCATCATATGCTCGCGGGCGGTGGTTCCGACCTTCAAGATCGAAAGTGAAGGGAGGTAGAGGGTACGATAGAAAGAGGGAGGTCTTACCATTCGTAGCCATCTGCAATATATTGAGTGGCGCTCGGGGCTACACAAAGAGCCTCCAGAACGCAAAAGCAGGAGCCAGAGAGTGATGAAGAGGGAGGGAGAGGCAAAGATGGAGCGTTTTACCGCATGTGTGACGAAGCCTAAATCGTCATCACACAGGCGCATGCAAGGACAATGACGGACGGTGGGCGATAGGGTATTGTCAGGTCTCTGATTCAGATCTGTGCTTCTCTGCCTCTCTTCTTAAGCGTTTGCGGCGAGCGCGAAGTGTGGTCTCACAGACCGAGAGGTACTCGGTATGTGAAGGGCAACGTAAGTTGGTTGTAGAGACAGAGTTGGTGTTGTCGAGGCTTGACCCGGAAGCAGAGAGAAATAGTTGCGAGTGGTCTGAGGCAGAAGAGAGATAAAAAGTCATGTGAGGGCGAGGCTATTGAAAGGGGGCGAGAGAAAGGTGCCTGAAAAAAACACTGCGAGCCTTATAGGCGGGAAGAAAAGATGGGAGGCGAATACCCAAGCGTGAGGAAAAAAGCATGAAATGTTGAGGAAGAGGAAAAGTCGAAAGAAAAAAGCGAGAGCACGAAGCAACCCGCTGATTAAAGATGAAATGTCAAAAGCTCAAGGTATAGCTATGGCTATACAGCAGCATACAGCCACCAGCTGGCGAGCGCACAGAGCGGCTGCTGGAAAGCCGCGATCCCGGTTGTCGATGATGATGCAGAACTGCAGGTGTTGTCTTGGACCAGCAACGCGCTTTTCCCCCTGCTTTTTCTCGGAGGACTCCGTCTGCAGGCGGCTTGTGACGGAGGCAGAGCAGAGACGGCAGCCCGGAGTGGAGGGCAGGGACAACAAGAGGCAGCGCACCAACGAGAGGAGTGCAGCCGGAGGCGAGAGAAGATGCCGGTCTTGCGGTTGTTATTGGAGATGCGAGAGTGCGTGAAGTCTCTCTTGCAGAATCATGGATGTTCTGCCTCCAGGCAGGTCGCAGCGGTAGTGGAAAAAAGTGGGTTAGCGGGATAGCGCCTTGTACATTCTAGGTACCTGTAGAGGCTGGCGGCAGGTGCTAAGGAAGCAGTATCGCGGAATGCTGAGTGGCTGCAGCAGTGGGAAACAGGCGGAAGAGCGGGGCGCTGGAGGGGCCTGGAGGTGGCTCTGCGGTACCCGATGGTACATGGACGGGCACGGCGAGGGACCTCCACTTGGGGACGGAAGGATGGAAAGCAACTCCCGACTTTCTTTTGAACGCCTAGACTACATGCCATGCTTGTACGAGTACCGATCAATATCTTGATTTTGTTTGACTGAAGAAACATCACCTGACTGCCCAAACTCATGAGGTGATTTGCTACAAGAAACAGTGCCTAGGTAGGTCTAGGTACTCTCTGGAGCGGTATGTACAGTGCTAAGGTTTCTGTAGCCCACCTTCAAGATGCCTTTTCCACGCCTCCAGCCCAGAAGAAGAAGCATGTGATTGGAGAGGGAGCGGAAATGTTTGCAGCAACCTGGACGGCAATCGATCCATCAATCTCTGTCCAGACGCAACTCTTCGGACTCCCTTGCAGCTGAGCCGCAGTGACTCGTCCGCGATCTTCGCGGAACATGCACCAGGTTTTCGTTAGCACTGAGAATGACGATGCCAAGTACCTCGTACTTTGATCTCAGATCAATGCAGCAGCTGAGTACATTTGACGCCATCCAAGTCTCGCCATGTCTTATTACTCGACTGGAGGAGTACAAACGGTATCTGGCTTCGTCGATAGTCCCTCTCTCGCTTCGTCCAGCGTCGTGCCGTGATTCCAGTATCAACCCACACACCTCAGCAAGAGCACACAATCTCACCAAAGCCTACTTCTACTGCCCTCCACTTGTCGTTGCCGCTGCTACCGCTGTGCACACCACCGCCAGAGGCTCTGGACTTGGTGCTTTCGAGGCAGCAAAAGCAGCCCCAAAAAAAGCGCTTGCGGCTACTGCAGCCAAGCAGGTCACCTGCACAGCACCGTTTGCAGCGACAGGGATCCTCCAGCGCTGGCCCAGTCCGTGCGCCCTCCACCAGAGCCCCGTCAACCCGTCGCGGTGGCGCATCTCGCCCGCATCGCTGCTGCTGCTGGGACTCCCCGATCCCCCGGAGGAGCCCGCCAGAACGCTGGCAGAAGCCCTGGACAGCGGCCTCGACAGCCTGAAGGCAGCCGGGGGGCCCTCTGGAGGCCTGGGGCTCTGGAGGGGCCTGCCCCGGACAAGGTGGGCACGTGATGCAAGCGTCCAGTATCTCGTCCTGCAAGGTCACCACCCTGCTGTCGTGATCCCTGAGATGCGCTCCAAAATCCCCCGAGCAATATCGACGATTGCCGACCGCCGGCGACGCGCATTGGGCGGTATCCTGTCACTTCTCTGCTCTTGCTATTTTCTGCTGCCACGGCTGACGATGGCCTGAGTTCTCCTGTCAAATCATCCCAGATCCTCCCTACACGTTCGCCCGCACAATATGCATGGCTGACACGAAGTCGCAGCCAGCTTTTTGGCGCCAAACAATGGTCGACACACCCACCAGCAACCGCTGCTGCCAATTGCCGTCGCTCATGAGCATGAGGCCATAAGACACACAGCCTGACTGCATGCTCGTTGCCGGTTACTGGTTGCTGGGCTAGACAAAGTATGCGATACGTGTGCTTTCCCTTGCCTTGCTTGATCGACGCTACCTCGACTACCGCCAAATCTCGCAACCCAAAGACGAGCAGTTTGCCCAAAGCCAAGGACGGCACAAAGAGGGGAACAGAGACAGTGACGCGTTATCATGTGCTGGGCTCCTCCTTTGGATCGAACTTGATCGGAGCGAGAGGGTGCGAGAAGTTTGCTAGATGGGACATGGCCAATAACACGGCGACTATGTCAAGCGCATCTGTGTCGGCATCAAGGCAGAGGGTAGTATTGGCTCGCTCGCCGCGAACCCGGGCTATCACAAGGCTACTAGCTTCGAACCATCAGAGCTGAAAAATGATGGAGCTGCAGCGGGTCCAGCAGAGGAAGCTTCTGAGTCGTCTTTGCCTGTCTGCGTGGAAGAGCAAATGCCGCTTTTACCCATGCTGCAGACGTCTATTGACGAGGGCTGATATTGAGTGGCCGGTAAGCGCGACGCCAATCTGCCATCTGAGAGCCATGCTCTGAGTTCGTGCCGCGATAAGGCTCAAGGTATTGCAAGCCCCAAGCCATCCCGGGCAGTGGAGGCAGATCGATTCGATGAGTCCCGATTTCGATACGCCTTTTGAGACAAGGCGCCTTTGTGTTGTCCGCCAGTGATTCGATCATGACAGCCTGCCCTTGCGGAATCGATCGAACCGTCTAGTAGCTCAAAGGACAGCTCATCAACTGTCTGCTACAGGTCTTGCTAGCAGGGGCCAAGCACACGACTTCGGAACGACTGGGCGTGATGTCTTAGAACGTGTTTCACCCATGTCTGCGTTGTCCTTTGCCTTGCCTGGCGAATCGATAAGCCGCGCTCTAAACTTAGCAGTCGACGACTTGTCATATGTCATAACCCGCGTAACCGAGCTCCAGGAGCTAAATCAATGATGCCTTCCAGTTGCTATGAGCATACTGTACTGCAATGTGGCGTCCTCCAACTTAGGCGGCAACTCGGGTAGATTGCTTCGTTCCCTGCTTAACGTGAAACTGACTGATTCTCGGAAGACGAGTTGCGGTTGATTTAAGAAGTACTACATAGGTACCGACGTGTCTCATCTGACTGTCTCCATGATGATAAGGTATTGTTACCGGCTACAGTGCCAGGGGCGTATCAATCCGGTTCAGAAGCAAGCCGTCATGAAGGCTTGAGGCATCAAGTTAAACATACAAGACAGTTAAACGGATGAATCAAGTCGCTCACTCGATCGGGAGGGTAAGACTGCAGCCCAAAAGCTTCTCATGGATCTCAGTAGCTGCCTAGTAGATAAGTAGCCTTTCGTCTCGAGCATTCATTTCCCGTCCAGCTTCATCTCTGCGATAATGCCTTGAAGATGGATAGATACCTTGTAGACACTTGCAAGCTTGAAGAGCTTGAAAGGACCATGACCCAAGATCCGGGTACGGAGTACCTCCGTAAGCTTCCCGAAACCGACGCCATATTACATAAGCGACCTCGCACGAGCCTCGAATTCCCAAATTCCAGCCTCACGGTGCTCAACGCCTCGTGCCTTGTCCAGCGAAAAAACGACATGCCCCGCCATCCCCGCCAATCCCAATCCAAGAAAAGAAAGCTGCTGGGATTGCCATCAACCGACTAGCTGGCAGTAGAACAGCCTGGCCTGACTGAGCATCAATTTGAGCATCCAGAAGTCCGGCAAGGCGGCGCCCTATCGCACAATGGACATCACCAACTTCGTCGTCCAGGGCCGAGACAAGGCCCTGCTGTACGGCGACTTCTCGACATACCATGGCCAGCTGTCCAAGCGCCTGCTCAACTCGCGCAAGAAGCTGGGCATCGTGACCAGGAATCGAGGCAAGTTCCGCAAGCCGGAGCAGGTCACCGCCGAAGATGTCCAGGGAAACATTGAGTATGATATCATCCGCCACCGAAGGAGCAAGCAATTGACCGAGCTGGCTGCTAATGTTTTGCTGCCAGACATGTCCACCTCCTCCTCCTCACCAGCGAACGCGCCTGGGCTCAGGCAATGAGCATCAAGGCGGCCCATGCGAACGACCAGAGGGGCGTTGTCGGCCGCGCCCGGTCTCACATCGTCTCCCGACTCGAGAAAGCCGCTCGAAGCGCTGAGCAGGTCGTTACCGTCCTGTCGCAGACCGATGTATCTGGCGCCAGTGCCACCGATCTCCTCGAGGCTCGGGCCTACGCATCCCTCATCCGAGGCGCCATGCTGTTCGAAAAGCAAAGCTGGGAGCCTTGCCTGCGAAGCTACGCCGTGACGTATGTCATCTACACCGCACTTGCTACGGCGACCAAGAGCGATATCTTCAAGGACTTGCTGTCCGAGACCGTCGAGCCGTCGATCCGGTTCGCTGCCTACCAGCTCAAGACGCCCCGAACGGTTTCCGTCGCCACTCTGGCAAAGAACGCCTTCCCGCGGTCAGACGAGGCTCTGGTCCAAGAAATCAACCGACTCGATGCATCCATTCTTGCCGAGGCAAGCACGGGGTCTGCAGAGGGCATTGCAGTCGGCGACGCTGCCCCCCAGACCCTGACTTGGCGAGCGCACGAAGTCCAGATCGAGGATGCACAGATAGCCACCTCTTGGGCTGTTGTTGGTGAGGCTAAAGAGCGGCTCTCGCAGACTATTGCCAAGTCCCAGGACAAGAGGCCGCATGAGGTGGCTGCCGCCTATGATGAGATTCTGTTAACCACCCAAGATGCTGTTGATGCTACCAAGAAGGCCATCGACGAACTTAAAGGGGACGGCGTTCCCCAAAGCGATCCCAGGATGCAGCGGCTGCAAATTACACGCACTGCAGTCAATTACGAGATGATTAGCTGGAGAATTGGTCGAAACCGAGTTCTTACAGGTCCCCATGATGGTGCCACAGAAGAGTACGGCTCATTAAGAAGGGGTAAGAAGAAGGACGCGGACTCGGCCGAAGCAAGGAAGGAAAGGGAACTGCCCTCTGGAAAGAAACTCGTTAAGCTTAAGGAGAAGACTGCGCTGTACGATGGTATCCTTCAGAACTTGGAGTCGATCAAGGAGCTTCCCGGAGTTGCCGCCGACGAGGAACTCGCCGCCAGGATTGAAGCTTATGAGAGTTACTTTATTGCGCTCAAGTAAGGACCACATATTCTGGGAGTGAGACGGCTTACTGTGTTAAGATCAACCACTAACAAGCATGCATAGGCATCTTGCCATCGCTCGGTCACACGCCATCATCGGCAACGCTGCCAATGCCTTGGCCCTCATCAACCGAGCTCTGGAGCTCAGCCAAAAAGCTGTAGAAAAGCTGCCAAGCTCGCAGTCTATTTCCGATGAGCTCCCCCTGAGCCTCGACATTTCCCCGGAGTCCATCAAGTTCGTCGAGCGAGTGATTGATGGCGAGCTGCAGCGCCATCGCGCCATTGTCCACGTCGACAACCTGCGCAAGAAGCAATCCGAGGCCGTCGAATACGCAAGCGACCTCCCCCTCGTCGAGAAGCTGCAAGAGTATCCCGTCGGCGGGGCTGACCTCAACCACATTGTGGAGTTCCCTCCGAAGGAGGCAGTAATTCCGGTCAAGCCCATCTTCCTCGACGTTGCCTGGAACTACATCCACTACCCCGGCAAGCAAGTCCAGGCCCAGGCGGGCAGCAACCAGGCCGACGAGGGCGCCCATGAAGCCGAGCAACCTGCTCAAAAGGCTAAGAGAAGCTGGTTTGGCTTTGGAAGGTAATGCTTTTCGATACGCATTGTGTTGCACTAGGATTGAGCAGAAAAATATTTATACAATACTCACGATTTTTCTCACTGCTATGACAGGCATAATTTGCCATCCTTTCGTCTTTTTAGTGACTCTTGCCTAACGATCTTTCACTCTATTCTGCTCATGCAGTCATTCGTGTGAAATATGCACTGGGGAATCCTGTCACGAGCGTTTGTCTCACAAGTAAGTCACGTTCACGAAAGTATCACTCTGCTCTCAGGATACCCCTTGGAATGGAGTCGCAAATTCAGGGAGAAAGGGGGAAAATACTTCAACCCTTCCTCCGCCGGCAGCAAACACAGGACGCGCGGTGCAATGTGAAATTCAAGCAAACTCGACGACTCTGTCTCTATAACCGCCCTCCCACAAAGTCGGTTGCATGCATCTCTTCCAGGCTCAGTGGTGATCCAACTCTCCATTCAAGCTTCCTTCACTTCAAAGCACATACACATCTCTCCTCTTGATCATGGCACCAGGCTACAGGTCGCCCTTCGACCACCATCTACCCCCCAGCATCGCAAACTACAACTTCTATCACCCAAAAGCCACGCTCCTCGTATTCCTCGCCATCATCCTCTGCGTCTTATCCGTCACCGTCTACATCGAACTCAGCACTATTCGCGCCATTGCGGAGGAGGAGCAGCACGCCAGCTTTCGTGAGCAGCAGCAGCAGCAACATGGTCCAAAGGGCGGCTCCCCACTGCCGGATATGACCCTCGATCGAGCCGCTATGATAGCGAATTATTCTGTCGTGCGCTCGGGAAGGGATCCTCGAAGGGCTGTGAATATCCGCCATCTGTTCCTCCGCGAAGAGGGCTATGGTGCGGAGAGTGGTGATGTGCAGCAGCCTTTAATGTCGCCAGAAGGGCATACAGGTACCAGTCCGTCGGAGCAGGATACCTACGTCATGGAGATGGCTGCACGGCATGATGATGTGCAGAGAAAAGGGTCTATTCACTGGCATGGGACCAACACATTAAACACATCATGGGGGTGGATGGCTTAAGAGTTCGAAGGTTGCCATGTCAGCACGATAGCATCACTTGTTGCAAGATAGTATTACGGACGACCACATAGTCGAAGCGACCAGAAAGTAAGAGGGGAGAAAATCATTATCATCTAACTACCTAGTGTTTGTTTTTTCTCTTTTTGTCGTGTTTGCCTCTTCGCCCATACCACCCGGTACGACCGTACATTCATAAACCAAAAAAATAAGAATAGAATCAGTCAAAGAAAAAACATCTCCTAGATAGTTTTTTGATGCTCCAACGCCTGTTCCGCCAGCCAGAGGTATTAACAACATGAGTAAAAACAAACAGGGCAAGTGCATAGCAGCTTAGGCTGGATATGAGTACATCATAAATACAGCAAGAAGAGGGATCTATGCCACAGCCCCGCGCTTCTTTTGAATATTCGAACAGTAAATGTGGTTTTGATACAAGAGATTTTTTGGTGTTTTTGCTTGGTGTTTTTTTTTTTTTTTTGGTTTCCCAGATGAACTTTTGTTAGACTCGCTCGTCGCTAACCTTCACAAAAGAGGCCATCTTAAGGCTTGTTCTCGTCCTTCTTCTCGCCCTCGGTGGACTGCTCGCTGGAGGCCTGCTCGGCGCTCTCGCTGCGGGCCTTGTGCATCTTGTCGAAGAGGTTGAGGGAAGCGACCTGGAGCTCGTCGGTCTTCTCCTTGATCTCAGCGGCGGTGGCAGTGCTGTCGCCAGACTGGATCTTGGTGACGAACTCGCGGAGAGAGGCAATCTTCTCGCGCAGGCCGTCGACCTCAGCCTTGTCGAGCTTGTCGGCGTACTCGTCAAGGGCACGCTCGGTGTCGTTCAGGACGCTGTCGGCGCGGTTGCTGGACTCGATGGCGGCCTTGCGCTCCTTGTCAGACTCGGCGTACTTCTCGGAGTCCTCAACCATCTGCTGGATCTCGTTCTCGGAAAGACCGGAGCCGGAGGCAATGGTGATGGACTGGTCCAGGTTGGTGGACTTGTCCTTGGCGTGGACGTGGACGATGGAATCGGCGTCAATGTCGAAGGTGACCTCGATCTGGGGAACACCACGACGGGCGGGGGGGATGCCAACAAGCTGGAAGTTTCCGAGCAGCTTGTTGTCGCGGACGAGCTCACGCTCACCCTGGTAGACCTTGATCTCGACGGCAGTTTGGGAGTCGGCGGCAGTGGAGAAGACCTGGGACTTCTTGGTGGGGATGGTGGTGTTTCGGTTGATTAGACGAGTGAAGACACCGCCCAGGGTCTCGATACCGAGAGACAGGGGGGTGACGTCGAGGAGAAGGAGATCCTTGACCTCACCAGAGAGAACGGCACCCTGGATGGCAGCACCCATGGCGACGGCCTCATCGGGGTTGACGGACTTGGCGGGGTCACGGCCGAAGATGGACTTGACGGACTCGGCAACCTTGGGCATACGGGTCATACCACCGACCAGGATGACCTCCTGGATGTCCTTGGCCTGGAGGTTGGCGTCCTTGAGGGCCTTGCGGACGGGATCGATGGTGCGGTTGATGAGAGGCTCAACCATCTTCTCAAGCTGAGAGCGAGTGAGCTTCAGGTTGATGTGCTTAGGGCCGGAAGCATCGGCGGTGATGAAGGGCAGGTTGATGTCGGTCTGGAGCGAGGAAGAGAGCTCGATCTTGGCCTTCTCGGCGGCTTCACGGATACGCTGGATGGCCATGCGGTCGCCAGACAGATCAATGCCAGAAGTCTTCTTGAACTCGGAAACCATGTGGCGAACCAGGTGGATATCGAAGTCCTCACCACCCAGGTGGGTGTCACCGTTGGTGGACTTGACCTCGAAGACACCGTTCTGGATCTCAAGGATGGAGATATCGAAAGTACCACCACCAAGATCGTAGACGGCGACGACGCGGTCAGCCTCCTTCTCCAGACCATAGGCAAGAGCGGCAGCAGTGGGCTCGTTGACGACACGGAGGACGTTAAGACCGGCGATCTGACCAGCGTCCTTGGTGCTCTGACGCTGGGCGTCGTTGAAGTAAGCGGGAACGGTGACAACGGCGTTCTTGATAGGCTTGGCAAGGTAGGCCTCGGCGGTCTCCTTCATCTTGCCGAGGATGAAACCACCGATCTGGGAGGGAGAGTAGTTCTGGCCACGGGCAGAGACCCAGGCGTCGCCGTTGGTGTGCTGGACAATCTTGTAGGGGACCTCCTTGATGTCACGCTGGACCTCGGCGTCGGTGAACTTGCGGCCTATTAAACGCTTGGTGGCGAACAGGGTGTTCTCTGGGTTCACGACGGCCTGTCGCTTGGCAGCAACACCGACCAGTCGCTCGCCATCCTCGGCGAAAGCAACTACTGAAGGAGTGGTACGGGCACCTGAAACGGGTCAGTATAAGGAAGATGCGACGGTGAAAACGAGGCATTGGTTTTGCGTGGGCTTGCGCCAAGCAAAGGGGAGCTAGTACTAACCTTCTGCGTTCTCAATGATGCGGGGTGTCTTGCCCTCCATGATGGCGACGGCAGAGTTGGTGGTTCCCAGGTCGATACCGATGACGGCACCCTGGACCTTGCCGTTGCTCTCTGTTGACTCATAGCGAGCGAACTTGGAGACTGCAGGTGTTCTGGCAAAGGCGGCCGAGCGAGCGATGAGGGGAGAGGCTCGGGGAAGCTATCCAGAGAAAGGCATGTTAGCAAAGCATTCGACGCACAGCAATAGCTCAGCATTGCGTCACTTACAGCTCGGGAGAATCGCGTAGCGAGCATGGTGGATGGAATTGAGGGTATACAATGGATGAAGAAAGGAAGAAGAGGAACAGAGAGGAGAATAAGAAACTCGCAATCTGGGAGGAGAAGATGGGAGGTTTTAGATATGCAGAAGAGGAATGAGATGGAAAGGCTGGAGAGAAGAAAATGGTGGAGAGAAGTGAATTTTTTTTTTCTTCCTAGCCTGGAAAAACCGCTCGGTGCAGCGACGGTCGGCCATAGAAGCCGAGAGAAAGAGGCAACAGCGCAAGTCCCGCAGTCCCGGTCCCACCCGCCGCACCGGCGATGCCGGAACAAGTGATTATCCGGCGGCAATTCTGGAGAAATGCTGGCAGGCAGATGGAGTTCGCAGTCAAAATCACGGGCCGCGGCAGGAAGAGAAGAAGGCGAGCTTCGGCGGGTGACGAGGCTACGATCGGCTCAATGAGATGAATCTCACCTCATCACAGACGCAAAGATAATACTGGGAGTCTTTCCTCTGGTCACTTCATCGAAGAAACGAAGAGCTTCAACTGTAGCTTCTACTGACTTAAATAATACTGGGCATACCTTGGCTCAAGGGCTACCTAGACATTGAGACTTGGCTTCAGTCTCGAGCAACTTTCAGGTTCGAAAAGCTTCATTCTGGAGGTCAGATGTCGGCATATTCTCGGCACTACATACGACGCCATGCATCATCAGTTCAGCCCAAGAGACTTCATACGACTCCATGCATCAGTTCAGCCAAAGAAAACAGCCCCGAACCGCCAAAGAGGCGCCAAAAGCAAACATCACTGGCAAGCTGCCGTGTCCGAAGACCCTGCCGCTGCCTTTTTATCTCACCACCCTCGCTCTCTTTGCTTTTTCTTGCCCTCCCCCTTGCCTGGATGCCGTGCCACTCCTTTGCTGGCAAACAAATTTTAGTCTATTGACGCATGTTTTATTACTTGATACCTGGCGCTTCTGCAACTTTGTGCCACCCACGGGAGCACCTTTTGATGACCAGTAATTTTCTCTGCAGTGTGTGTGCTTGACGCAGCTCTGCCACATGTGAGGTACAAGATATTACTGCTTGGCAAGGGTCCTACATAAAGATCCAGACCTTTATTACGTATCATTGCCAGGATACGAAGTAAGTATGCAGGGCGCTGAAGTTTTCATTGAACGTTGCTTTTCTTCCCGAAGTTGAGTCGAGTGGCGATCAGGGTCTCAGAACCAATACTTCTGCGTGGAGCCACGACCAGTGCAATTGCGCGCTCTCTCATTCAAAGTACAAGCACAGACGTGATGCAGCTGCAGACCGCAAATTCAATCCTCCAGAGCCCATCCAGCATAAGGTGTAATAAAGTCCCAAATACATACTGCCACTCTCCACGATCTACCTGTAGCCTCTGTTAGATCATGCTTGATAGTGCTACTTGCCCATTAGAGAACGGCTTAAAAGGCAATTTCTGGATAGTTTTCCTGAGGTGATCAATTGTCCGACGTCATCTACCCACCTTACCCTCGTGTGTCTATCCGGGGAGCCGCTCAGCCGCTATACAGTAGCGCTATTCACTGGCCTCGAACCCCAAGATACAAGTACCGGATACGCGCGCATCGCTTCCGCGTCGTTGCTTGGACGACCAGGCGCCGACACTGCATGAAAGTACTGGGTACTCGCCCTGCGTTGTGCCTCCACAGAGCTTCGAGCCCTGTAATCTGCGCTCGTACGGCACTCTGACTGCGCTGAAGCGTTCGCTAGGCTCGTTCGCTGATGGAATAAGCCCGCCACCTCCCCGGCCATCTCAGCCCGCCGATGCCTGTGTTTCGGCTTCTTCCTCAGAATTCGGAACCCAATCCCATCACGACCTTCTTCTCCTCACTCCATCTCCCTTTTCGCCCGCCCGTGTCTCGTTCAACTCGACTCAGTTTCTTTACTGCATTGACTCGACTCGCCGACCCATCTGCAGGCACACGCTGCCCATCGAAGACCGCATCATCACCACCCGAGGCGTGTCCTTGCCCTGAGCCTGTGCCTGGCTGCCCCTTTGGGTGCTGCATCGCAGCTAGGCCTCTTCGCCATTGAGCCCCGACTCGCGCAGCGACGATTAATCCGCCGACGACGCTATTATGGCTCGCAAAGACGATGCCTCGTGAGCAATCCCCCTTGTTCTGCCGCTGCTGCTGCCCAGCCCTTTGTTGCTGGCCTCTGCTGCTGCTGCTGCTGCGTTGCCGTTGCTGACCATGTCGATGCCGAACGGCTACGCAGCTACTATACCTCCGATCGCCTCATCTCCAGAATCCAACGAACGCACTTCCGGGTTCCTGTTCGCTCACAGTATGTCCCTTAAACCAACCATATTGCTCTTGCAACCATTTCCATGGGGTAGCTTGCTAATCAAGGTCCTCTATCTTCCTATTAGGCATTGGCAGCTGCGATCCCTCATAAGCGCCGAGAACAAACACAACCTCTTCTACCCCGGTGGAGTTGGGAGCCGTCAAGTCCAGCGGCTCAACACCCTAGCCCGCAGCTGCGAAACGATCAAGCACCTGACGTTTGCTCCACGATGCCTGGTGGCCGAGAACGGATGGCTTTGCTGCGGGAGCGAGACGGGCGAGTTTGTGGCGATCAGACTCGAGGGAGAGGGAGGCCGTGCAATAGAGAATCCCCAGAACCCTTCATCTGGCTCGGACTCTGAAGCCGGGCCCTCTCTCGCTAGTGAAGACTCCACAATGTCGCCTGAGGAGGCTGCACTCAACATGCTTACGGCGGCCGCTCAGCAGTCGGCCAAGGTTACGGCAAAGAGCATGAAGCTCGCCAAGGAGCGGGTCAACTGCATCACTCTCTGGTTTCCTCCTCCCGGTGACCAAGGTTTGCCGGTTGACGGCCGCGCTTACTCGGAACCCGTTGCCGTCCTAGCCAACAACGATCGAACCGTGACGCTTGTCAGCCTCAATGACTTTGACCAAAAGGAGGTGACTGAGCCCTTGGAGGTCGTCCAGTATCCCGACTTTGTCAACAGAGCCGTCATTTCGCCTGATGGGCGCCTCCTCATCGCCATCTTGGACGATCCGTATCTCTACGTCCATCAGCGAGCTGGGCCCTTCCCCGGCAAGTGGGAGCTCAAGCAGAGGATCCTTCTCAAGAGCCAGAAGAAAGATGACAAGACGGACAGCCGCGGAAGCTTTGCGGCGTCCTTCTCAACCTCTGGCGGCTACCTTGCCGTTGGAACTCAGCACGGCACCATATCCATCTTCAACGCGACGCAGTTGACTGACGAGACGGTTGACCCGCTCATCACCACCTTCCAGTCGTCGCGGCCCAACAGCGGGCCAGGAGCTGTTCGAGACATGGCTTTCTGCCCTGGGCCGTACGACCTGTTGGCGTGGACCGAGGATCGCGGTCGCGTTGGCATCGCCGACGTGCGCCACAACTTTATGGTTCGGCAGATTATCGATCTCAACAAAGAGTCCGAGTATGAGCACATCAACATTTTCGACACCCAAACCATTGACCCACGGCTGCTGGAGACCCGGATGACGAGGGGAGAGGCGTTGAACCCCCCTCTCTCAGCGGCCGGCTTCCTCAATGCGCAGATACTACACCAGCCGCTCACACCGGCCGAGACTAGAGTTCTCGAGGCCATCCAGACCGAACGCCGGCGCAGAGATAGGCCCAGCGGTCAACTTGGCGAAGAGCGAGGCAGTGGAGGGGCAACGGGGTGGATAGGAGGAACCGGCGCCACGCCCACGGCGACGTCTTCTTTCACCACCCGAGCCCGTCAGAACACCAACCAAATTCCCAACGAGCTGCTCAGTGTGTACAGAGACCATCGGGAGCGGGCTCAAGAGCGCGTGCGCAATGCCCGCCAGCTTCTGCGTGAAAGCGGCCCAGGTGCCGGAACGCGGGCCGAGCAGCGTTGGATTGATCGGATCAACGAAACGATGGCGGCCTTGCGGGACCAGCGGGACAGGCAAGACTCGTCGTATCTGTCCGTTCTCGAGATTCTCCAGGCTCGGGAACGGTCCTCGGGAGAGGGCTCTGCCGTTGACGACCGTCCGATTCTCCCGCCCGTGGTCAACTCAGTGGCCAGTCGCTGGGAGGAGAGCGCCGTGCGAGGTACGCTGGCACCGGACCATGGTGTCTTTGAGGTCCCGCCTTCGCCTGACAACACGTCCGGCCTATCTTGGAGCCAGGACGGTACCGTACTGTGAGTATACCTGTGATTTCTTTATTATCTCTTCTCTTTGGCTCCTCTCGGTCCATTGTCTTATACATGCTCACCCACACGTTCGTAACCTGATGCTAACATTCAATGCTCTACACAGATTCGTTGGTGCTCAGAATGGCATCTACCAGTTACGCGTCGACATTTCGGCCAGGCAGTTCTACAACAGCATCGAGCTGCGTTAAAAGCAGTATCCTCTTCCACAGCTGAAGGGAGAGGAAATTCTCCGCAGGTAGGGGTCGCAAGACTCCTCGGAGGATACTTGAATTTGGCAAATATAGCAGGGATTGGATGGCGTTCACAACAAGTTGCCCAATTTGGACAACCCAGGAAAAAGTAACAAGGACTCTTCGCATCTGAGTTCTTTGGTTTTCGGTTCATCTTCATTTGCATCTTGTCCCCCCCTGCTGCGTCTGCTTTTTCTTCTCATTCTTCCATCGTCTGTACTCCCTTGTACACTCTTTAATCCTTCTTTGCAATGATGGTTCACGACATCGAGATGAGCCGGGTATTTCGGCACTTGTTACCGTTTCTTCTGCGTTTGTTTCTCAGTTCGTTTCTTTCTCCTCTTTTTGGCATGGAATACTGGAATGGCACAGGGTGGGAATTGCACATTGACGCGACGCCTTTTTACTTTTGATGCCTTTTAGGGGCCAGAGTTCTGGATGGATCCAGTCCATCATCTGTCACTGCAGACTCGCTGCAGGGTTCGGTTCTTGAATTTGTATGATATCCGGTCTAAATATGGAAATCGCAGGCTTGTTTTACTTGAGATTCTCTTTCTTCTAGCAATGCATTGTGCTATCACTTATGATTCAGCTGGACAGACTGGCTGGGTCACGGAGGAGAAGAGCAGTAGTGTTTATTGATGACGAACCATCCCAATTCGTCTGGAGGGCGAAGCTGGTGTATCTTGCAGAAAGAGGCCAAGATCAACGGCCCAGGAATAAGTGGCTTAGATGCCTGACGCATCAAGAATTATGCTTCCGAGCCTGCCTTGGCGGGAAGGTCCGTCTCATCAGTATTGGACATGCTCATTGGCAGGCAAGCAGGTACTACTTCCACCTCTGCCGTCAAAAGGAACTCAGGTCAAACATCCATGTCGATAAGGATCGAGCTCTGGGGGAACGCTGAATGTCCTAACGTTAATAATGGGATCGCGCAGGTTCTCCCGGGTGGCCTGGCAGCCATCAACCGCTGCCCCCCGCAAGCCCCCAGAACTCAGCGCCCCAGCGGGCTTCAGGCGTCCTCTCCAGCGCCTCCCGTTCTCAGTTTAGCGGCCGACGCCCACTCTTCAGCGGCTGGTCTGATGACCGGCGCGAGTCACTGGACTGCGGAAGGCCGCTGAGGTGGTTCGACCTTTTCGCCCCTCTGGCTGTCGTCCAGCCGTGATCAGCGGCACATCACGCAGTTGGAGTCGAAGCTTGGGGCGCCGGCAACGCATTGCATGTTACCACCCGCACTCAACACCTTGACTATTTGACTGCGCAGCTCTCCCCTTTTTACTTTTCGTTAATTCACCGCAGTTACGCGTTTGCTGTCCATCATCATCGAACCGACGACAACTCTTGACTCATATACCTTGTTCCAGGCCGGCTTCACCATCGTCACAAGAGCGACGCTTCCGCTGATACCGCTCCATGTTTTCCACCTATGCACGTCTGCAGCACCTACTTCAACGGCCCTCAGAAACCACCTGACAAGACGATTTGCCATCTTCGATACTAGACAGTTAACTGCCAAGCTTCTTAACAAACGTTGGGAATACAGAGCTGCAAACCGAGAACAAGCGAACAAACGTCACCGGCTACACGCTCTTTTCTCTCTTCTCTCCTTCTTTCTCTACTTCCTCCTCTCCCTCCATCACTCCCAGTCCCTCGTATTCACCAGAGCAATTGTCCCGAGTTCGTCAGCTGTTTGTTCTACCTACCAAATCAGTCGACACAGCCAAACTCCCACCATGGCGGCCAACGGTGACGTCTCCTCCGTGCCCCGCTCCGAGTCCCCCACTGGATCGCCTCGCTCCGCGTCCATTTCCTTACATGCCGCTGCCGCCTTGAATGCCGGCCTGCAACGAGAACCTTCACGCAGTAAGTTGGCACCGGTTCATTCTGCCCCCGGCCAAAGAAAAGAGTTTCACCCAACCTATTTGCGCCTTGCACCGTTGCTCTCTTGCCGACATTATCTGTATCTGCTGCCATCATCTAACTCTTCCGCTCTCGGCAGGATCGTCCAACAGCTCTCTAGCTCGCAGCCTCGCATCTCCGTCCAGCCGGCGTCGATCAGCCATCCTCATGAATCTCCAGCTCAACGACCCTGCTGTGCCAGCGCCCGGCGAGATGTTCCACGATCCCATGAGGGCAAGCCCGCAGCCCTACAGCGGCGGTGCACCGCCAGAGTCGAGCCGCCATATCAGAACGCCGAGCTTGGGTGAGCTCCATCAAGAGCTTGAGGCAGAGCAGGAGGGCCAAGTTGTAAGCAAAAAGCAATGCTGCCAGTGGAGAGTCTTCAACTAAATCTTGCAGAATCGCCTCTTGAACATGATCCGACAGCAACAGCTAGAGCTTCAGCGTCTCCAAGCAAGCAACCCGAACGCATCCGCAGCAGAGGAGAGTTCTGCCACTCCTGAGCGGCCGCAGCGCTCGCTTCCTGTCCCCATCTCGACCCAATCGCCAACCGGGAACCCCGGCGCATCCGTTTCTGGCTCCTCCTTCTCTAGATCACCAATCTTCCCTCATCATCGCAACTCTATGGAGATGGCTCGTGCCGACATTCAGCGCCGGTCTAGGACGCCGAGCCGAAACGCCTCGCCTCGACTTCGGGCGACTTCCATGAGTGCCGAAAGCGGGGACTGGTCTCTGTTCCGGGACGAAAGCGCCTTCTACCAGGCTGAGACGCAAATGCTGACCCGCGAAAACCAGATGCTCCGGCATCGAATCCGTGAACTGGGTAAGTTTGGTTGCTCTTCTTCGTGACTGCACTCGCACAATTGAAGACAGACTCACGCTATATGCAAACGCTGACACGCATGAACAGAAAAGCAGGTCGCTGAGTTGTCGACGAGTTCTCCCGTGCCAAATGAGCCGCCGGTGCCTTCGAACCTTACCAGGTCGTCGACATCGGTGGATGACAGTGAGGCTGCGTCTAGGACAGCGTAGATGTACCTCACAACTTCACGAGATATCACCAGGAAGAGATCGCATACAACAACAGACCCTGCGCAGCTGTGGACATCAGAGGCGGAGAGGCGCATGCATCTCTTCTTCCTTGGTGATGATGAGCATGATCTTCGTGTGAAATCGGTTTTGGAACTGGCAGCGGCAGATACACGTTAGGCCGCATGCTTCTGATGCTTTGAGCAAGTTTTTGCAACTGGGTAGCAGGTTGCCTTTGGCTGGCGTCTGGGTAATGAACCAAAAGGTTGTAATATCAACGGTCTTGATTTCTTCTTCCTTCCTTTGCTGGGGGAGGCGTTTTATCGTCGTCCTGGCATCCGGATACTCTCTACAAGCTGGGCGTTGGCGGGCTGCAATATGGACGGACGGTGAAGCTGTGGTCCCTCACAGCCCCGAGAAGGCATCTAGATAGTCATCTGAACCGTACACGAAGGGAAGAAAAGTTGCTGGACCTTGACCTTCTCCAGAATCACGAAGAATCACGGGTTGCTATATACAATCAATTGTCATTCCAAATCCGGTATTGAACTTATTTGCCGCCCATCATCTGATCGCTTTGATGATCTCAAGTTCAGTGTCGTCAACCAATGTGGGGCATCGTCAGCTCTTTCCCTCTCAAGCTTCACCAAGCTCTCCACCCCACATATGAGGCCTCATCCTACCCTGAATCTAACATCTTCAACTTAACACTTGCAAACGGCGGCTTTAATCCAGGGAGGCCAAGATGCTGGCAAGGAGAGCAGCAAGGTCGGCGCGCTCGTCCATCCAGACTTGCCGTACCCAGGCCTTGAACTTTAGCTCTACAACGGCCGTAAGAGCAGACTTCACTCATGCGGTAAGTTAACTCGCTCCTTATCATCAACTACCTCAGCCGCATACACCTACCGTAGTTTGATCCAACAGCACTCACTCGATGCTCAACCCAGAATTGATTGCTTGTTGTAATCTGTCTGCTAACATGATGCAATCCAGGTCATCGGCGGCGGCGTCGTCGGCCTCGCCATCGCTCGCCAGCTCTCTCTCCAGCCGGGCTCCTCCACGGTGCTCATCGAGCGCCACTCAGCCCTCGGCACGGAGACCAGCTCGCGCAACAGCGAGGTCATCCATGCCGGCATCTACTACGGCCGGGACACCCTCAAGGCGACGCTGTGCCGCCGCGGCAAGGACCTGCTGTACGCCCTCTGCGACAGGCACGGCGTCGCCTATCGGCGGACGGGCAAGTGGCTCGTCGCGCAGAACGATGCGCAGAGGGAGGCCCTGGAGAGGCTCCATGCGCTATGCAGAGACGAAATTGGGGTGCCCGTGAGGTGGGTGGCGCGCAAGGAGGTGGATGAGCGCGGCGAGGGCGTCAGGGCCGAGGCCGGCGCCCTGGAGAGTCCGACGACGGGCATCGTCGACTCGCATGGCCTCATGCTCTGCCTTCGGGGCCTCTTCGAAGAAGCCGGCGGCGTTGTCGCCCTGAGCTCCCCTGTGATGGACATTCGCCCCTTGTCCGGGGGAGCATCGTCGCTGCCCGGAAGCGCGGGCTGGGAGGTCGACGTCTCGGACGGCCCTGGCGGCGATATATCCACCATTACGGCCGAGACACTCGTCAACACCGCTGGTCTCGGCGCCGTCGCTGTCCACAACATGATTGTGCCCCCCTCGCAGCATAGACGGCTCTACTACGCAAAGGGCAACTACTTTTCCTACACGGCCTCTCGCCCTAAGATCTCCCGGCTGATATACCCGGCCCCGGAACCCGGTGCTGGCGGTCTCGGGACTCATCTCACGCTTGACCTGGCCGGCCGGATCCGCTTCGGTCCGGACGTCGAGTGGGTGGACGATCCGAATGACCTCGCTGTTAACGCCTCGCGGCTACAGGAGGCTGTTGCCGAGATCCAAAAGTACCTCCCGGCTATTGATCCTGGCGCCTTGGTGCCAGATTACGCTGGCATGCGGCCGAAGCTTGCCCCAAAGGGGGCGGCGTCGGCAACGGACAAGAGCTTCCAGGACTTTTACATCAAGAAGGAAGACGGTTACGAAGGCTGGGTCAATCTCCTGGGCATCGAGAGCCCTGGGTTGACCAGCAGTCTTGCCATTGCGGAAATGGTTCAACGGCTGTTATACGGCCCATCGAGCAGCACATGAGGACTGACTGACAAGAGATCATATGCCCTTTCATGAGAAGTTGCCTTGTCAGAGCGACAGGGCCGCTCGAAGGAACTCATCGTCAGCGTTCAAATCATTCTTAAATATTGTCACTTCTTCCAGAGAGCTTATACTCAAACTGATTGTATAGTAGTCATAGATCGATATATTGGCAGCACCGCCTCATATATCTAGTCAGTGGCCAGAAATAGGTAACTGATGGAAAGTCACAAGATTATAAGCATCAGAAGCCAGCTTATCTTTTTTTCCCTTTCTTTTGGGAATATGCTCTATACATCTATAGAGGAATATAGTATACAACAAGTTCCAGGAAAAGGCATCAGAGTATTGATACTTGAAGAATTTTCTCCTAACGCCGCTACTAGGAGCTACCCCATTTTCCTTGCCGCATGTTTCCCATCTCTTTAACCAAGTCTGATATCCGCATACTCAGGATCCAACACAACAAGCGCAGCCATGCCCCCCTTCTCAACGACCTCGGTGTCCACCACCATAGTCGCCAGAATCTGCGCAGGCTCGGTCGTGCTGAAGTTGTCGCTGGTCCGGTGCCGGCAGCCGGGGTTCTCGAACCAGGAGCCGCCCGCGGGGATCACGCGCGTAGGGCCGTCGTTCATCTTGTTGAGCACGGTGCCCTTGATGACATAGGCGGAGATGGCGGCGCCGCCGTGCGTGTGAGGAGGGGTCGACGAGTTGGGCGGGAAGTCGACGAGCAGGCCGATGGCCGTCTTGCCGGGCGAGTTGGGGAGCTTGTTCTGGAAGACGGGGGTGATGGTTGGGAGAGGACGGCTGTTGTTGTGATGGGAGTTTGTGTTAGTCTTGGTGGTGTTCTTTGTGTTGAAGAGTACAGAGAGGCTCTGATGGCGAAAGGGACCCTTACCCGCGCTGGTAGGGCACGTCGTCGACGACCTGGTATTCCTGGGGCTGATAGATGGCTGCCATTTTGAAAATGGTGGTTGCTTGCTAGTCGTGAATGTCGAATAGTGATCGAGTAGTCGAAGACACTGCCACTTCGCTACATCGGCTCTATATATACATCTTGCCTCATCATTTTATTAGTCAAACTCATCAGATTTCGAATCAACTCAACGCCCGGCATACAAGGAGCCCGTACGACACCAAGTTTCGCTGACAATTACCTCTTCGGCAACCCAAACACGCAACCGGATATCCGCTGTCAACTCCATCTCCCCACAGTCGGGTTGGGGGAGGTTTTGCATCTCCGCAAGTCTCAGGAACTGATCCAGCTGCCAGTGACATCTCCATGTCCATGGCTTAGAAGCCTCCAAGCTGCCATTGGGCTTCACTTCTTGGTACATTGGGGAGCTGCCGGGCCGTGGCATTAGATGCCACATTGGGCCATGTCAGCCAGTAGGCTATCCGGCTACTCCCAGACGCCACCCATAAGCCCAACAATTCCAGGGATCATTAGGACATCATCCTTTTGGGGAGGGAAGTGGTGGATAGAGAGAGTCATAGTCGCTAAACAGACATGAGTTCAGAATGCATCTGTTGAGTTGCCATTGACTTGATGTCGGTGATGCATGATAACACGGGAGAGACGCCGACGGTATTGGTCAGAAACATTCAACAAGATTGCTTCACGCTGCCAATAATGACCAATATACCCGTACGCATAGCAGTAACAATGTTATGGGACATCGAATGTCGTTTGCTCACAACGGCACCCTTCGTTACCAACTTGCAAAGATACCGCATATGTAAGCTCTCAGCTTCCCTGAGATGGCCATATTAGATCCGCTTCAGCTGGAATACTAGCTCCGAATTCGTTGGTTCCACACATCGGGCAAATATACAAGTAAGAAAGAAAAAAAGGAAAGAAAAAGACAGAAACCGGGAGAGGGGGGGGAGCTTACGAGTACTGTACAGCTCGTCACCAAGGTAGGCCTGAGTAGGCCGCTCGTGAATCGTACTGGTAAACCCGTGAGTTGAGCCCCAACGGAAATCATCACCATATCCACGACGATGATTGCAAAGCACTCCGTACAGCCGAGCCGAGGCTTTCAACACGGCACGGAAAGCTGCAAAATGTTTCGTTCCGCAGAGCCTTGTTTCCTCTGCGGCCCGTGCAGGTAGGCCTCTCGACTCTGAATGACAAGATGTACATGCTTTACATGTCTGCTGGCGATCGAGTATGGCCGCACTCATGGTCGCATTCAGCTGAGGCATCAGGCAGCCATCTATGCAAGTTGGCAAGGACCGGACAGCGGCTGTCAAGTGCGGGCCGTGGGTTGGTGGCTAAGACATGCTGCTACCGATGCTTGCTCGAGCCGCCCTGCGCTTCCGGGAGAGTCCGCGATTGGAAAGATTGAAGTCAGGTCGGCGACTGGACGACGCTGGTGGCCGTGCCGCACCGCGTCCTCCGTATGCACAGGACATGGTACATGAATGCCCATGAAGCCATCACTGATGCTTCATCGTGGCAACAAGGCAGTTTTGTCTATGCTACCAGATCAAAGACCCGGGCCCGGCCGAAACCCGCGGAGCGGCCTCTCGTCTCGTCAGTTGGCGGCCATAGCGTCAAGCGGTGGCCAGGGCTCGTCTGATCCGAGCCACGCAACGACATAGCCCAGGACTTTTGTATCTCAATTTGGAAATACTATGCATAGTGATTCGAGCATTCACCGACTCCAAACCGTAGTCGAAGTTTGAGAAACAAACATCAAGGATTCGATCTGACTGCCTTCCTTGTCGCCTTGTCTCCCTTTCACTCTCCACTCCATGACCACATGACAGGCCCACGCATCTGCATGTCGTACACTACCACCCTCGGTTCCTGTCGAGACCTGCTCGCCATCTTCTTCCTGCGTGAGATGACGACCAATCGCGTCTTGTTGCGGTATCTTACGTCGCTGGCTCCCGGTACTCGTTCGCCGCGGCTTGGGCAGCAAGGGACTGACTGCCCGGCTGCTTACAAGATCCTTCTGCCCTTGGCAGCATGATAATACCGCAGGAGATGCCGGAAATCTGGGCTCAGCCCAACAAAGCGCAGCAACTGTTGCATCCTGGCATATGCAAGCTGCAAGCTGCAAGCACATTGAAAAGGTTTTGCACATCATGCGCTACTGCAGGAACATTGGCCCACGCTGAAGTGATCCGTACGACGCATTCAATGCTACTGAGCAGTGAGTCACCAGAGACTTCAGAGGGTCAGTCAGTGGGGTTCCTGTGTCTGTCTCTCCATCTCTGGAGACAACATTCGCGTCAGTCCCTGGTGAAAAACAACTTGCGCGTCGTCGCGATCGCGGTTATGACGCTTTGCTTTTAGCGGGCCGATCGATCCCTTGCAGCATCTCGTTTGTATGTAGTAAGAGCAAGAAAAGATGACAAACTTTGCGTGAGACTTGCATCACGAAGCGGCCGTTGATCTGCAGCGCGCATACGAGGTAGCCCGTTGGGTCCCGCAGGCTGGCGTCGAAAGCATCTCGTAATCTAGCTCGTAGCATATTGTAGCTTGATAGTATTACCAACCCAACCATGCCAACCAGCGGCTGAAGCTGTGAACGAATCATCTCCGCGTATCATTTACGCTGTTCAACCCTGCATGGTAACTGCAGGGAGCAGTAAGCCAGATGCGAGAGGCTTGCTCGTATCCGTACTGTGATGAGCTGTGCAGCCTGTCGATTGTTGGGCGGCAGTATATTTCGACGAGCAGCAGTTCGAATCACCAACTGATAATATCGGGGCCTGGCAGCGCCGAAACCTGGTTCCAATCAGGGCGTTGCAATTGGATAATGAAATGATTGCAAGTGAAGGAACTGAAGAAACCAAGCCATCGTTGGATCGTTGGATCTGAAGCTCCACGATTGCCGTTTCATTACCCACCCTTGGGGCAAAGACCAAACCTCTCCCGATCGTGGACGGTCCGACGGAGGGAGGGGAGAGGAGGGAAAGCTTTGTCTGCTGTTGCTTCTCATCGCAAGCAATGAAATGGATGGCTTCGACGGATGGTTGCCAATACGCGAAGCAACGCATGCTCGTGCCCAGGAAAAGGTTTGCACTATTGTTGGTCTTGCAGCATATCTTTGGGCGCTCGCAGGTGTTGGACTCGCAAATCGTCGAATCGGGATCGAGCCTTTCCCCCCGGTAGGGCTCGTCCTTGTTTTTTACTTTTCGTCCACTCAGGTGTTGCGGAGTGAGGCCTCGGCCCTACCACCATCTCTCCCACTCTTTTCCAGTCTCTCTCTCACGCACTCTCTTGTTTTCTCTTTGCCCACCTGCTGCATCAGGCTCCGCGCCAATCCGTCGGAGGGACGAGCCACAGCAAAAGCTGGTTATTTTGTCCTGGCGTGTCTCGCGGATCGCCGTCCGCCTACTGGTAGCTCGTGGGTCAGCAAAGCTATTAGATCATGATCCTAGTCAAGAGCAATGCACTAGCAGGGCCAACCCAAAGCACCGGAGACAGATAGGAACTCCGTACTTCGTACAGTATGTACACGAACACTTACCGGCTCTCGTATCCTCGATCATCTCTGGTACTTCCTCCTAGGAGAATGTAATAATAGAAACAGCAATAAAAGGGGGACCCAAGTAACTGGAAGCCGGTGCCACTGGTAATGAGATGGTCGACATTAACATCCTGATCTTTGATATAGCCTGGAAGCTAGGGCCCAGGTCATATCCGGGTCTCGTCAGGACCTTTGGCTCCCTCATCCTGAGGCAAGAGGGTCGGTGATAGTGCCTCATCTGTATGGATTCTGGGCGCTTTGCGGACCCAGTTGAGACATGCTTTCCTTTTTCCCGTGGCGGGGAGAGCAAAGTTGTTGCTTTTGTGAGGCGTATCTGCGTGTTTCTGGGCCGTGATTCGCTGCTCGTCAAAAGACCGCTCCGAGTGAGAGTCATGCGAGACCGTCGTGTTGGCGCAAGTTTTGAATTTGCGTTGCTCGATATCAGCTCGCAACCACCAAGACAGTCTCTCTCGTAAGTCGAACCGCGATGCGCGCGAGGTTGTGCGTTGGTGTCGTATCTGCCCACGACTTTGCCCGCTATTGTTCGTAGCCTGAACAAAAGAAGCAAAGGTGAGGGACAAGTTTCTGGCTAATCAAAAGTCAAATAAGAAGCAAGAGGCAAAACGCCCAGGAGAATGTGATCAATAACATGATTCATCTCTCTTGTCTCACACGTGGTTGGATTTTGGGCTGGGCAGGACGGGACCCCCCGCACTTTCTTTTTGCGCTGTGTGTGTGCTGAGAGTTTGGCGAGATTTCAAATCTGCAAGTGCAAACTGTGTAAGTTGGAAGCTGCGAGTGGTCCGCAGTGGGCAAGTACATGCGAGCCGCACTTGAAAATTTACGATTTCTCTTTTCTTTTTCTCCTATCAGGCAGCCGCTATCTGATCTCAGCTGCCATGGATCGAGTTGTTACACATCATAAACTAAATTTCTGCCTTACAGGTACAGGGACGAAATACTCCGTATGATAATTTTGATTCAGGTACCTGTGCCAGGTTCAGACACAGATGGCTTTTTCCGCAACCCGAGCCTCCAAGTCAAAAACACGAGGCAAACAAACCGAACAAAGGAAATCGGGCTTCAAGCCGAGGCCCAGCCTAGCATCGAGTTTGTAAGTACATGTACTGGTACCGCTGCGATGCGCCGGCTGCCTGGGACGATGCCGTCATGCTCCTGTCAGGCGCAAGGGCCTGGCTGCCAAACCCGCTACGAATTGCCGGAATCTCCCTCCGCAGCAGGGCCTCGAGCGGCTGCAGCGGGCTCAGTGCCCTGGGCCACCTGGGCCCAGCCCTGGCCACGGCAGTACCGGTACTCCCACAGCCCTTCAGCATGGATCTCTGCCCGCTGAGCCGCCAAAAGCACCCGCTAGCTCCAGTGGCCCCCCGCCTGTCACCGCACTGTCCAGTGCCCTGGCCGGCCCACACACATCCAACTCCCAGTTCGCCCGACCTCGACCTCGCAATAGTAATGCCTCCAGTTCGCCCAGGTCTCTTGATCCTAGACCCCTGACCCCTGACGCGCTTGTGAAAGCTTTTTTGACGACCGCTGCACTGGCCGGTGGATACTTTGTCTTGACATTCGGCCCAAGGCTTAGAGGTACCGCGATTTGTTCTCTCTTTTCCTTTTATCGTATGCTCGCGGGCTGTGATTCGCCTGGAGGACCGGGCTAAGCCTCGGGGTACCTGCCAGCCAGGTACCGCTGCCGTACTTGGACCGGCGATGGCAGCTGCAAACTCGAACCATGAGGTACATATGAGTAGCCCACTGTCCCACCTCTGATGACTTGAGCTGTTGCTCCCTTGGAACAAGTTCTTCTCGTCACAATGCCGTCTTGAGAGAGGCAAACCCGCACGATCCTTTTCTTGTGCCCTGTGCCCTGTGCTCTTTGTCAGTTCTCTGCCTCTTTTGCAGTAGCACCACATTCCCTCCGCATCGTCTGTTGGCATTGCTTCCACGAGCCCTTCTACAAGGACTTCGTCTTGCAATCTATATCAATTTCGTCCAGTTCTTTCGTCATATAACCTTGATTTTTGTTACACGAAACTTCTAAATCTTTGGCCGAAAAGACTCCAATCCATCATCTGCCTACTGCCTGCCCGTCTGTGTAAAGCATCGGCAGGAGTCCCAGCATTATACGCCTTCGTATTGCACCCATACACTCCTTCACAGCCCCGATCTCTTGTCGATCTTCTTGGGCACAGTCACTCCTCCACAGCAAGACGCTTCTCTTGCCGATATTTTATGGGTTATCCAAGCATTGACCCCGAGGATCAGCATCCCCCTCACTTACACGCAGACGCAAACCATCACGCATATCGTACATAGCCTTGCGCAGCCCCCTGTCGATCTCGTTCAAACCTCTCCGACGCCCATCTCGGCTCCGTCATGGCCTCTGTGGCCTCCGTCAACAGGCATGATGTCCTCGAAGGCAGCAATTCCTTCCCCCGACGGAATCATGAACCGATACACGATCCCTCAGCCGAAAGCGAGAGACCAACTTCATCGAAAGGGCCCAAACTAGGTCGTCGAGAATCCCGGCTTGGCCTACGAACTCTGTTTACACGATCCAGTAAAGGGCCAAAGGTCGAGGAAGCCCTGCGTTCTCCCAGTTCATTCAGCTCCCTCAACTCAGCCTCACCCAAGGCTTCTCCTCGATCTGGAGGCTTTCGAGCGTCTCTTGCAGAGATGAACTACTGGCCTTACGGGCAGCAAGTCAAGTCTGAGCTCGCCCTCCCCACGACGGACTACCCGTGGGACTCCCCCATCGAGAAGCCAGAAGACGGCCAAGACACACGATCTCGCAGTCCTGCCAATGTCGCCGGCGCCGGCGCCGCTGTTGCCTCCGGGAAGCGCACACCGGGCATGTCCATTGCTAAGCAACCTCGCCCGACTCTCGCTACCTGGTTTTTGCCGTCTCTGTTTCGAGCCTATCAACAGGCACTCAAACAACAGACACTTGCTGCCGTTGCCCTCCCAACGGAGGCTCTCATGAAGTTGAGCGAGAAGACGAGCGTTGCCGACATGATAGCACCTCTTTCACAGATAGAAGCCAATGTCAGCGGCGGCGGCAGTGGCGCCGGCACTAGTTCTGGTGACCTGTTTAGGAGAAGAAATCGCGGAGATTCTCTGTCAACCACCAACCTCCCATGGACGACTAAGATTTACATTCTTGTGACTGCTGGCTATCTGCTTCAGTACAGTGGCGATGGAGTCATTGACCGCATGCCCGAAAAGGTGCTACGGCTCGGCAAGACGTCGGCCGCCTTTGCAACCGACATGATCCCCGGCCGCCATTGGGTACTGCAGGTTTCTGCGACCGCAGAGGACGACGGGGCCTCTACAACCGACTCTCGATCTCTGTTGTCGAAGCTGTCCTTCCGATCCCCCGAGAAGCGCTACACGCAACACATGGTCATGGTCTTTGAAAGCGCCGAGGATATGGACGACTGGATGACCAGTCTACGAGCCATGATTGAGCAGCTCGGCGGCAGAAGGAAACTCTCCGAGGTTGGACTGCCCCAAGAGACGGAGGTCAAGGACTTCGAGATCAAGGAGTCCGGATCCAAGGAGGACATGGCTTCCCTCTATCTTCGCGAAAAGAAGAGCAAGGGGTCGATCATCGACAGAGACGCCATCCGATCGGGACGGGGCGCCCTCACAAGCCCTACACCCATGCTTCAACAAGAACACGGGCGGAGAGCTTGTGATTACTCGATACCCGTCATCGACTTCGACTCCATAGGCCAAGACCTGACCGGCGACGACAAGTCAACAACAAACAGTGTCGCCTCTCACGACGGTCGTCAGCTAGACAACCTCCGCGACAGCGCTCATAGGCTGTCGCTCTTGTCGTCTGGCCAGCGAACAATTCTTACATCGACCACATCTTCACCTGCTGATTCCCCCATACGCGAAAGATTTCCTCTGACGCTCGACATCCCCACCATCCCGGAGACCGCCCAACCTAGACCCAACGCGGGCGTCATCATGAGTCGCCGTGTTTCTCTGCAGGCTATGGGGCCGTTCGTGGAAGAGGTGGGTGACGGCACGGGGGAACCTGGCCAGGTCGCCTCCCAGCCCTGGGTCAACACTGCGACACCGTCTCCCTCTGAGCCCCGTGGCCCGCGCCGCTTCATCCTCCCTCCGCTGCAACAGACGGGCCATCGATTCTTATACGGCAAGGCTGCCTCTGCCCAGGATTCGGGGGGACGTCCTCAGTCACCGGTCACTGTAGCTCCTCGCACCTCGCTGCGCAGGCTTGCCAACATTCGCACAGGAAGGCCCCTGTCCACAGTGGAAGACCAGCCATCCCCGAAGGACAACATGATGCCGGAAAGGCCAGTGACAAGTCATATTGGCGAGCTTCGATCGCAAGCATCGTCGACACAAGCCCCCGACGTGCCCAAGCTTCCTCGTGGGCGACTCATGTCTGTACCAAATGTTCCTCAGATGTTCGGAAAGCTGCCAACGGGCGCACGGCGTCTGAGCCTGATGCCCAAGAGGGAAACTCGAGTTGCCAGCCCAGGCCCCGGCACTCTTCCTAAGCTTCAAACCGATAGAACACAGGAATACCACCCTCAACGTCTCCCCAGCTTTGCCAGCTTCCAAAGGCAGCAAGACGTGCCAAGTCAATCTGTGTTTGAAGATGATAGTCCGTTGGCGTCACCAACGTCTGAGCGGTCGTACGCTACTATGCCAGCTCCCCTCGCAGCTTCTTGGGCGGAGAAAATTAAGAGGCATCGAAACTCGAGAGAGATTGACGGCGAAACCATGCGAAGCTTTTCCTTGGGGTTCTCGTGGAGTAACAAGCCCAAACGAGCCAGCATCGCGTCTGCCTATTCCGAATGGTCGACTATTGGGGAACTAAGGCCAATCGATACCATTGCAGAGACGCTTCCACAGCTTTCGCCGCCGCCAACCGGGCCACTGCCGCCCACCCCTACGCGGCCCTCGTCTTCTGCCAGTAACCATGGCCATACCATGGTTCGCAAGAAGAGCATACCAATGATGGCGATGCCTCCTCCGGCACCACCACCTACATGTGCCCTGCCACCTATCCCACAGAAGCCAACTGCTCGGGTATGAAGGTGGCAGTTGTACCATCATGATTGTTTGTCATTTCCTCATTTATCCTTCTTTGAATAGGTAGGTATCTCCGCCGAGACCGTTCGAGCAGATGTACCTGCTGCAATGCTCGGCAATGCTCATTTACACCGGCGATTGGCGTTGCATTGCGAATCGTAGAGATTTACCAAGTCTCACAGACATCTTATGTTATTTCATGGTGTCAATTTCGTGCACTTCTTTTCCCTTTGGCTTTTCGGTTCAGTCGGGCGCTGGCGTGGAAGAAAAAGGGCGCAATAACGCCTGGCTTATTTGATGCATAACGAAACTGCATACATACCCGGTTGATGATGGAAAAGCGCTCTGTTGAGTCTGAATTTTGGAAGCCAGCTGAAGCATATATGGACAAAAGTTATTGGAATAGTAGTTCCTTCTGGGTATCATTTGAAGGTGGGATCGGGCCGGGCTTTAGAAGCAAAGAATAAAATCTACTTCAAACTATTTCATCTACGGGCATAGTGAGTTGATAAATGAGTGATTCTACTGTGAGTTTCCATCGTTACTTGTTGAAACGCCAATGGAAGAGTTATGTCGAGATTTTGCCCGTGCTTGAAGGTTAGGTTCAAGATCTTCAAAGCTTTTGACTTGATTTTTGGCAACTCTATCTATTCGCTAGAGGTATCAATTGTGATGAGACGACGAGAAACGATGCTATTCCGATGCTGGGCGGGGCGACATGGAATCGGCAAGCGCTATCCGTACTGATGCACACACATGCAACTTCCCAAGTTCATTCCGCTTCGTCATCAACTCTGACTACGGGAAGGAGCAGCTCCTCAACACTTCTCCTGTCAACTCCTCTCTCTATTGACTTCTTTTTATCATCTACTATCCATCATTTTTCTCTATATCCCTTCATAATAACAACGATCCCCAATCCAAGTCATTCAAAGTTTCGAAGCTCGTCTCCATTCACAGCTCCGTACGAGTAGTCAAGGTTCCACCAAAAAAGATGTGGCTGGGAACGCCATAAGGTACGAACATGGCCGGTGGCTGGGGACTTTATTCCCTCTTCTCACCAAAAGTGATTTTTTTCCTAGGCTCGGTTCGTTGCCGCCCATCCAGCCCACATTGTGCCTGAACCTGGGCCAATGCGTGGCTTATCACATATGCCCGGCCAATTCTTATTACGAACCAACAAACCAAACAAGTCACCACGACACGGCTGAGAAAGTAAAAGAAGACAAGAGGCAGAGGCAGGTGGGACAGCTGTCTTTCCTTCTCCTCTCTTACTTCGTATTACCTTTCTCACCCACTTCCACCTCCGTTCAGCCCAGAGGCAGCCTCTTGGGGCAACCAAACGAAAAAGGATTTCAGCCCCCCCCCCCTGGACGCGACACGATGCAGTTGATGCCCACGCCGTCGTCATCCTACTGAGGGCCCTCGTGCATTGCATTGCCTTCTTTTGTTCTCGCTGGCTATTCGTCTGTCCCGTCTCCGGCATCTACACCGTATCCGAATTGGCTCTACTTCCCGTGTTTGGACCCTAGGAGTCGGTCTGTCGAACAGCAACAGAAAGCAGAACCACCTTACCATCTCGTCTGCTGCTTCGAGCTCGGCTTCTTTTCCTTCTCTCCCCTTTGCTGCTCTTTTCCTTGCTACCAGCTGGGGAGGCGTTTTATAATCTCGTCCAATCAGCTGCTACTTCACGCATCGGTGTCTCCATCCAGGGGAACCAGAAGGAAACAGATACACACAGAGGACAAACCACAAAAATGCCGGTTCTACCGCTTCTTCCGCGAGAGCTGATAGACGAGCTTGCCAAAATTCCTCAGCTCTCGACGAAAACAATACACAGCGATGCTCCCTCTCTCGTAGTTCGACAGCGAGACTCCGCGACGACCACATTCGTTGTCGTCCCCGAGACGTACGGCTCCCTCCACGATTCTCTGAAACCGGGCGCCATCGTCGGCATCGTCATTGCCTCGGTCATCGGCTTCATCTTGCTGCTGCTCGTCATCTACACCATCCTGGGCTTCGGCCCCGTCTCGTCACTCGTCCGCACGACAGACGTAACCGAGTCCAAGTCGTACGTCTCGCGCAGCATGCTGAGCTCCCTCCGCAAGAGCGAGAAGCCCAAGAAGGTGCCTACGGCGCGCGGCGCCAGGGTGCTTTCGATGCGCCGGGAACGTAGCACGAGAACGTCCAAGCGCAGGAGTGAGAGGAGGGGGAAATCGCCCGTCGTAGTCGATCCCATGCGGAAGACGAGGGCGCCGTCGCCGCTGACGACAATTTCCTCGTCCTCTGGAGGGCCCGGCCCGGCGCCCAGGGGGGACCCTCTGCCCTCGGACTACGATGAGGAGAACGAGGTAGTCGTCATTGAGGAGACCACGCCGTCTTCGAGGCGGCACAGCCGGAGAGCCGGCCACAGGAGTGGAGAGGGCCGGGGCAGGAGATCGAGCAGCCGGCGATCCAGTTACAGCGAGTACGACGACAGGAGATACCGTCGCTGAGCTACTGGGATCAAATTGCCTGTTGATCTCTTGCCCTTTGCTTCCTTTTCGCCGTTTGCTTTTTCTCACATTTTACCAATCACTTCTTGAGCCGCGGACCCTTGCTTCTGTCGCTGGTTTCAATTGCAAGGCCCCATGTTCTCGTTGCAAGGCCTGAACGTATGATGATTTGGATAACCAAGAACAAGGCTCAGTTATGAAATTTGCGCAACGGAACGTTGGATGAAAGGAGCAAGCGGGCAAAACGAGCAATGTATAATGATGTCATATTGGGCGTTTTCATCTTAGCTGGAATCTCTTTTTGCTCTTCCTTTTTCTCTTTGGACACTTCATGCTTATATTGTTGGCGCACTGGCGACGAAGAATGAACGAATAATGGATAGCACAACTTGACGTTTTTGTTAACAAACATACGGCATGCTTGCACGCTCCAGAGCACGCATGTAGGTATGGAGAATGTTATACCTGTTTGTAGTTTGTACGAGATGTACATATACCTAGCACCTATATAGAGCCGTGTCTACATACCAAATGCCCAATACCTAACGCAGGCATTCACTCATTCCCAAGTCTGATAATCCAAGAAGCTGTTTTTCAATGCAGCTGCCTCTATGCGACCGATTAAGCTGCCACCCGTTGTATCATCAAAGCCAAAAAGCCTCCATGTATGCAATAACTGACGGAAGAGGAGCAGTCAAATCAGGAGAAATAACAAGAGGCAATGGGTATGTGTGCACGCGTGACAAAAGAAGAAAAAGAACACGAAAAGCTTACAGCGCTTTCTCGCAAGCCTCCCATATCACATCCCACTATCGTCAGTCCTCCTCTTCCTCACCACGGTCATCAGATCTTTATTCTTCTCCGAAGTCATTGCTTCCCGAGTGCCCGCCCGAGCCGTGAGACGCACCAAATCCGGCGTTTCCTCCCTGAGGCCCGCCAAAGAAAAATGTATCGAATGGGTTCATAGGCTGTGCTTCCGCATAATCATTGTGCATGCTCTCCCAGTTCATGCCAAGGCCAAAGTCCATCTGGCTGGAGTCCATGCCTCCGAAGCCAGTGTGGGATCCGGTCCCAAACGTCTGCAAGAGCTCCATCGTCTGCGCATCCGGGTACTCCATGTGCCCCTGGATGCCAAACTGCTGGTTCCGCTGACCCAAGAACGGGTTCCCGCCGCTGGTGCTGCCGGGTGTGGTCTGGCTTCGCGGAATAGACGGTGATGTAATCATTGACTGGTCCACAGCGGAGCTGCCGTCGTCATAGCTGCCCGTCCGCCGCATGGGGCTTGGTTGGCCGTGGCTGTGAGGGTGAGAATGAGCCATCGTAACCGGCGGAGTGGCTCTATCTCCTGCTGTCGAGAGGCTGGGCGATGACAGGCTATCGCCCATGGCCAAGTCAAACTGGAACTGCTGCTGCTGTTCAGATTGGTGGTGGTGGTGGGGATGTCGAGGTGCTGGCTTTTTGGGAGCCATGTCCACGGGAGTAGGCGCCCAGTTGGTTGTCTCCCTTCTGGTAGGTTGTCTGCGAGTTTGTTGTTGTACAGGTGAGCCGAAGCCTCCTTTTGATGTGGCCATCTGTATGGTGGCCTTGGCTGTTCGATCGAAAGCGTCGCGGCATGTCTCTGCCGGGGGGCACTTGTCAATCATGTCGGTGAATACTGACTTTGCTGCCAGTACTGTAAAGTCGACTTCATCCATTGTCTGTTGCACGTCGATTCGTTAGCGACAAACGTTCTCAATCTCAAAAGGAGTCTCGCAAAACCACTTACCAGGCGGCTTCTCACGGCAGGTGAGTGCCAGATGGCGTAAAGATACGATATGCCAGCCATGAACAAGTGGTGAGTGGACAAATAAGTATAGCTTACGAGGCTGCTCAGATGCAGCTGTCTATATATGCGGAGAATCTTCTGTCCCGCCTCCGCGACCTTGAGGTATATGCGCTCCTCATCTTCGCGCAGCTCAGCGGTGAATGCCGTGGGACTGTTGACCTCGTTGGACGGGTTGTACTCTCCCTCGAACATTGCGGGGATGCTCAGGCTCTGCTTGTACAGCAAAACGATAGCCTGCCAGTAGTTTAGGTCGAGGAACTCGGTCGAAAAAGCAACGCCAGTCTCTTGCTTTGTGGGCGCACTGTCTTTCCATTCACGAAGTCTCCGATCGATATCTATCCGCCATGACCTGTAGGAGTCGAAATGAACAAGATAAGGGGATGGCAGCTGTCTGGATCTCTCTAGAACAAACGACCTAGCATGAGACCCTGTTGTCCTGGCGATCTGCGCTTGGTTATACTGCAGGACCTGGAGTATCTCCGACTGCAGTATGCGTAGTTTAAAGTAGTGGTGGGCAACACGCTTGTAGCTTGGCTGATCCTGACCGTCGGGCGGTTCTATAAAGCCATTCGGAGTGATATAGGCATCGTCGAGGACCGAGGGGAATTCGGTCGTGATGACTTGGTCGCTGATACCAAACGGCCGACCGACGCATGTACTCACCAGCCTGTCAAATGCATAGGTGCACCACCACAATCTGCGCCTCATGTCGCGGATCCAGAGACGCCTTCCTCGGTCTGCGCTGCTGCCATTTGATTGTTGCGGTTCAGCATCATCTATATCAGCTGCATCCTCGTGATGGAGACCAAGGTCAACCGCAAGACGCACCGCAACGCCGGTGATGTACCAGAGGCCCGGCGGAACGGGCCGCAGGAGCGCAAAGTTGGCAAGCAGAAGCACGGCCTGAAGTACCTCGAGCCCACCTCCGCTGCTGCTGAGGCATTCCTCGAGGTGGACGATTGCACTTGCGTGGTATTCTTCCGGCCGACACTGGCCTCGGCTCTGTTGAAACGCCAACCTTGAGCCCCCGGAAGCCTCTGCCTTGACGGGCTCACCCACGATGACGCCGCAGCCAATTGCAAAGACCATGTTCAGCATATACAACTCTCTCGCACTGAGGCCCCGGCCCTCGTTTGCATACGCCTTCTCAAACATGCGCATGAACTCGCCGCGGTGCAAGATAGGAATCTGCGGGTTTGCATGCTCAAAGTACAGCGTGACCAAGCGCATGGCCACGTCCCTGCTGGGAAATGTGGCCGGCTGAATAGTTGGTCGTGTATGTAAACCAAAGAAGGAGTCGCGCATCGACGTCCCAGCTCCTGTTGGGTTCGAGTGGTTGGAGGCCACGGGTTTGTCTGGCCCACCGTTTTGGTCTGATACCGAATACTGCACCGCGGCGAACACGACACGAGCGAAGGAGACCCCAGATGCAGAGGCGAGCGATCGCGGCTTGGCCGGGCTGACAATGTTGAGCATGGCCGGGCTCTGGTCGCCTTGCTTCTTGTCTAGCGCCTGGCTATGATGGCTGTGAGGTCGTGATAGGCGAGAGTCCGCAGCGTCGGATTGAATTGAGTAGCCCCTATCGCGTACGGCCGGAAAGCTACCATCAGCTCCAGGACGAGAGCAAACATCTAGGTCCTCAGCCGGTGGGAAGGGGATATTGTTGGACGCAAGGAGCTTCTCCAGCACCTCCACACGAGTTTCGAGATAGAAGACATAGCTAAGAGCGGGCAATTAGCGACGTCATAACTTCGATGGGGGGGGAACAAATGAAAAGCAGAGATGGGCAGATGTGTTTCCAGAGCAGAGAAATAGATTCGTCTTGTGCGCAGCTGCATTTGCTTACCTCCTAGGAATCTCCTTCTTCGTTATGGGGTCATAGCCAACGCAAGACACGCCGACCTTGTTGCAGCTCGCGCAGCTGGGGAGTTTCTGATCGCATCTGTTCTTACGCAGACGGCAGCGGTTGCACGCGCTGACATTGCGGAAGTTGCTGCTCTGCCCAGGCTTGCCAGTCGGCGTAGTGCCGTCGGAGTCAGCGGCGTTGGCGGTCGTGGTGGTGGTGCTGGTGGTGTTTGAGGCAGCACCTGCAGTCGCAACGTCGCTTGCGCTGGCACCGGGACCGGAACCAAGACCAGGACCGGTGCCATTGCCATTGCCATTGTCAGAGGCGACAGGGATGCCAGGATACGCAGCCGAGGCACCGGCCTCGCTGCGGCCGCTGCTGCTGCCGTTGCCTGCGATGACCCCTCCTCCTAGATTCGCATCGCCAGCCTGCCGCTCAGGGCTCGAGAAGTCGTTGCGCGATGACGTGCCGTCGTACGAGTCCTGCCGCTGACGCTTGACGCTTTTCTGGAGGATCGGGGACGGCGGACCATGCGTGGGCATGGTTTCAGGAGGGATAAGGCAAGGTTGGGATTTTTTGTGCTAGGCTGGCCGGTCCCCCAACGAGGGAGCTTTGCGAGGTCGGGGTCGGGAGGGGTGTCTGCGTTAGATCCTCGGGGGAGGAGAAGAGCAGAGTCCGAGGAGCGTCTGGGAAAAGAGAGAAGGCCACGGCAGCCTGCATGCAGAGATACAGATACAGATGCCGTGCACCCACAGTTCCCTGTCGTCTCCGGTCTTTTAGTCGCCCGTCCCCTCTGATCCCTTGTCTCTTTTCTCTCCGTCTCTACTGCACTGTCGTTGTCACGCCCTCGCTTCTCTCTGGCTCTGACGCAGACGCACGCAGACGCCACGCAGACTCAGGCGGGCGGTGACTCTGACAAGGACAAGGGGATCGGTTCTCGGTCTAGATTAACAGATCGGACAGCCACCTACAAGGTCAGATCGCAGTTAAGCCAGCGGGGGAGTGGTGGGACACCATGCATGCAAAGCACAGCGACTCGATTCGTTTCCGTTCGGCCCAACTCACCTTGCTTCCCTGTGGCTTTCCGTTGCGAAGGAAGCGCTGTCCACGGGATCCGTCTATGGGTAATGCTTCTTTTAATCTCCCTTTGTCTCTCCTCCTCAAGTCCGTCCGTTTCGTTTCCCCTAGTCTCTCTTTCCGTGTTTGTGTATGTATTTGTGAGGGTAAGTATATATACTTGACAAGTGGCCAATATGTGCTCGACTTCCTTGATTCCGCTATCCCATCGTCCAGAATCACCGAGGCCGAGTATCGGCCAGGAACCAGCGGCAATCGGGGGGAGTGAGCGTCAAGACGTAGAAGCACGAGTCGTCGACGTTTCAGAAGCTCGCCAGGTACAAGAACGACGGCACGTCGGCAGAGACAGTGTAGAAGGCGGTCGCAAGCGTGGTATCAACCATGTACAAGGCGAGTCTGGCCGCAGCGCATAGACGAAGGCTTCGAGCGTGCGATATAACAGGTGCGGAACAGAGGCACCAGATGCGCCGATGCACAAGAGACGGGTCGGAATGCTTCCCCGGCTGCGATTTATATGCAGTCAACCAGGCGAAGCTGCGCGAAGACGCAATGCGAGTCAGTGAGTAGGAAGAAGGCAGTTCCAGTACCCAAGGCACCAGGTCGGTAGGCAGCAAGAAGCCAGACGGAGGTTGTCGTTTGACGAGATGATGCAGATGCCAGGTATAAGGTAGGGATGCAGCAGTAGCACCGCGCAAGACGATGGAGAGAAGCGTAGGTAGACGCAATGCTGCCACAATGTTGCAGCAATGCGGGATATGCGGTATGCGCCGAGTCGAATCGAATCGAAGATGCCCAAGCGTATATGCGGCTTGATCGTCAGAGCTGGAGTTGTTCAGTTGAAGTTCATGGCCGGTGGTTGTTTGGGGAAAGAGGGAACATGGAAGGACCAAATCGGAGCAATTGGATGGTGGGCAGCCGCGATAAAAGTGCAGGTGAACCCCACGAGCAGCGAGGCTCGGCTTCTGACTACTCCATACTACAGCACTATCTTTACAGCACTAATCACTATCTTAGCAGCACGACCTCGCTGCTCGGGCTGACGCCGGGGCCCGGGATCGGGCGGTACCTGCAAATGGCGGCGCCCGGCGCGTGGGTGGCTGGTATCTGCTAACGCGGGCGACCCCATCTTGCCCATGTGCTACCGACACTTGACACAGCTTAGCGCATCGCGCCTTGCTATCTTGGTGTAAAGAGCGGGATGCTAATCTGCCTGTATAAGGTAATAGCTGGAAGTTGATAAGAGGCGCAAGGCGCAGGAGCGACGAGAGGAAATACTATGGGAAAGTCCACGGATACTCCAGCTAATAACCAACCGCTTGGCGCTTCAATCCCCGCATTTGGTAATAGAACTAGTACTTATGTAACTGTAGCGATTCACGATCATCTTATCGTGCCTATCGTTTCTCTACGGAGATGGCTTTCGTCAGTCCGGGGTAACAATAGTTGTGCAAGTACGAGAGTTTTTCCTGTATATCATATTCAGAACTCTTGGAGGCAACTCTGCAATATGTCTGATGCCATCATGCTTCTTGTCCCGTCCTCATCAGCGAATGACAACCAACATCGAACCAACGTACCAACCACCTATACAGGAAAGATCCGGTCACCTCCGTCAGTATCATTTCCATGACTTTCTGTCGTCTATTCTCATGCGAATGAACGCAGCAGACTCCAATGCACATCCACGGCTTGATCAGACATTACCAAAATGATCCATACTGCTGCCACTCCGTGGTGATGATACCTCTCAGGTACCTGGCTACCCAAACCCATCTGCATGCCTAAGCCCACCCAATCATCACCACGCAGCAAATCCGGGGTAATGAGATGGCAACACACCACACACATGGCTCGGTATACATACTGAGATAACTCTCTGCCCCGCCCTCCCTGTCTCTCTTTCGCTGTCTCTTTGTTCTCTGTGTCTCTATTCTCTTTGGTCTCACCGCCTTCATGCCTCTTTTCAAGACTCCGCAGACTACATGTATACAATATGCCTTCCCTTCCGTCCCTTCATATACGGCTGTAAATCGCAACTCTCACAATTCGCAAACACCACTCAAGTAATACGTCACCCCGTGTATCCAATAGATTCCCCATGCTTTGTAACCACAGATCGCAGCTCACCGGTCCAAGGACAACCACCAGCCCACCGCCAACAAACACCCGACCACATGCTGCTACATAAAACCCATACTAGCAGCATCACATAAACCGCCCTACCTTAGCTTCAACGTCCTTCCCCCCTACACTAACAACGCATGCTATCCAAAACTATCCTCAAAACTCCGTACAGAGGCCCATCGATCCGCGGATACCGCTTCGCACCACGCCCATACATACCATGCCCTTGCTATCCCCCATCCCACATTAGCGCGCGCAAGCACACAAATGCCAACAGCTCCATGTTACACACGCCATATGCACCTCTACAGTATAGCACCTCTCCTTGCCGCTTAGACGAATAGCAGCCCAATCCGCTGCCTTTGGCGTTACAGCCATTCCGATTGGCCCCAGCAACTCATCCAGTCCCTCCTCTCTTCGTCAGTGTGTCGTGTCCTTGCTTCTCCCATCCCCTTGCTGAAATCGCCATCTTGCGTCTCACTCCTTGTCAAGCACAAGGATCAGGCTTCTTTTTTCTCGTCCAAACTACTACTGCAGGATACATGGGCCCTTTCGCTTGTCTTTCTTCTTCTTCTCTTCTTCTTCTTCTTCTCCCCCACTTCTACTTGCACTCCCCTCGAGCTTGGCATGACACTGGCGGGCAAGCTTGCCAGATACCGAAAAGCTCACCTTCACCGCAAGAGCGCACAGCAACTTAAGCTACGTGTATATTGCCACCGCAAAGATTTTGTATCGTCAGCCACTCAATGGCTAAATCCAATGCATACCTAAACCAGCTATGCCTATGCGAGTAGTAGTACTAGGTAGGTATCCATACCTCCAGCGAGGTCTCAAACCCACCACATCGTAGGGAGGAGAAAAAAAAATACTTCATCAATGACATCCATGGGTTCCATATTGCCCTGCTCTGTCGTGTCTTATCCCGGTCCAAGCCATCTCCAACCAATCATGAAAGTCAACCGGCCTTCAAGTGCCTAATTCAAATCCCAGAGCCTGCAATCCATGTCTTGTACCCCGTGTCCAGTATCCCGCTTCCTGATATTCAGCGCCCATTGTCCAGTCCCGGTGCCCTGTTATGTCCCTGTGCCGTATACTAATGATAACCCATAAGTCCCATCCAGTGTCCGAGTCTCCCTTTCCCACACCAGCCTGGGTCCGAGTCTCCCGATCCATGAGTCTCAGACCAATGCCACCTCGCATTGCAGAGCCGTGAGTTCTGCCTTGACTCCCATCCAAGAGAAAAGAAAATAAATAAAACAAGAAGAGGGGGGTGCGAGGAGTGAAGATGGAGGGGAAACCGAAAAGTAAATCCAAAGAAAAGAAAAATGAAAAAATGAAAAAAGTCCAGAATATCCAAATTTAGCTCCATTCCTTGTTTATCCCAGAGCTCCGATATCCTTCTAAATGTCCAAATGTGTCGGCCCAAACTTGCAAATATCAAATCTCGAAATAAATTTGTGAACAGAGACCAAAGCGAACGATGAAATGGGGAGAAATGCTATCTCTCAAGGTGTCGTGCCTGACCAAAATCATCCGCTTCGTCGCTTAAACAAAGCTTGCTCAAAGTCATCGCTCCGAAGATGCGAGTTGCGCCAGTGTAAAAAGAATAGGAAAATAGAAATAAAAAATAAAAAGGAAAGCTGAAAAATGTAGTCGTCGCCTCGAAGTAGTAAGCCGTCCTGCTATTGAGACTGGTGCCGAGAAACCAGTGCAATGGCGGCAATGTCGAGCTTAAACGCTTTCATCGTCATCATAATCGTTAAGAGATTCATCAGTCTCGATCATCTCTCCCGAAACTGGGGGCTGGGTTCCTTCAGTGATCTGGGTGCTGAGATAGGCACCCACGATGGTGATCAGTCCGCTAAACCACCAAGCGAGACCCGAATAGCCAGATTGCAAGCCCATGGCATACAGGAATCCAGAAAGAGTAGGTCCCAGAGCTCTGCACAAGCTGGCCGTGGAGGCTGCAACGCCATTGATCGTACCGAGGACTTGCTTGCTCGGGGCCGAGTTGGCCAACAAAATTGCGTTGCTGGGATACGCCATTGTCGAAAAGGTACACTTCCAGATAACCAACAGGTAGATGGCCGGCATCCTTAGGCTCTCTGGGAGGAGCACCACGTAGGGCGTGACGAAGTAGAGGGCGAAGTAGGAGAAGGCAATCAGGCGAAACAGACGCAGAGGTCCCAGTCGACGGGTCATGGGTGTCACAATCAGGTAGTTGGACAGCAAAGAGTAGAAGCCTTGAATGGAGATGATGACGCCAATGGCCTTTGTCTCGAGACCGAATCCGTTGACAAACTTGAAAGGAAGCTCGAGAACGGGCTCCTTGGGAGGGGCGGTGCTCAAGAATACTGGGAACAGCTGATCATAAGTAATGGTGTGGCTAGAGACTGGTTAGTACATCGACCTGCCATGAGCACTGTCACCAGGAAAACAACTTACAATGCGAGGATGCCGTAAGAGATGATGTTCATCAAGACCGGCTTGGTGAAGATCACAGTGGGTTGATCGGGCTGCGCCTCAGAGGACTCGATGGTGGACACAGCTTGGTGCTCCGTGCTGCCCCGAGATGTAGTTCGAGGTGACGTCTCCCGGCTTCGGTAATCCGGCAGTCGCTCTCCGGAGCGGGAAAGCTTCGTCGCATCAGAATCGGAAGAGTCGGAAAGGGTGTTGTATCCAGCTTGTTCGCAGTCATCGAGAAGGCTTTGCTTCTCAGGCTTATCAGCTCGGCCATACGTGGCCCGGTTGAAGAACGCAGCGATTCGGTCACCAATCTCACGACCGCGATCCTTCTCGCCCCTCTTGCCAAGGTGAGTCTCCTCCAAGAAGAGGATGCCCACAACAACACCAAAGAGAACAGTCACCGCGCTGAAAAGGTTGGGAAGGAGATAGGGGTACTGGTCCCAAATTGAGCCGCGGGGGAAGTAGTCGGGATAGCTGATGCATGGTCGAGCGAGGGCACCGCCAATCATGGGTCCAATGATGGAGCTGGAGAGGACGGTTAGAAAACAGCGTCTGCACACTATCGTTGAAGGTACTCACCCAATACACCAAACCATGGGCATAATAGTATACGCGCGAGCTATCGGGCAGTCTCGTTAGCAGGGGCCCGACGTCGCTAATGGCACACTGAGGGATAAGAGAGAGGCAGAGGCATACGTTGATGTTCCTTGACCGTCACGAGCTCAGCCACGGTTGTCTGCAATACACCGATGTTTCTTGTTATCGAGTTAGCGACGAGAATTACCGAATGACGGCGAGAATGGAGGGCTCATACCCATTGAGAAGGCCGCCCATTGCCCTGGCAAAGAGGGCGACGGGCAAGCTAGGAGCGAAACCAAAGATGAGAACACTGATGGCTGTGCCGATGAGACCGCTGAGAAGCACAGGCTTTCGTCCGATCTTGTCACTCAGCTTTCCCCACATAACACCAGTTGCAAACTCGGCCAAAGTGAATGCAGAAGTAACCATGCCGGCGTAAACGGAAATCTTGTTCGGATCTTCGGTAATTTTAAAGTCCTCGATCATGTAGTAAATGTAGGGGAAGATGGACATGAAAGCAATGGGTTCACACAGTCGGCAGCATGCTATATCGCCATCAGATTAGCCAACATGTGCATCCAAAGCAAATTCAAAGCAATAGATGCTCACCTAGCACAAACATCTGCTGGACAGGGAATGGCGGCAGCGGCTCCTTGCGCTGGGCAGCAGAGCCGCGACGCCGAGGGCGAGGGGTGGAAGTTGACCTCCGCATATCGGCTGATCCCGAGCTTTGGAGGCGTTGCAAGGTGAGAGCGTTGGTTTAAGCCGGGACAAACGGGATCAGCTGCTGGAAAGCTAACAGCCGAGCAACAAGGTTTACGAAGCTCGTATCTAGACACACAGGTCTAGAGAGCCCAAGCCGGCAGCCAATGGCAGACTTCAAGGTCTCGAGTTGCGGAGTATAAGCCGATTGTTGCTGAAATTTGGAAAAGCAGGTGGTTGCCGCCGGTCAGTCTCTTGGCTGGGGCAGTAGGCGACAACGACGGCAGAAGGATGTAGATGCGAAAGGTTGAGCAGGTATGTGTAAGATATTATATGTGTATCCTCCAGTGTAGGACAAGGACAAATGAAGCAACCCCAAACAAATCGTGAAGAGGATAGGGCTGTGTTAAAGAGACAGGCTTGTGATAGGACGTGGGAGAGAGGAGAGGAGAAGCCGTCTGGTGAGAGCGGGAGGAGTGATGATATATGTAGTGGTAGACGAAGTTATGAAGTACGTACCAGGATACCAAGACGGCGACAGCCATCTGGGGTATAAGCTGAAATCATGACGGGCATGGTGGCACAAGCTTAGAGTTGGGCGGTGACATGAGGGCAGAAGCAACGGGCCAAAACAAAGTTGATCTCCTTCACCTGGCACAGGAATTAATGCGGCGAAGTCGAGCGCCAGGGCGATTGGATCCATCCGTGGGGCTTCGGGGTGTCCTCAAAGGCCCTGCGAGACGACATGGGCCACACGCCCTTAGCGTTCCGGCCGGTCAGGGCATTCATCTAGCCTGAGGCTGGCTCCCGAGTCAGCACTGCAAGTGGGAGAAGAGCGAGGCCCGTCAGGTACACGCCAGGTACTTAGCTGGCAAGCCTGCCCTCTTCCTGGGATCTGGTAGGGGTGAGCATAGCTGGAGCGAGGGGGTGCGCGAGGGGGGCGTCCAGCTTGCCCTGGACCTTGTTAGTGCGACAGGGCAACAGTTATTTTGGCCAGGGCCAGGATGTGGTTAGGACCCAACCGAAAGAGACGTCGGGCAAGGGGCCAAATGGTGGAGAGAGGAGGAGCACACAGGATGATGGCGACGACGATGACGATGATATAGTAACGGTACCAGAGGTAGGTAGGCGCTTCCTGCGTGATCCAAGTACCCAAGAATGGAAGCAGCAGCATGCAAGAATGGGGGAGAAGAGCGCGAAAGGATTCTCTCAAGACAGGGTGGAAGAAATCCTCCGCAGAAGAAGGAGGAGAGAAACAGAGAGAAGAAGCAGAGATGACAGCTCAAGGCGGCGGGACAGTTGGGTGATGATGAACGATGAAGTGGTGAGCAGACGAGGCTAACAGACCATAAGGCAAGGTAAGATTGGGGGATAAAACACCCCAAAATGGGAAAAATCAAATAAAATTGAGATAAAAGGAAAACTGCCTACCTTACATAGGTACTCGTTGTATCCTGGCAGGAGCGGTTCGCGACAGGACACGACGCTGAAAGAAGCGTCGAGGCATCTGGGCAGGTGCAGTGCAGTGCAGAGCGGTGCGCGCAACTGCCGCAAGCTGGTTCGCCGTATCCGTACACCGTATTTTCCGGTGCACGTCTTGTGCAACCCCAAACAAAAGCAACATGACCTGACCATCAACCCGAGCCTCTGCAGCTTGAAGACATCGCGACGGCGATCATCCGGCCAGCATTCCTCACGCACGAGTCTCGTCTACCTATCTCTTGCTGCAGCCCGTCGCCAGGCCCGATTGTAGCGACGACTTGGGCTGGTCTCGCCAGCTTGAGCCAGCCTATCTGTGCTTGCCGTTGCAGTTGCTGCTGCGGTTGCGTTGCGGTTGCGATGGTGGCTTCGCTTCGCTTTCTGGCCTCTTTCAGCAACTTGGAAGCCCCCAATCTGGGAGAGGGGTGGGAAGACGAGCAATAAGGGGGGAGGAGTGGAGCGGCAGGGCAGGAGAAGCAAGGTGAGAGTAGCACAGTTTGCCTCAGGTACGAGCACAAACTGATTGACAAGAATAGCAGCAGCACTGAAGGAAGCACTGAAGCCACCAGCCGCCCCCGTCGTGCTAGTTGACGGTTCGTTGCGCCCAACGAACAACGTCACCTTCGCTTCGTCTTCTAGTCCCTCCTAGTACTACCAAGACTTCGATCTGTAAGCACTGTACACCGTGCTTGGGCTTTGCTGGTGGTGCTTGCTTCGACAAAAGCCGGCGTCAGGCTCTTCAAGACGTGGGGTCAGAAGCTACATCGCCGTCGTCCGACGAGGCCATCGCTCTCTCGTGATGAACTGCATGGTTACTTACAGATGTCGTACGGCCTGCTGCTGGTGGCCGCTTCGGTATTGCATGTTTTTACGGAGTGGTACGGAGCACTCGAGATGTTGTTGTGCCGAGCCTGGGAACACATCAAAACCTGGGGTCGTTTTTCGGGGACGAATTCCTGATCGCCCCGAGAGCACTTCGAGTTCGGGAGGCCCCAGGGCAGACACACTCTCATGGCTCGAACTACTGGGTGGTATGCTCCGATACGGACTATTTACGCACATCAACTCAACCACAGCACCCAAGATCTCTGGCTGGGAGTGAGCGTAGCGTGTGCTCGCGTGTGCCTATGCAGATACATGGTCGTACCTCCCAGTACCCGAGCTGTATTACTCTGGACGTCCGCTCGCGAACAGGTGGATCGACCGACCTCTTTTCGCGACTACTTGCACGAAGCAGTCATTAGCAATCCCCGACCCAGCCATGTGTAGAGGAAGGGAGGGAGCCACGGGAAAGGCTCCCTACACCGTACCAGCATTATGCAGACTACCAGAGAAGCGCCTCTTTTGCCTGCCTCATCTACAAATATTGTGCTAGCATCTGATATGCTGCCTGCATGTCGCATGTAAGTACGGAGGAGACATGCCCTTTTGTATGCGTGCGCACCATCAACTTACCTGCAAGCTAACGGTGGCACGACGCGGAACAGGCACTGGGCGCATCATTTCTACTATACGTCCTAGTAGCAAGCACTCTCCGAAAAGACTGCTCAGCTGTCGACTTCTGCACAAGTGGATGCAGGGCTGCCAGTTGACCATCACAACACTCCGTCTTGATCTCTTGTGAAGGATGATACCCAGTACTTTCTGATAGGCCTGTATGTCTGTCTGTACAAGCAAAACAGCAGAGAACCAGCAGGCCCAGCGCATCCCTGTCACCGCAAGATCTGTCGTCAACCACGGTGAAATCCCAACGTACCTAACGAGCCCTAGCCCGTCTAGCTTGTCTCGCGGTTGTAGCACTCGACCACGCGAATGGCAGATGAGCGCGGTGTGCGAGGCAGCTATGCGTTGGCTTGACCTTCTGGACGCCTTGCTCGCGAAATCTTTGCCCAACCTAGGGCAATGGCGGTGGCTGCCGGGGGGGTCTCCCCTGTCCTCAAGGACTACTGCTGTGGCGCTATGAAATAGCAGCTGCTTATTCTGTTGACCTTCAAAGTGACAGGCGACCGGTGTGCTGCGGCAGGCTGCATGTAAGTCGATGCCCATGGATGTTCGTGTCGGCCATATACTATGGGCATACAAAGTACCCAGGTCGGTGGATGCATCTGGCGTGTGACGTATATACTACCAGGTGAATGTGCTAATGCGAATCTACATGGACAGGTAGGCCCAGTAACCGCTACTGGTGCCTCAATTCTTTCAGCATGTACGGCGTAGTAGCACGATGTACGACAACGCAGAATCGCAGCTTGGTCGAGGTTCATCCACATGTGCGGGGCCGGTGAGGCTGCATGTCTCGTCACAGACCTGGCTCATCAACGGAAAACCCAGGGGACAGAAGAACAGAAGCAAACGGCAATCTTTTCTGAGTTGGAAGCAAGAACAAAGTCTCGGCAAAGAACAGGCGATGGTGGACGAGATGCGGCGTGCCACTGCGCCCCAACTGACACGGAGGATTCTCCCTTTCAGCAAAGTCACTAAGAAGCGTTTGCGGGCTACGGTCCGTTTGCTCTGCGGCGGGCTGCCGCGGCGCTTGGACGAGGATGCACTTTCGCTCAGGCCTAGTTGCCTTATTAACCAGCCAATGTGGACTACTGGACATTGCACAGCACCAACCGGCCGAGTCTTCCACTCTTTCCCTCAAGATGCACAGCGCCTCCTGGTCATCAGGGCAGCATATCGCGCCTATATTTAAGTGGAAGCCAGCTTTGAGTGGTCGACCCGCGGCAGCAACTTGGCATGTTCGGTCGCAGACGGGGCACATGATGCCACGGTGCATATGTGTGCATGCAGAAGCAACACGCTGCTTGTCACGGAGTGTCAGCCTTCTTTTTTTTCCCTCTACAGCAAGCTACCCTGGCTCTCTCGCTGTGGGCCTATTCGTGCCGTGCTCTGCCGGTACAGGCATGAGCTCCTCGAAATGACTGCGCATGGTACTTCGTACAACCTACTCCGTGCAGCAGAGATGATACGCCCGGCAATTCTGCCCCATATCCAGGTCGTGACACACACCGAGCTCATGATCTGATATTGCTGCTGCGGTATCATAGCATCAAACGGAGCAACGCCAAGGCGGCGTACCGACGGCGGCAGGACGGCCACAATATTCCCTCACTATATCCTACGCACTTATTAATCACATTGGGGGGTGTCACCCATCCCAGACCGCAGCCTCCCTGTCCCGCGAAAGTACTTCAGCACCTTGTGAGGTGACTGAGGTCAGCTGACAGTACTGCAGCTTCTAGCCAGCGGGATGCGGGAAGTGAACAAAGATTTCAGAGCGCTTCCGACTGTACGTATTGAAGAGCATGAAGTCGGGGAGGCGGAGAGGAACGGAGGACGCAGGTAGAGAGGCCTTCAGACGACGAATCGGTCTACAATGGCGCGTGCCATGTCGCAGTGTGGCCCAATTGCACGCGAAGGAAACCTATCCAGGAGCAATGGTTCCACGACATCATTGCGAGGGAGAAGGCGGTTCGGTCATGCCGCTCGCAAAAATGGACTGGGGAGTTGATGTCATTGTGGAATTGC